CTTTGAACTGTATCCTCAGATCTCAGCCTCTTGACTAGCTAGGATTATAGGCCTGAGCCCCCCAAGCTCCCGGGTTGGAGGAATTTTATAAACATTGCAGCATGGGGATTATTGCCAGAAATGGCCATTCAATCTCTTCTCTCAGAGCTGGGAATGTGGCTCAGTGGAAGAATGCTTGCCCAGCATGCATGAAGCCCTGGGTTCTATTCCTCAGTACCACATACATAGAAAAAGCCACAAGTGGCACTGTAGCTCAAGTGGTAGAGGGCTCGCCTTGAGCACAGAGAGGCTCAGGGACAGTGCCCAGGCCCTGAGTTCAAGCCCCAGGACTGGCAAAAAATCAAAACAATCACTCTCCTCTCTCCTCCAGGGTCCCCACGTTCACCTTTATCATTCTCGTGGCCTGTGGCCTTGTCACTAAGAGCCTGGTCTCCATTGTCCTGTGTGTGGTCACACAGAGGTCCTTTGGATCTTAGACTCATGAAGCCACACAGTGACCTCTGACTTCCAGTCTGCCTGCCAGATGTGTGAAGAGAAGTTGGGAGGGAGGGAAAGGGGAAGGGTCCCTGGCATGAGTATCTGTGATCAAATGTAACGTCGCATGTTCAGGATTTCCTCCTTCCTGGCCCCGTCTTCTGCCTTTGGGTCATCTTGGGTGTGTGCTTTGTGCCCTGGGCAGAGAAGATACAGCGCCCAGCCTGCCTGGCCCTTCATTCCACCAGTGGGTTGCAATGAAATAAAGACGGAATGCCGTGGTCTCTGCCCTCACTGTCTTGTGGGCAGTGGGTCCCGAGGCCCAGCGCACACTGCTGACATCTCTGCTCTCCTCCTTCCTTTGGACCATGTAGTTTTTTCGCCTGGATTGTGTTCCCGCTTATAAAACATCCCAGATCCCAGGTGCACCCAACACCTGGGCTTCTTCCTTCCGCTGTGGCCCTACCAGCCCTCCCCACCCCAGAAGGCAGAGGAGACAAGACACGGGTAGGAGAGAGGGAAGCCAGGTTAAAGTGAGCCACGTAAGGCCCACCCCCTCCTCTTGGTGAAGCCTCTGCCCAGTACCTCAGTCAGCTAGGTAACATTTCAAGCATCACCACCTGGGAAATCCGAGATGGAGGAGGTGAGGCAGGACCCAGAGGAGAGGACTGGCAAACAGTGTTCAGTGTTACTGTGTGTATTCTATCTCTCCATCCTGAAAATGTCCATGAAGGTAGAGGTGAGTAGGATGAGAGCAAGGCCATGTGAGTCACCATTTACTGGTGGAAATGAAACCCACAGCTCTCTCTTGCCAAAGATAGAGGGTGTTATGGGGCCCCTCCTTTCTATCTATCTATCTATCTATCTATCTATCTATCTATCTATCTATCTATCTATCTATCTATCTATCTATCTATCTATCTTTTAGTTGTAGGAATTGAACCCAGGGCCTCTCAAATGTTAGACAAGCATTTTACCATTTAAGCCATGACCCTTGCCATTTTGTTTGTATTTTGGTTTTGAGATACAATCTCATTAACTCTGCTCATTGGTTGGGATTAGCCAGTGGAGAGGATATGAGAGGGTGGGAAAAGATCAAGTTCAGAGATGGCTCTATCCCTCTCCCTCAAGCCTCTAACCAATCAGTGATCACCTCCAGGCTCAGGTACCCACTCCATCTTCTTGTCCTGAAGTCTTGTCCCTGGGTGCTGCAACATCCTGCCTAGATCTCCCCCAAGTTGGACCATCATCAACATTAAACACTCCTTGATAACTCAGTTCCAGTGTCGCTTCTTACTGGGACTTTGGCTGAATTTAATAGTGTGGTGTGGGTGATTACATAGGCCTTGGAGTCAAGCAGTGACTTGGGATCTCAGCTCTGCATCCTGGCAGTGTATCTTCAGTGACTCAGGGACTCTTCTGGGTCTCAATGTTCTCCATTGCCTCAATAACAAGTGCCTCAGTAAGAAGTACCAAGATGGGGCTAGGAAGGTGGCTCAGTGGTAGAGCGCTTGCCTTGCATGCATGAGGCCCTGGGTTCGATTCCTCAGCACCACATAAAGAAAAGGCCAGAAGTGGCACTGTGGCTCAAGTGGTACAGTGCCAGCCTTGGGCTGAAGAAGTGAGGGATAGTGCCCAGGCCCAGAGTTCAGGCACCATTCAGTTGGAATACTTAATGACCTTGGGGTAAGCCACGCCTATCTTGTATCAATTATCTCCTCATTCTCCTGAATCCTGGACAGAATTAGGCCTTTGCCCACATTCAGGTCAAGGCACACACTGGCCCATAGCAGGTGGGGAGAGAAGCAGGGGGGAATCTGCCTTCATACTTAACAGAGGGGGAATTAGAGCTGTGTCACAGTGAGTCTCACACACTGGGGACGGTCCCCCGCACTGATAAGGGGTCTGGTGCCAGAGAGCCAAAAGATGATGGTCTGGTGCACAGTCTCAGGGTGCTGAGAGCACTGAATGATGGACCCTTAGTAAAGTAGGAAGTAGCACTTCACAGAGCAGCTTCTCAGGTCACAATCCTAACTGTGGTCTCCTGCCTCTAGCGACATTGGCCCACTCCCTGCTCACATACAGGCCAAGTACCAAGGCCAGCGGCATTTGCAGGCCCAGTCTACCTGGACTGTGTTTCAGAATCACCTGGTCCACTTGTTAAAAATGCTGATTCCTGGGCCTCCCTGCAGGCTGCCAGCTCAGAGCCTCTGGGAGGTCGAGCCAGGGTGTGTGCACGTTGTCTGAGCAACTCCATCACTTGCCTCTGGGGTAGAGTGAGATGAAAGAAGGTGAACATTAGACAGATTCCAGTCAGGCCTTGGAGAGTGGGAATATTTAGATGCTGTATCACTTCAGATGGGGAGGGGAGTAGAGTGGGCGTGGTTGCAGGATGTAGTGGCCATTGGCTGTGGCGTCTTGGGACCGGAGGCAGTGAGTGGAGTAGAGAGGAGGCCTCAGGTGGGTGGCGCTAAGTATTTCTCAATCAGAAGGTGATCATAAGGGAGGCAGGAAGGAAGCTGCCATAAGAATAGCAGCTTCTCCTTTCTCCAACTTCTGTATTTTTCTGAGTCCTTCCTTCAACTCTTCCTCCCGAGCCTCTGGGGGAAGAAGACAGAAAATAGCCACATGGAGCAACAGACACTTGTAGATGGAAGAGGTCTGGCTACCGTGGCCTGAGAAGGTACAGGGCTCTCAGGGAGACCACGTGGCCCAGGGGTATCAAGCCTTTCCTGCTCCTGCTGTGTGTCTCAGGAAGGGAGGTGGGAGGGGGTGTCAGGAAAGAGGGTGGGGGCTCCCTTACTGCTACATTGATCTCAGTACTTGTTAAAGATCCACTTAAATAGCTCCGTTTTGGTAAGTTGAGGTTATCTAGGAATTCCTCTATTTCTCACAGAGTTTTCTTTAGTTTGAGTTAAGGTTTGGAAAGTATTCACTGATAATGTTTTTGGATCGCATTTGTTGTGATCTCTGTTTTGGGTGATTTCTCTTAAGGGTTTAGAATTTTATTTATCTCTGAGACTTGCAGGGTGGAGGGGTGGGGGGGGGAGGATGCGTTGCTGGGTAAGCTCAGCAAGTCCTGACCTTACAGCCCTTGAGGCAAGGAACAGACATCCACTCCCCCTCTTCTTCCTGGGTCAAGCATATCAACAGTGGTCTCTGGAAATCCACCTAGCACCCTCTGGTCTTCATGCCCTCGGTGTGGATGAGGGTTCAAAGCCACCTGGACGGCTTTTGGCATGTACTACATACCGGTCCCCCATCGCATCCTGGGGTCTGCCATCTGTTCTCTTACGACTTCCAAGGTCCAGTTGCAGGCAACAAAATCTAATCTACCTATTTTAAGTAGAAGGTCTTTTGTGTGTGTGTGTGTGTGTGTGTGATGATCCTGGGGCTTGAGCTCAAGGCCCAGGTGCTGTTCCTGAGCTTCTTTTGTTCAAGGCTAACACTCTACCACTTGAGCCACAGTGCCCCTTTTTTTTTTGTGGTTCATTGGAGATAGGAGTCTCATAGATTTTCCTGTCCAGGCTGGCTTTGAACTTTGATTCTCAGATCTCAGCATCCTGAGTAGCCAGGATTACAGGTGCAAGCCATTGGCACCTGGCTAGAAGAAAAAAAAAAAAAAGAAATGGTTATAGAATCAGATTCCATGTAGCTTCTGTGATTCTCTCTGGAGTCAGGATCTTGAAGAATCCAGAAACTTCCCAAATCAAGCTACCAGTGTAGCTGTGGCCCTGGTTGTACACTGATGGTATAATTATGATAGATGCCTTTCTCACCGACTGTTCTGTTCCAAACATAAATCTTGCGTGTTTGTCAAATGGAGCCTAAAATATCCCAATCTAGGGCTGAGAATGTGGCTTAGTGGTAGAGTGCTTGCCTAGCATGCATGAAGCCCTGGCTTCAATTCCTCAGTACCATATAAACAGAAAGAGCCGGAAGTGGTGCTGTGGCTCAAGTGGTAGAGTGCTAGCCTTGAGCAAAAAGCAGCTCAGGGATCATGCCCAGGCCCTGAGTTCAAGCCCCAGAACTGGGGGAAAAAATCCAAATCAAACCCACCAGTTTGGAAAGCTTTGTGGAAAAGAGGTAGGGATGTATGCTCACGCCACAGCATCTACCTCAACGATCTCCCACAGAGTGAAGGGAGAAAGCCAGAGGAATAGTCTCACACATCATCGCTGTTTCTTCTGGAACATTCTTGGAGTTTCCTCCAGCACCAGTGAAGGGGCATAATGGGGGTGCAAGGTAGAGAATGGCAGGGGTGAGCGGGAGGTTGGATGGAGGGGAGCAGGCCTGAGACAGAGTCTGCTGGCTGTGGCGGGGGGACTCCCCATCTATGCTTGACTGCTGCTCCTCCTCTGAACCCACAGATGGTCTCACACTTCATGAACTGGAGTCTCTCCCAGCCCAGAAATTCTGAGAAGCTGGGGAAGAGAGCCAGGTCCCATTTCTGTTTTCCTTTGCCCAGAGGGTCCCCCCGCCCGCCTCCCTTCTTCTGTCTCCCAGTGCCTGAAACAGTGGAGGGGTAGCATGGCCTGGGGGTGCCCACTCCAGCTGCTGTACCCTGTGCTCATGGTACTCCTGGCCTCAGGTGAGAGGAAGGGTGGGGAGAAGGGGCTGGCAGGTAGGATGGAGGGGACAGGGAGCAGGCTGACCCCTGTTACCAGTGTGGGGGTAGAAGCTGTCTCCCTTTCCCCAGCCCTGGGTGCCGCGGTCCAGCCAGGGCTCTGACCTGTAGGTTTTGTGGCCCAGGTTCCTGGGATGCTGTAGAGGAGGTTCATGAGGTGGTGGGGCAGACCCTGTCTGTGCGGTGTTGGTACCCAGCCGTGAGTGGGCCCTACGCAGCGAAAACCTGGTGTCGGCGGACAGGTATAGAACATGGGTGTAACAGAATGGTCACCACCTCCCGGCCCCGGACGGCAGCCGAGGTGTCCCGATTTACCATCTGGGACGACCCGGGGGCCGGCTTCTTCATTGTCACCGTGGCTCAACTGCGGGAAGAGGATTCCGGAGTTTACTCGTGCGGAAGCTACAACCCTTTCTCCGATGAGGTCACGGCGTTCAGAAACATTAGCCTAGTGGTGGCTCCAGGTGAGGCCCTCCTTCAGGAAGTGTCACCTCTCTTGGGGACCTGTCACTTGTCCCTCACCCCATGTCTCGATCACCCCTGGATCTGACAGGACCTTCTCTGTCCCTAGAGATGAGTTCTCTTTTCGTCCCTTCTGCTTCTCCTGTCTACCTACCCTTCCTTACACTGGCATGCCAGCAGCGCTGGTGGCTGGCTCTAGAGGTGCTTGTGGCTAATGGATTGTTCTGGGTTCCCTGAATTCCACCACAGCTTCAAAGCCAGACCCCGCTCTTCCCTCTGGTGCCAGTCCTGGGCTTGAACTCAGAGTCTGGACCCTGTCCTTGAGTTTCGTTTGCTCAAGGCTAGTGCTGTACCATTGAGCCACAGCTCCACTTCCGGCTTTTTGGGTGGTTCATTGGAGATCAGAGTGTCATGAACTTTCCTGTCCAGGCTGGCATTGAACCGCGATCCTCAGAGTTCAGCCTCCTGAGTAGCTCGGATGACAGACAGGTGTGAGCCACTGGCGCTTGGCTCTTCTTTTCTCTCTCTCTTTTTCTCTTCAGTCCCTTTCATGACTGCCACGTGGACTCTGTCTCCTGAAAGGGCCCGCTAGAGGTCAGCTTTCACTGGAAGTCTCTAGGCCCAGGTGTCCCAGCCTTGCCTTTTTCCTACCACGGGTTTGGGAAGAAACTTGTCCCCTTGGTCAAGGTGCCAGACTGGACCAGATGTTATAAAGATTGCAAGCCAGAGGCTGGTGGCTCGTGCTTGTCATCCTAGCTCCTCAGGAGATTGAGATCTGAGGACTGCGGTTCAAAGGCAGCCTGAGCAGGAAAGTCTGTGAGACTCTTATCTTCAATTAACCACCAGAAAACCAGAAGTGGTACTGTGGCTCAAGTGGTAGAGCTCTATTCTTGAGCAAAAGAGCTCAGGGTTGGCATCCAGGCCCGAGTTCAAGTCCCATGACTGACAAAAAGAAAAAAATAGAACTACCATTGGGTCCAGCAATTATACTACTTGTTATGTAGCCAAAGGAAGTGTAATTACTCTATCAAAGAGACAGCACCAGTCACAATGGCAAGTTTGGTGTCTACTGACTGATGAATTGATAAAGAGTGCATGCATACAATGAAGTGCTATTTAGCCATTAAAAAAAAAAAAGCACGAGGGCCTGGGAAGGTGGCTCAGTGGTAGAGTGCTTGCCTTGCATGCATGAGGCCCTGGGTTCGATTCCTCAGCAGAAAAAGCCAGAAGTGGTGCTGTGGCTCAAGTGGTAGAGTGCTTGCCTTGAGCTGAAGAACTGAGAGACAGCACTCAGGTGCAACAACCAGAAAAAAAAGAAAAAAATCATGAAACCTTGCCCATTCTAACAACCTGGAACTGGAGATCACTGTGTTGAATGAAATAAGCCAGCACCAGAAGCCAAGTACCACATGAACTCACTTGTGTGGAATCTAAGAAAAGTTGCTCTCATAAAGTTGAGAGTAGAATGATGGATGCCAGAGGCCAGGAGTGCAGGGGAGGGATGGAAAGGGGAAGTCTGGATAGAGTACCAACTTAGAGTTAGTTAGGGGAAGAAACACTGGCATTCTACTGCACTGTAGGATGGCTATTGACAACGATAATGCTATTTTTATTTTTAAAAAAACAAGCTAGGAGAAGATTTTGAATTTTTGTAATCATAAATGATAAATGTTTGAGTACATTAGACTATACTGACTTTGACTGTTACATAATCCATTATAATATCACATCATGCCTCATAAATTTGTACATATTTTAGGTTTCAGTTTAAAAAATACCCCTATCTCAGATCCAGTTATCCTTGGTTTAAGGTTCCCTGAAGGGCTGCTTCTGTCTCCTCTCCATTTTTTTTTTTTTTTTTGCCAGTCATGGGGCCTGAGCTCTGGGCCTGGGCGCTGTCCCTCAGCTCTTCAGCTCAAGGCTAGCGCTCTACCACTTGAGCTACAGCGCCACTTCTGGCTTTTTCTGCTTATGTGGTGCTGAGGAATCGAACCCAGGGCCTCATGCATGCAAGGCAAGCGCTCTACCACTGAGCCACCTTCCCAGCCCTCTCCCCCATTTCTTGTGACCCAATCTCAGTCTCCCGACTGGTCCTCTGACTAGCCCTTGTTTTTTCTTTTTTTGTTTGTTTAGTTCTGACGGCTTCTCCATCAGAGACCACCGACCCTTCCACCCTTGGTTTTGAGCACAGGTAGGCCAGGTACTCTACCAGAGGTGGGTCCTGAGGAAGGGATGCCCAGAGAGCTCATGCAGGCTGGGAGCCGGGGCAGGGGCCCAAGGGGTCTTCCCAGAGTGGTTGGTGGCAGGCACTGTAGAGGAGCGCCTAAGGCCTGGATTTGACATTGGGTGAGCACGCAGGAATGGGGGAAGGAAGGAGTGCTTCACAAATAATGGAAGATAAACATGCATTTCTGGAATGATAGAAAATGAAACCCTCAAATGCAGAAACGGGAGGCTGTGTGTGTGTGTGTGTGTGTGTGTGTGTGTGGAGGGGGGGTTTTGAGAGAGCCTGGGAAGATGGTGAAAGCAGACCATAACAAGTAGATGGTGAGAATACTGTGTGTGTGTGTGTGTGTGTGTGTGTGTGTGCGCGTGCGCGCGCGTGTGCGTGCTCTCTCTCAGGCCTGGGGATTGGACTCAAGCCTGGACACTGTCCTGAATTTTTTTCCGCTCAAGGCTAGTGCTCTACCACTTGAGCCATAACTCCACTTCTAGCTTTTTGTTAGTTTTTTTTTTTTTAATGGGGATAAGAGTCTCATGGACTTTCCTGCCTGGGCTGGCTTCAACCTCAGTCCTCGGATCTCAGCTTCTGGAGCAGCTAGGATTTTAGGTGCTCACACAGCCAATATTTCCGCTCCTGCCTTTGAACTCAAGGGTGTTCAGCTCCCCTTTTACTGAGAGATAAACTTCAATAAATGGCTTAGAATTGTAGAAAGAGTTCAGACTCATAAATCACCAAGGGAGGAATATAGGAAAATCCACAGACACAGACAGACATACAGACAGACAGACCCCTGGACCCACTATTGGAAACCAGAGCATTCTGGAATCTTTTAAATCATTCACTGAGGAACAAGAATTAGACCCATACTAGGAAAACTGGATACAAAAAGATAAATAGTAATATTTTTACAGTCTTATTAAGGAAAGGAACTTTGATGGTGGTTACTTGTAGCTCACATGTATAAACCTAGCTACTTAGGAGGCTGAGATCTGAGGATCACGGTTTGAAGCCAGCCAGGACAGTAAAGTCCGTGAGATTCTTATCACCAATTAACTACCCCCCAAAAGCTGAAAGTGGAGCTGTGGCTCAAGTGTTAAGAGTGCTAGCCTTGAACAAAAGAGCTCAGGCACAGTGCCCAGGCTCTGAGTTCAAGCCTAGGACCAGAACAAAAAGAAAAGAAGGAAGGAAAGCAAGCAAACAAGAAGCAAGAGAGTGAGTGAGCAAAACTTTGTAGGTAGGATTTTGTACTTAGCCACACTGTCTTTCCAATGTGTGACCAGGATAGTTTAGGACCAAAACTTTGCCACTTGCAATGATCCTTCCTGTCAGAGGAAGTGTGAAATTAAGTCAAAAAACAAATCCAGGAGATGCTACAAGAGAGGAAGAAGTAAGTATGATCAAGCACTTTGGTAAAGTTTATTTTTGTTATTCTTAAAGAACAAAAAAGGTAGCTAGAACAAAAGGAGAAGATATATACATAACAATTAGAAAATACATCCAAGTGGGGCACTAGTGGCTCACATCTGTCATCCCAGCTACTCAGGAGGCTGAGATCTGAAATTTATGTTTTAAAGTCAGCCTAGGCAGGAAAGCTGGAAGTGGAGCTGTGGCTCCAGTGGTTGAGGGCTAGCTTTGAGCACAAAAGTTCAGGGACAGCGCCCAGGCCCAGAGTTCAAGCCTCAGTAACCCTTCCCCACTACATTCCCCGCCCCCCCAACCCCACATCCAAAATAACACCATCGTAGAGGAAGGACTGGAAAGGATGGTTAAATACTTGTCTTATGAGAGGCAGTATTAGATATTAATACATTTAGGCAGCATTGGAGCTAATCAGTATAATTTGGGTCTTCAGTTCAGTAAATAGAATATATGTTCTTTAAACCAACAAAATAAAACTCTATCCAAAGCAAAGCAGCAACAACGATAACAACAAAAGGCATGCCCAATGATAAAGATGATACAAGGCAGAAATGAACTCCAGACATGAAAAGCAGTTCCAATAAATTTAAATGGATCAAATTCACAAAATAAGGACAAAGACTCACAGAATCTTAAGGCTTTTTTCCCCCTCTTTCTCTGTCTCTCTCATAATTCCAGTGATAGGTAATGCATTCTTCTGACAAGAGTTGATGTCTTTTTGTCTGGTGGCCGCAGCCGTCTGCCTCTGGGCTAGCCTGGGGACCCTGTCCATCTGACTTTGTCATCATTCCTATTCCTGGGGGCTCTTCCCACCCACTGGCTGAGTCTGACCCTTAGCTTTCCCCCTAGATGATCTTTCTGCCATCCAACACAGCTGGATTTCCATCGATGAGGTTTCATTTCAGGCCCACAGACCCCCAAGTCCCCCTTGCTCCCAACTTAGTGTCCATTGTCCCTTTGTAATCTGCCCAGGATGGGACCCTACACACACACACACACACACACACACACACACACGCACGCACGCACGCACACACACACGCACACACACACACACACACGCATGCACGCTCCAAGAAGGAGTCCAAGTCCAGTTTAGGGCTACGTAGGAGCTGATGACGGTCCAATCCCAGTCCCTTCTTCCTCTCCAGGAATTCAAGTTCTCCCTTGTGCGGTGGCTGGACTTCCCCCAGGCTCCTGGTGGTCTCTGTGTCCTATGGACTCCTAGCAATCAAGGGCCTGGCACTGTCAGCTCTGTGTGTGCTCCTGGGTCGTTGGCGCTGCCAGGTGAGCTCGCTCAGTTTGATCTGAAAGAGGCCAGTCAGAGCGAGGGCCACTTCAGGCCCAGAGAAGATGGTCAGGAAAATGAGATGATTGTAACTGGGCCTATCATATTTAATGGAAACACCCATTATTCCGTGAAGTCACTACCTGTTTTTCCTCAGAGAGGGACCTCAAAGAGAGAAAGAGTCTTTCCCAGGGACCTTATCATTTGGCTTTTCTCAGTCTCTGTCCTGAGAGGAGGAAGAACTGGAGGAGAAAGGCTGAGGCTTGCTGGGGAAGGGCGGCTGGAAGCCGTTGAAAGGAGGAAAGGGGAGGGGAGGACCAATCAACAACCAAAGCCAGAGAAAGAGGCAGAGAAAGGACTCTGATGTATGAATTTCCTCCCCATCCTGCTTTCTCAGGGCTAGAAGGACACTTTGGGCACAGCAATGATGGAGAGCTCTGATAATGCCAGCCCAGCCCCCAGAGCCCTTGGGTGCATGGAAGCGACATCGCTGGATACAGGAAGAAAGTCTAGTTTCCTCCTCCCGCCCATCTATTTTAGCTGCCCCTAATCATGGAAAAGCAAACACTCAAGGGGGTGGAAGACAGCTCATGTCGCTGTATTTAGCAGTGGTGATCCTCATTCTGGTATTAAGGATCCTTTACCAGTCGGTCCACGAGCTGTCTACTCTTGGAGGGGTTCACTGCATGTGGGTCTGAGTTTCCCAATGCCAACTCCATACCTGCTCCTATTCTCCCAGGTTCCTTCCCTCCATTTGTTTCTGTCTGTCTGTCTGTCTTTCTCATTGACTTAGCTGGGTATCAGGGTGCTAGCATCTCTCATGTTTTGTTTGACTCTGCACTACAGGTGAGTCCTACCCATGTCTGCTTTTGCTTAAATTCAATCCCCTGAAGTAAAATGGGTCAGGCTGGGGGAAAAAAAGAAACAAAAAGAAGAAAAGTGTCTGAGACAATGGGGTAAGATGTCACACGTACCTTGGCTTCCTCTTCTCCTATCCCAGATGTCTTAGAATGAGATAAAAACAGGCTCAAATGATGCGTGCTTTCTCTCATATGGGAAGCTAGGTCTAAAACATACTGGGACATGATAAATTATACAGGACTCTAGGCATTCACACACAGTGAGAGCAGAAGGGGATACTCTTAGGAGAAGATCACAAAGGTGCAATGTCTGTGTGTATCTGATCATACAAAATAATATTTATTGAAATGAACTCCAGGAAATGGAAATGAGGTTTTTCTTTTTTTCCAAAAAGAAATGAGTTAAAAATAATGATAAAAAATTTTGAAACCAGCAAAGACTTGAATTACCAGACTGGAAGCTGAGAAAATCTTGGAAGTTAAAAGAAAAATTCTGATGCATCTAAGTGACACAGAACTTTCCCTAATAGTCCTCAATCAATAAGATATAACCAGTAGGGGTCAGTATTGTGTATGTTCAATGTGGAAGGGAATCCCACCACCTAAAAGACAGCAAGATTGGACAAGCAAAATACATTGTCTGGGATTAAGCAGTACATATTTTAGGGAGCAGAAGAGTGCATCACCTCCACAAAACAAGAACAGGCCTGGCACCTGTAATCCTGGATGATCAGAAGGCCAAGATATGACATTCAGGGGTCAAAGCCAACCCACAGAAGGAACGTTTGGGAGACTCTTATTTCCCATTAACCACTAAAAACCCAGAAGTGGAGGAGTGATTCAAGTGGTACACTAGCCTTGAATGAAAAGCTCAGGGATAGTGTCCAGGTCCTGAGTTCAATCTCCAGTATCAACACACACACACACACACACACACAATCATAGTAGATCATTTGATGTCCAGTACAACCTGTGTATCCTGGCCACTCAGAATGGGTGTCTACCAGGAACAGCAAACTGAATATCAGCCATGGAGAGGACTCCCACACAGACACCACATTTTCTTGTCATATTCTGTGATAGGGTCAGGTGTAGAAGTTTGTTACTATAAATCTCAGTTCCTTCCCTGGAGCGATCCTCTGTCTGTGTGCTACCCTTTCCCTTTAACTTATTCTTTTTCTTTAACTTCTTACTCTTTATCCTCATTTCCTGTTTCTACTTGCCTCCTTTGCCCAGGCAAACATTCTAATGAATTTCATATGAAATTCTGAATTTGAATGTATACTTGGAAAACATGGTGGCTGTGTTAAACACATTGCATTGGTTGCAAGGGGTTTCATCATTGTATTCCTGTACCTGTATCTGATGCACCCATATCAAAATTCTTTTCTCTGTCCCTCATTCCCCTGCCCCTTTGTGAAAACAGTTCCTACAGGCTTCATTGTTCTGTTTATGTATGTGAATATGAAGTTCTTTGGCTATATTCACTCACGTGCACCTTCTCTGAGTGTCCTCACACTGTTACCTCCCCTCCCCAAAAAGAGCCTGTTATATATTCCTGTTATTCTCTTTTACCATGTATCAATTATGTCAAGGGGTTTTCTGGTGGTATTTTGTGTGCACACATGTACGCGTGCGTGCATACACACACCCCTACCTTATACGTTAGTCAAATGACACCTGATGCTCTCTTCCCATGCCTCACCCCCCATGCTTCTGTTATTCAATGACTCAACTCCCAGCACATTTCCTTATGCTGTCATCATACATAGTAGACTCAGTGGATTTCCACATCACTCACCTTCTATTACTCCTACCCTCTCTCCCAGCCCCCACATCCTTCTACAGTCCCACAGTTACAATCATATGCTCTGAATGTATGTATGTATGTATGTATGCATGTATGTGGGATGTCTTAGGACTAGATTTCATATATGAAAGAAAACATGCTGTCTTTGTGCCTCTGAACACGTCTTGTTTTGTTTAACCTGATGATCTCTCATTCCACTCTGTTTTCCTGCAAATGACATGATTTAATTCTTTTTTTTTTTAATGGCTGAATAATGTTCCCTGTGTATCTGCATTACTTAATTCTTTGTAGCACATAGTTCTTTATCTTTTTGTCAGCTGTAGGCCATCTAGCCTGCTTCTCTATACCTTGGCTATTGTAAATAGTGCTGTAATAAACTTGCAAATGTCTCTGGTATCTTGACTTAAAATCCTTTAGTTAGACACCAAGAGTGGTATTACTAGGTCATATGGTCATCTAATTTTAGTTTTTTGAGGAATCTCCATACCGTTTTCCATAGTGGCTGCACTAACTTGCATCCCAGTGGTGTGTGAGGGCTCCTTTCCCCTCATATCCTCATCAGCAATCAGTTGTGTTCTTGATGATGACCATTTTACCCAAATGAGATGAAATCCCAATGTTGTTTGATTCACATTTCCTTCATAGCCAGGAATAGTAAACATTTCTTCATGTGTTTATTGGCCATTTGTACTTCTTCCAAGAATTGAATTGCCTGTTCCATTCATTTTATCCACTTATTCACTGGGTTGTTAATCCTTGGGGATTTAGATTTTTTTTTTGTCAGTTGTGGGGCTTGAACTCAGGGGCCTGGGCGCTGTCCCTAAGCCTCTTTGTGCTCAAGGCTAGTGCTCTACCACTTGAGCTATAGCACCACTTCCTGTTCTTGAATGGATAATTGGAGATAAGAGTCTCACAGGGACTTTTCTGCCTGGGCTGGCTTTGAACCACGATCCTCAGATGTCAGCCTCCTAAGTAGCTAGGACTAAGTAGCTTGCGTGACTATTTTTAACTAGCATAAAATAATGCATGATGCATCTCACCTTTCCATCCACTGTCTCCCTGTTGCTGGAGGTATGTTCTCAGACAGTGCTTTTCAGTGGTATAGCCTACTTCACCCAGTGCACCCTGCTCCCCCAATACACCATTCAGAACCCAGGCTGAGTATGTTTTATCCTCAGTTCTACATACTGCAAATAAGACTACCTTAAACATTCTGTTAGTCAGCTGTCACAGCACTATGACAAAATGCTTGACATAACAAAATTAATGAGAGAAAGGCTTCTTTTAGCTTCTGGTTTCAGTCCATGGCCCTCAGCTCTGTGGATTCTGATCTGTGGCAAAGCAGACTGGGTGGGGGGCGGGCAGGTGGAAGAGGAGGCTTGTTCACCTTATGGTGAACAGGAATCAGATAAAGGCAATGCAAGGAAGGTGAAAAGGTTTATTGACTCACTCTAGTTAGCTATCATTCTGGAAGTCTTAGCAGAGATCAAAACCAAACGTGTGTGTGTATGTGTGTGTTCTGGTCCTGGGGCTTGAACTCAGGGCTTGGGCATGGTCCCTGAGCTTTTTCATGCTAGACTAGCATTCTACCACTTGAGCCACAGCTCCACTTCTGGCTTTTTCTGTGATTAATTGGAGATAAGAATCTCATGAACTTTCCAGCCTATGCTGGCTTTAAAGTACAATCCTCAGATCTCAGCCTCCTGAATAGCTAGGATTATAATTGTGAGCCACCTGCCCCCAACTAGACATTTTAAATGAGACAATTTATATTATTTGAGTTTCATTTCATAAAACTGCTAAAAATCTTTCCAATTTTGGTTAAGGAAAGATTTCTTTGATATGACAGAAATATGATCCACAAAAATTACATAATGGATTTCATCAAAAAGAATATGAAATACTATATATTATATAATTTTCATTCTGTACAAGGGAAAATTTATAGGCAAAGTCTACTACAGCAATGATCATCAGTGATGTAGAGGATGAAATATCAGGAGCATGGAGAAACTTTTGGGGTGTTAGTGGAACTCTTCCTATGTCAATCATGGTAATGCATCCAAGTTTCTATAGGTTTGTCCAACTCCAAAATTATCCATTAAAAAGGATGACTGATATTGTTCTTAGCCAACAAAAAAAAAAACAAGAACCCCCCACCCCCATACCATCAAAAAACAGTGACTGAGTGGTATTTCATTGGTGCAGGTACCAGTGTGTTTATCCAGTCTCTAACTGAAGGACATCTGAATTGTCCCCTGGTTTTGCTGTTATAAATAAGGATGCTGTGAACATTGAACAAAGTGGTTGAAATAGTTACTAGATGTCAATTACTGTGTAAGTGGGAAAAATAAATGTAAAGGAAATGATGCTGGAATCCCCAGCTCCAGGGGTTTTCTAGAAAAACCCACCTTCTTCACCTGAGAGGGGGACTGTACTTTTGCGTTGACAGTGTACAGTCCTCCATTTTGCTTGGCAAAATTAACATAACCTTGACTTCCCTTTCTCCCCCAAACTGCTATCATTATTTGTGAATTGGACTTGAATCCGGGTGACTGACTTTTCTGGTATCAGAAGAATCACTGAAAGAGAGAAAGGTCAGTAAACAACAAGAACAACACAGCTTCCATGATCTAAGGAGTTTGAAATAAGAACGGTTGTCTCATTCCTACAACGAACCTCATGCATGGCATGTACGTGTGTGTGTGTGTGTGTGTGTGTGTGTGTGTGTGTACGCACACGCATGCGCAGAAACATCAATGTGTACATGAGCTGAGAGATGAAAAAGTTGAGGCTCTGCAGAGGTAAAACTTCTTTGTTTTGGGGTGTGGAGTTTACAGTGTGTGGCCACGGAAGGTGGAGGACTCTTCCTCCCCCACCCCAGTCCGCTCTAAAGGGCAGGAGAGCGAGTCAGAAGCCCACTTAGCCTCTGCCATGGGTCCTACCATGCAGCTCTGGAAGTCAGGCGCTCATCCTTCTGGTACTTGGCCTAAGGGAGTGAGTGAAGGGTGCGGTCTTGGGACAAATGCTGGGTCATTTCAACTGGAGTTGGGTGACTGGAGAGCAGAGATAGGGCAGAGGAGAGGAAGTGGAGGGGACAGGCCCGTGTGCTGACGGGGACAGGATGAGCGGAGGAAGGGGCTCTGAGCAGGGTGGGGGAAGGGAAGCCTGCTGGGCTGCCGGGCCAGGAGAGAAGAGAGAAGGAGAGGCAGCGAGAGGGACAGAGACAAAGAGGAAAGAGGCAGATTGTGAGTGTGTGAGAGAGAAAGAGAGGGGAGAAAGAAGAGAGAGATATTAGACAAAAGATAGAGGAGAGAAAAAGAGAAGAGAGAGACAGAAAGAGAGAGAGAGAGAAAGAAAGAGGGGGAGGGGGAGCGAGAGGCAGAGAGGCCCCAGCCCCGGAGGGAGAACTGGGAGCCCTTCACAAACTTAACCTTTCATGCTCTAAGTCTGGTCACTTGCATCTTCCTCCTCCCTCCGCCCCCTGTATAACAAAAATAAGGTGCACGTGCGCAGTAGCTTATTTGTAGCAGTGAGCAGGTGTGAGAAGCTGTGAACAGCCAGGCGTGAAGCGGGTGACAGGAAGGAGGCATTCCACGATGAATGAGTGCACGCATGCATGTAGGAAGGAAGGAAGGAAAGAATGAAGGAAGGAAGTTCTCCAGACTTCCTTGTTGAAGGAATGTCTAAGCCCAAGAAGAACCTTTGTCCTGGGGCGGGGGGGGGGGGGGGGGGGGGGGGGAGGGGGAGGAGGTTCTCTGGATTCCAGCCAAGTTTGTAGCAGAGGTTCTAGAAGTTTTAGAGAAGGGCAGGCAGGCAGCCTCAAGCCCCATGAACTCTGGGGATGGGGGCCCCCCTTGCTGGGGCCCCCCCCTGACTGGGTGGAGCAGCCACACCTGCCTGAAGTTCTGAGGAAGAGGGCGGAAACTCTGCCCGGCTGCCCTCCGATAGGCTGGGGGCTGCTGGCAGCAGCGGGTCCCCACACTTCCCTAAATGGGCAACTTCACTTCCCGAACCCATCGTCCCTGCCTGGTAGGCCCAGGTGGCATCCTGCCCGCGCCTGAGCCCACATCTTGGATCCCCCAGGTATCCTGGGCCCCTGCTGGGCCCGTGACACCCCCTGTCTGGATGGAGCCATGGCCCCCGCGTTCATTCTTACACTGCTGTGGTGGTTGCAGGACGTCACATCAGGTGAGGGGAGGAGGGCTGGGGGGGGGATGGCCACCTTTGCCTGGCCCCCAGCCCCAGTGGGCTGGGGAGGAGGCGGTGGGGTCACCTTAGCTGACACCCCTGGGAATGTTCCGTCCTCTAGGATCTGGTACCAGGCAATGCTAGGCCAGGCCTCACCAGCCAAGCCAAGCTCTGGAACCTTCTGTGTTGGCTCCTTGGTTTGGCTAGGCTTCCTCAGCGCACCAGATTTTCATCCAAGTGGCCTACGAAGAAGGCCCCGGCAGAAAAAGTTCTCACGGATGCCGGCCTTGATCTTTGCATCGTGTGCGCGGGCTTTGAACTCAGTGTTTCTCGGAATGCTGATGCCACTTCCGGTCCCTGCCCTCTATCCTGAAAGGGACCAATCCCCGAACGCCTCTGGCTCTCATGGAGGGGGGGGGGCTCTCCCACGGCTGCCTCCCTGATTACCAAGGCAACCACTTACCACTTCCTGTTACTCCTCACAGCCAGGGAGAGGGGCCGAAGGTGCAGGTGGGCATGGGCACGGTTCCCCACGCTCACCCTGCCCCTGCACCCCCATCCCCCCCCGCAGGGTGTCTCTCCTGGGGTGACCCATCCCCCAGTTGCGTTGGACCTGCCTGCTTAGTTTGTGAGAGGAGAAACAGTGGTCAGTGAGTTTTCTTACAGCCAACGGGGACGGAAGGTCTGGGGTTGTGGGGTTTTTGAGTAGAGCATTCGCCCTTCCTCTGTCCCAAGTCACCCTGCTGCCCACCAGACGGCATCGTCTGGCCTTCCCTCCTCCCTCTTCCCTTCTCTCTCGCTTCCTCCCCCCCCTGTGTTCGTTTCTCTGTTTCTGTCTCTTTTCGGATTGTTGATACTGTAGCTCAGCTGGAACCGGGGTCTCACTATGTCTACCCCACGCTAGCTGCAAGCTCTGTGCTCTTGCCTTAGCCTCCTTAGTGCTGGGTTCTAAGGATGGGCCACCATAGCTGGCTCACAGGGCCTCTCTCACGCCTAGGCACAGAGAGCCAGATATTATCCATGAAGTGAATCACCAGCCAATCCTTGGCCCCTTGAGAGCTTGTATGTATGTCAGACGGGGTATGCTTAGTCTGGGTTTTGTGCAACTGGAATGTTTTAAACTTAAATCTCCCCTGGAATGAACTAAGGCAGCTTGCTATTATTTAAAATACAAATATAACTAGGGGCTGGGGACATGGCTCAGTGATGGAACACTTGACTAGCATGCTTGAGGTCCTGGGTTCCATCCCCAACCCTTCCCCCCCACAATGCCAGGTGCTGGTGGCTTACACCTGTAATCTTAGTTACTGAGATCTAAGGATCCTTGTTCAAAGCCAGCCTGGGAAGAAAAGTCTGTGATACTCATCTCCAATTAACCCGCAAAAAGCCAGAAGTGGACATAAGATTCAAGTGATACAGGGCCAGCCTTGAGTGAAAAAGCTAAGTGAGAATGTGAAGTCCTAACTTCAGTCCGGTACACACACACACAAGTCCTAACTTGAATCCGGAATACACACACACACACACACACACACACACACAAGTCCTAACTTGAATCCGGAATACACATACACACACACACACACACACACACACAAGTCCTAACTTGAATCCAGAATACACATACACACACATACACACACACACACACACACACACACACACAGCAAGACCAAGAAAGACAACTCCTGTAAACTATTTGGGAACTAATTACTCTTTACTTTTTCAAATGTTGTGTTTTCTTCTCTTCCTCAATCCTGCAATTCCCGAACTTAATGATGTGGCTGTGTCTGGGCGTCTGTCTCTTCTCTCATCTGTCTTGGAGACAGGCATAGAAAAGGACCGTGACTGATGGAATCCCGTGTGGCAGGGGTCTCCTCTCTGCTCCGTCCAGGGCTTCCGTTGTGCTGCCCTTCCCCGTCAGGCTGGAAGCTAGCTGTTAGCAGACCCAAGGGAGCTCCTCAGGGTCAGAGCAGCAGTCCCCCCTCCCATGGTGGCTCCAGGCCAGGAGATCCATGCCCCCGGCCTTTGCCGGGAGCTTGGGGTTTCAGGACACGCTCTTCTACTGCTGCTGATCAGGCCTCGTCCCTCCCGCAGGTTACTCGTCTGTGGAGAGCTTGTACACGCGGGTGCGTCACCAGGAAGGGGACACCCTGTCTGTGAAGTGCTCCTACAACCACCGCAAAAACCGCGTGGAGGACAAAGTGTGGTGCAAGGTCAGGAAGAGGAAGTGTGAACCCGGCTTTGTCCGGAACTGGGTGCAGGGGCCCCACTACCTGCTGGAGGATGATGCCCAGGCCAAGGTGGTCACTGTCACCATGAGGGACCTCAGGCGCCAGGACTCGGGCCGGTACTGGTGCATGCGGAACACCCGCGGGACCCTCTACCCTATGACAGGCTTCATGCTGGAAGTGTCTCCCGGTGAGCTGACCTGCGGGGTACTGGGATGGGTGGGGGTTTGATCTCCCTGTTCTGTGGGCCAGCGGCAGCAGCAGCAGCTAGAATGAGAATGATCCATCACAGACATCTCCCTAAGAAAATGAAATCCACTCCCAGGGCATGTAGCTGGCGGGTACTGAATGACACTGGGCAGTGATGCATCAGGGCTGGGGATGACCTGCGGACAGGTCACTTCAGGAATCATTTGTGCTCTTAAGAAAATGGGGGCTGGGAAGGTGGCTCAGTGGTAGAGCGCTTGCCTTGCATGCATAAGGCCCTGGGTTCGATTCCTCAGCACTACATAAGCAGAAAAAGCCGGGAGTGGCGCTGTGGCTCAAGTGGCAGAGCACTAGCTTTGAGCTGAAGAGCTGAGGGACAGCGCCCAGGCCCAGAGTTCAGACCCCATGACCAACAAAAGAAAGAAAGAAAGAAAAAAACAGGGCCTGGCACTGGTGGCTCACACTTGTAATCCTAGCTGCTCAGGAAGCTGAGATCTGAGGATCGTGGTTCAAAGCCAGCCTGGGCAGGAAAGTCCATGAGATTCTTATCTCCAATTAACCACCAGAAAACTGGAAGTGGCGCTGTGGCTCCAGTGGTAGAGCGCTCGCCTTGAGCTGAAGAGCTCAGGGACAGCGCCCAGGCCCAGAGTTCAAGCCTCATGACCGACGAATAAACAAAACAAAAACAGCCCTCAGTGACAGAGGAGCCCTTGTGTGGAACATGAGAGTTGCTCTGGCTCAGAACAAAAGCTCAGGCTCAGCTACCGCCTCGCGGTCACCTCAAGAGGGCTTGCTGCTCCTTCACAGTACCAGGGACAGCGGCCTCTCTAACTGCCGGGGCAGCCTCGACCCTCCTCCTGAGACTCCTAGGACTGCCCCCGCCCCCGCTGCCCGAGTGCCAGGCTCCCTGAGGACCGGGGGTGGCGGGAGGTGGGATGGCCAGCCCAAGGGGCAGCCGGATGTGTCTAATAAGCCCCAGGGGCCTGGGGACCCTTGAAACTTCCCTTCATGCCCTCATCTTTGGACCCTAAAGACAAATGATGGGGCGTCAGGGATAGCTCTTGTTCAACATTGATTCTAGAAATTGGACCTCCCCTCCGGTACCCACCAAGACCCCTGACTCAGTCTACCCTCCTCCCGCTCTGCTCCTTCAGCCCTGACAACAGAGAGGGACCCGCTCCTGACACATCCAGCCGACGGCCTTGACAGTGGATTTGTCACCATGGGCCACGTGTCCACTTCCGGCTCCCAGGCCCATTTCACCTCTGGACTCCTCACCTCGTCCCCCACTACCTCCGAGAGTGCCCGGCCAAACTCCATGGCTGACTACAGTGTCACTACCTCGGGGCCCAGCTGGACCACGGAGTCCCCCGGCCGGGCCAGAGCCTCCTCTGCCGGCCCAGCGTCCACGCCCACCAAGTCCAGGCATGTCAACAGTGGCTTCCCCGCCACGGGCACCTACCACAACCACTTACCCTCCGTCAGGTATCTGACAGGGACACTCTCCCAGGAGTGGGGCCCTGGCCGAGGGCCTCAAGGGACAGCCTGAGTACTGGACCTTCCTTTCCCTTCTCCCCTCTGCTGAATGGGGGGGGGGGAGGCCAGAAAGGCCCTAAAAGAAGGCAGCGGGGTGGAGGCCCAGGGCTGGGGTTGTGGAGAGTCTAAATAGAGCAATGGAAAAGGCAAGGTAGGAAGGTGGAGTAACTGGTTTGGAACAGATGCTGGGGTAAGGATGGATGTCTGGCCTGAGGCTCTGGAAAGAGGGTGATGAAGAGCGATAGGAAAGGGAAGGAGGCCAACAAGTCATCCTTAAAGCCAGCTTACAGGACTCCTGTGTTCAGCAAGACTCGAACACAGGACTCTTAATGCCTTGGATCTGGTCAGCCTCCCACTGTCAGGCGATAGAGTCAGGAAAGTTCTATACCCAGTCCTGTTCATCACTGGTAAGGGGGCACCTGCCGTGGCTGGCATTAGAGGGCGCCAGTGAGAGAGAAGGAAATGAATGTGGGTGAGTCAGGCCCCAGGGCAGGTCTGTGGACACTAGCTGCTGCTTCTCTGGCAGACAGAACCCGAGCAGGGTGGGGGGTGGGGGTGAGGGAGGGCTTTGTCACTGCAGAGGCAAGAGAGGCCTTGGTCCATCCCTTCACAAATGGGTCTGTAGCGTGCTGATCCTCACGGATGAACAGGTTTGGGGGCACAATGGAGGAGGTAGTTAGGCTTCTGATCCAGCCTCTCATGCTGCTAGCAGGAAGTCGAGGCTGGGGGGAGGGGTGAGGAGCCTGGGGCTCACCCCTCTCCCTCCCTCCCACCTCTTCAGGCCACAGGAGCCTTACCTCACCGTGCTCGTGGCAGTCCTGACCCTCCTTCCGGCACCTGTGATGTTTGCCATGGTCTATCGGTTTTGGAGGAAGAGGCACATGGGAAGTAAGTGGTGCTATCTTGAGCTCCAGGCACCTTTACTGAGGACCCTAGCCTGTGTCCCCAGCCAGTGAGGAGCGGGCTGGCCAGGCCAGGATGGCTCCTCTTTATCTCCTAGGAGATGATTGGGCCAGAACAAGGCTGAGCCAGAAGAAGGGCAGGGTGACCCCAGGGTCCGTGGGGGCACAGCCCTTCTTGATTTCTTTCTGTCCTTTGTAGGCTACAGGATGAGCAGTGAGCACCCCAGACCCTGGGTGTACTTGTGTCGAGCCCCAGAGCCCCTGTGGAAGTCTGCTTAGTTTGAGACCACGTAGTGCCGGGGTGAAAAACTTCTCTCTCATCCGGCCCAGGTGGTCAAAAGAAGAGTGAAAACCACAGATGGCCCGAGCGGAGGGAATGCAGCGAGAGCTGCTTTCTCCCCTGGCCAGGGCCGCGGTGGCTTCAACTTTCCTCTCTCCCTTTGACCTTTTCAATACACTTGGGGACAGGGGTCAGGGCTCACGAGCTCCGGAGGAATCTGACATCCCATGGACAAAGGGCTCAGACAATGATCAAGAGCTGGAACCATAGAAGGGTCAACAGCTGTCCAAGACCCCCCTCCTGGCCAGCCAGTGCATCCGCAGATACTGAATCATAAAGACTGGACCTAAGCAAGTGCAACTCCCTGGGAAGAGGCTCTGGTAGGGGGCAGGAAGAAGGGGGCCCAGTGGTCTGTGGAGTGTACCTGCTGCCTTCTCAACTCATTGCTTGGTCTCTGCTGCCTGGACTGCTGCCTGCTGCCGCCTGATTCCTCCCCAGAGAGGGACTGGGCAGGCCCTGGGGTAGGAGTGACATCCCTACTCTCAGCTCTGGGTCGGGGATCGCTTGGTGGGACAGCAGACACAATGGTCAGTGGGATGTGTCTGGGACGTGATTTTTTTTTTGGGGGGGGGGGAAGCAGTCATGGGGCCAGCAGAGAGGAGTCACTTGCACCTCTTCATACTTCCAGCAGAGGGCAGACACATATTGACTGGAGTCTAGACAGAACTGGTCCCAGGACACAGACAGACAGAAGACAGACACACACAAACATGTACCCACACCAGTCTTTGGTCAGTAAACGATATGTAAAAACACCATCGCTCTGGTGAGTAACTAGAGGATCTTGCCTGATCTGAGGGGAAACTGCTCCTCCACTGGGGACCCTGTGCCAGGCACGCAGCAGGGAGCCTGTGGGAGGAAAGAACACGGGAGAAGCAGTTAGGAACGGAGGCCAGTGATGACACCGTCGCTGTGTGACCCGGAGCAGGCCATTCACGCTATCCGAGCTTTGTTTTTTCCTTTCTTGTGAAAGGGGACAGTAACGTCTACCTCTACTGGAGACAGTAAACCGACATGAACCAGGGAAGCGCCTGTGATTCTGCTCCTATGTTCTTCTCTAGCTCCTGTGGCTCTCACAGGGGCCTGGGATGGAGGCCCCTTTGGTGAGGGCCTCCTGTGAGGAGGGAGGGGCCGGCCTGGCCTGGCTGTAGATGTTTGAAGCCGACATAACCCTAGCTACTCAGGAGGCTGAGATCTGAGGATCCAGATCTGAAGCCAACCCAGGCATGGAAGTCTGTGAGGCTCTTTCTTCCAATTAGCTACTCGAAAAAAAAAGCAGGGAGTGGAGCTGTGGCTCAAGTGGTAGAGCACCAGCCTTGAGCAAAATGAAGCTCGGGGACAGCATCGAGGCCCTGAGTTCAAGCCCCAGGACCAGTACAAAACAAACAATTCAAGGAAAGATTGATTTCAGCTCATGGTTTTAGAGATTTCAGGACATCAAAGCAGCCAGAGCCCGTGGAAGCGGAGGCTCAGGGAAGGAGCCTGGCACCAGGCTCAGCTTTCACAGTCAGCCCCCCCGTACCCCACTTCTAGTGAGGGCCCCACTGAATTTTTAGAATCCTAGACCCAAAGTCCAGGAATGATGGGAATATACCCTGTTCTCATAACTCAGTATGGCTCCACAGCTTAGCCCCCCAACTACCTTCCTCCCTCCCCTTCCTGCCCCGAACTTTCCAGAAATTCTCCAGCCAGGACTCTTTACCTAAATGTGCAAACCCAATTCCCCACCCCCACCTCTCAGGTGCTGGACACCCGAGTTCTTCCATTTCGGACCATTACCACCAACTCCCAAGGCACATCCCCAAACTCCTTGAAACTCTCCGGCTACCTTCCACCCTACCCCCACCTCAGACCCTACTTAAGTCCCTCCACCCCTGCCCACCATGACGCCCCATGTCTCCTGACTCTCCTCAGGTCCCTGTGGCGTCCCGCTTCAACTTTCCATTAAAGTCCATCTGAGTTTGTTGAGTTTGTTGAGTTTGTTGAGTCTGTTGAGTTTGCTTTATGCTCTTTATTCCAATGCCCTCATGACTCAGTTTCCTAACAAGGAGGCTCACCTTAGGTCTGGCCAGTGCCCCCTCCCCCACCCCATGCTGTACGAAGAGGCAAGGTGAAGGGCAGAGAAAGGCCATGGGAAGACAGCACTTCAGGGCCTCTTCTGCCGATGTAGGGGGTGGTTACGTAGGGAGAATTGGGGTCAGGGGGTGAGAAAAGAGGCAGAGTTACCCCAGTCCTAGGTCACAGGTATGGCTGAACTGACCTCAGCTCCCACTTTGATTCTAGAGGCCGGGAGCGTGTTCTGTAGCGTTTGCTACAGAGGTGTGGGAAGGTGGCGTTGCCCGTGAGAGGGGCGGCTTGCCTTCCTCACAGGTGCTTGTCCCGAATCCCCACCTTCCCAGAGCCCAGGTGGCTGTAAAGTGACTGCGGCAGACTGGCGCAGATCCACAGGCACAGAGGCAAAGCCAGGCCAGGCTAAAGCATCTTCTAGGCTGCCTCCTCCCCCTCCTCTAGAGCTTCCAGCACCTTCCAAAATAACCTAGCCAGCTGAGGACCAAGGGTATTTCACGTTCTATCCAGGACAGCGTTCATCTCCACATGACGCGGTGCGTCATTATCTGCCTCTGATCTGGTTAGGAAACAGGATGGAAATGATGAAAAAGCCCCAGCATGTTACATCCTAGGTCAAAGGTTACATCGCATAACCAGCCTTGGAGGAAGCAGTGCACACGGGGCAGGGCAGGCAGCAGGTTCTTGGCCACAGTTGCCCAGGATAGATTAGGGAAAGCGAAGCACCGTAAACTATATCCAGGTATTCAAAAACTCAGCTTGGGCTGGGAAGGTGGCTCAGTGGTAGAGCGCTTGCCTTGCATGCCTGAGGCCCTGGGTTCGATTCCCCAGCACCACATAAGCAAAAAGAAAAAAGCCGGAAGTGGCGCTGTGGCTCAAGTGGTAGAGCGCTAGCCTTGAGCTGAAGAGCTGAGGGACAGCGCCCAGGCCCAGAGTTCAGGCCCCACGACCGGACCCCCCCCCCAAGAAAATAAAAAACTCAGCTTGAAGCAAGTCTGGGAAACTGAAATTCGCACACCAACGTCCCTTAGGAGACCTCCAGGTGGGTATGCAGGCAGAAGAGAGTCGGGCAGCAGAGCTAGCCTGCACCAGATGCAGCGTGGACTGCCGGCACAGAGGGAGGTTATACAGAGAGAGGGAGGGGAGGACGTGTGGCCACAGCAGATGCCAGAGCCCGGGAACCACCCACTGCCCCCAGCTGCTCCAATGACCTGGGTTACAGGTGCTGGCTGGGAACTTCTACAGAGGGCCACGTGTGCACAGGAGGGAAAACAAAGGGAAAGGGGCCATTTTCCCCTAGGCAGACCTAACAAAAAATGAGACAGGATAGATTAGGGAAGAGGAAGCCCCATGAAGGCCACAAGGAGCTCGGACACAAACAAGGTATTTAGATACATAGAAGCACTGTCTTTGCCTCTAAGAGAGACAGCGAGATGCACACCTTACCTTAAGGTTTCGCCTCTGTTTGGTGGCAGGACTTATCTTTAACTGGAAGGAATGTCCAAGCAGCGAGGACCTCAGAAAACACCACCAGCAGTGATTAAGAGCAAAGATAAAACACCTGTCTTTGCGAAACTTTGAAGACAGACCCTCCCTCCCCACCTGCTCCCCTCCCCCCCATCATATAAATACCCCCGATGCCAAATACCTGTGTGTGTCGCTCTCAGAGCACCCATGCTTTCTTAGAGTGGACCTCTGCCTTTCTGCTTCTGGTTGTCTGCTTGCCTGTTTGCTTGTTTATTCACTCAAAGCTCTGTCAAGTTTTCTTACTACTGTTTTTTTTTTTTTTTTTGGTCAGTTGTGGGGCCTGAACTCTGGGCCGGGACGCTGTCTCTGAGCTCTTCAGCTCAAGATGAGTGTTCTACCACTTGAGCTACAGCGCCACTTCCGGCTTTTTCTGCTTATGTGGTGCTGAGGAATGGAACCCAGGGCCTCATGCAGGCTAGGCAAGCGCTCTACCACTGAGCCACCTCCCCAGCCCCAAGCTTTCTTACTATTAAGATTTGTCCAGAAGTTCTTATTCTGAGATCAAGGTCAAGGACCATAAGAGAAGAGTCCCTTACTTTTAGAGGGGAACCCTCACCTGCATGCAGTGAGGGGCGCACAGCTCCAGGGTACCCAAAGCCATCCTGTGTGTTTGGGTTACACCCCAGGCCCTCACACAGGCCCAGGAGTCACTTCACAGCGTGTGTTTTGAGATGGGCGCACTGGGTTTCCTGAAAGCTTAGGCAAGCCGGGCAGGCTTCATGGAGGAGGTGAGACTCCACCCAGGGCCTAAATAAAGCGCAAGTTGGCATCAGGAGGCGAGCGAGGCCTGCTGGAGGTGCTGAGTGTAGGTGCAGGGGCCCTGGCAGCAGGTGGCCGTGGGGAGGCCAGGGGAAGGGGTGTGCAGGGCAGAAAGGTTAAAGGCAGGTGTTCCCACCGAGGCCTTCAGCTGTGGCCTGAGGTTAGGCCAGGCAGGGCCAGGGTCAGTGTGACCTGTGGAGGGCTTTCTGGGAGCAGAGCAACGCATTCAAGCCGCTCATCTTGGGAGCTCTCCTGCTACAGGAGCCCAGGAAAGGGCCGAGGGTGCTGAGGGGAAGCTGTAGGTGCCATTCCCCAGCTCCTCCAGGACAATGTCCTCTTCCTCCTTCCTGTCCTCACTGTTCTTCCCAGCCCCACAGAACAGCCTTCTGCACCTGTGGCTTTCTTGTCCCCTGCCGGGAGGAAAGAGGCCAGAGTCACCTTGCCTGGCTTCTTTAGGGCTCATCCTAGCTGCAGAGATGGCCTTGCTGGGCCAGGCCCAACCCAGGATACCCTGACTTCCTGTCTACCCACTGATGGAGGTGGGGCTAAAGACTTGACACATCTTTGGCAACCCTGAAGTCTTACCCTGCGGTCAGACCTTCTTGTGGGCCAGCCTGGGCTTTCTTGTGGCCTGCATAGCAACTCACCGACCTCTTCTCTGGCCCCAATCTTCCCCAGTGCCTTTGCACGGCCTCCCGTCAGTGGGAAGGAACCTGCTTCCTGTCCTGCTCACTGCATTAGAGAGTATTACAAGATCTTCCTTCTTTTTGTTGTTTATTTATGAACCGCAAGCAGCCTGTGGGGACTGAATTTCTACAGCTCATCTACGGACAACATTTACTTTATTGAGGTGTTGGTCCTGGGGCTTGATCTCAGGGTCTCATACTCTCGCTTGGCTCTTTCTACTTGAGGTGCTCCACCACTTGAGCCACATCTTCACTTCTGGCTTTTTGGTGATTAATTGGAGATAACCGTCTCTTGGATTTGCCTGCCTGGGTTGGGTCTGAATGGTGATCCTCAGATCTTGGCCTTCTGAGGAGCTAAGATTACAGGTGTGAGCCACCAGTGCCCAATTTAAAGATAACTAAGAGGGGAAAAAAGTGCTTGAGGAGTGGAATACTTCAGCGAATGCCTGGAAAAGGGCTGGCCAGGCTGAGAGGTGGATGTATGGAGACGCGCAGGGGGCTGCAGCCCCTGAGGAAGGCAGGCAGCCTAGGATCCCTGGTTGTCAGGGTAACAAGACCAGCTCACGGAGACCTGCTCCTGTTTAAATGCTCCCAACCCCAAGAGGATCTCAGAGTTCACCCCAGTACAGAAGGAGAGGCTGAGGCTTCCCTCTGGCTGATGAGCTGGCTCCAGACCTCACGAGCAGGGGCTCATCAGGCAGGCAGAGTGTCCTCCTGAGTGCACATGCGCAGAGAAGTAACCACAATGACCTCACAGTGACCTCTTAGCGGCTACTGTGCCTCTACCGGGAGTCTGTGCACAGAGCCCGGCAAATTTGGGCATCTGCGCATGCCCGGCAAATCTGGGCATGCGCAGATGCACATAAGCTCCACCTGTCCATCAACTTAGCAGAATGGGCGCCCAATGAAGGATGGCCCACACCTGACCCAGGGTTGTTAAAAAAAAATCACCCCTTGAGCTGCTTGCTCCTTTGCAGGGCTTCTCACTTTGTCTCTAGTAAACTTTTCTGTAAAAAAGAAGAAAAAAAATCTCGCCTGTCCTCCTAGCTACTCAGGAGGCTGAGATCCGAGGATCGCCGTTTGAAGCCCGGGGACAGTGCCGAGGCCCTGAGTTCCAGCCCCATGACGGATGCCCCTCCAAAACAAAGCTTATGTTCATTAGGCTTTATATCTTGCTTAGAAACTCTCATGGAAATGCTAGAGTGGTGGTTGGGCTGCATCAAGGCTGGGTAACACCCAGCAAGGTTGAGCTGCATGACTTTCCTCCACACCCCGTCTTCGCACTCCCCACCACTGTACCTGTCTTCTCCTCTCCTCTCTCCCACCCCTGACAACCAGCGTCTGCCTCCTTTCCTCCTCTTCCTCTCCCGTCGGTGGGAAACTTCCCCCTCCTGAGCCGGCCTGAGGCTCTGATCACTGCTGCCCACTGGGGCTAGAGGGTCTCCCGGTCAGACCTCCGAGACCCTGCATCCTGCCACCCCACCTCTGGCCAGTAGTTGGCTTGGCTGGGGAAAAGAAACTTCTAGCTGGCGAGGAAGTGAGAGGACAGAAAGTGCTGATTTCACCATCGTTTCCTCCTGGGTTTCCCCTCAGCTTTCTTTGCCCACAACCCCAGTGCTAGGGAAGTGCCGGGAGTCGGGGGGGGGGGACAGGCTGAGCCTGGAGTCGTCCACAGAAGCCGGTGGACTGTGGGCCCACTCCCATGGCTGAGTCCTTTCCAACCCAGCTGCTGGGCTTTCAGCCGGAGGCTCCCCCTGAGCAGGGACCTTCTCCTTCCCAGCGTCCCCCAGCCCCTGGCCCCAGCTTCCTGCTCCTCAGAGGACTGGAGTAGGGGCTTGGAGTAGACCCCATCCAGCTCTGGTCTTTCTCTAGGGCATCCTGTCTCACCGGCCTAGTTCAAAAAGAGGATCCATGGCCCCCGAGGTCACACAGCAGCTGGCCTACATCCTGTGGGTGCTCCTGGCTTCAGGTGAGAGTAGAGGAGGGGACAGAGGGGCATGGGGAGGGAGCAGGTGGAGAGGCAGGGAAGGGGTGGGTCTGAGGGGGAGGGGGAGGGGGGGACAGAAACCCCATCTCAGGCCTGCTATGGCAATGGGGGGGCGCTTTCTGACCTGAGGGTATATTCTTAGGCTCCTGGGCACAGGAGATAAAGTTGCTTCAAACACTGGAGGGGGAGACCATCTCTGTGAGATGCCAGTATGCACCCTACCAACAGTCACTGCTGAAGAGCTGGTGTTGGCACACCTCCATCTATTTCTGTACCATCATCGTGGACAGCTTCCATAAAGAGGCTCCGGCCCTTCGATCCTCCATCAAGATTTTCCCACAGTCTCATTACTTCATCGTCACCATGACAGGGCTCAGGGTCACAGACTCGGGGATCTATTCCTGCCAAGTCTCGGATAATTCCCTGAGATCTTTCGCTCTTCTCCAAACCATTCGCCTGGTGGTAGCTAAAGGTGAGCTGTTTTTCTTCCCCTTATCTGGATGGGGGTCTTGGCCTTCCCGAATCTCAAGGTGCCAGAGCTGGTGAGGAAGCTCTCCTATCTAGAAACGAGAGAACCAAGAAGAAAAGACCATCGTCCCAAGGCTAGCACTCTACCACTTGAGCCACAGCACCACTTCTGGCTTTTTTTCTGTGATTAATTGGAGACTTTCCTGCCCAGGCTAGCTTTGGACTGTGATCCTCAGATCTCAGCCTCTTGAGTAGCTAGGTTACTGCCATGAGCCACCAGCTCCAAGGTCTCTTCTGTTTCTATTGGTTTTGGACACATCATGCCCTTTCAGTCTCTAATGACTGCTCACTACCACCCTGTTCATCTCCCTTAGCTAAACTCCTGGGTGCCTGGCTGACCCGTGAGATTCTTACCTCCAATTAACTACCACAAATTCAGAAGTGGAGGTCAGCTCAAGTGGTAGAGCGCCAGCCTCAGGCAGAAGAGACGCTAGGGAATAATCAAGGGACAGTGTGGGAATCCTGTGTGGGGGCCCCCATCGCTCAGCACAGCACCTCCACCGTATGCAGGGCAGATGGTGCTTCGCAGAGTCCTCACCTGTCCAGTGAATCCAGTGGGTGAGGTACAGAGGAGCCACATTTTGAGAGGTTCAATTGGGAGTCTTTATTAGAAAGCTGGCATCTGCAGGTGGACTCCTGTCACAAAGACCTGCAGCCCCACGAATACACTTCACACTGTCAAACACCTGAGCCATGAGAGCAGGAGAGAACAGAAAGAGCAGAAAAGCAATGCCAACAAACCAGATCGGCTCCAACGGAGCTGATGTAGTGGGCCGGCCATGCTGACCTGAGGAGAGCCCGGGGATGGGACAGGGAAGATGGTGTCTGAGCTGGTCTCACCCAAAATAGGGTCAGATCAGGGATGAGGGCCACAGGAAACTCGAGAGTCTCCCAAGTTCCAGTTCAGTAACCTATCATCCAAGTCCCTGCCCTGCCTCTAGGAGTTCAGGCACACCCATCCCCTGGAAGGTGAGACTTCCCTTTCCTCCACCATGAAGACAAGATGGCACCAGTTAAATCCAATGCCCTATCCACCATGTGGCCAAGATGGCGCCGGTGAGACCCAGCATCTCCACTCCTTCTCCCCAGGCTCGGGGGCTGGGCGTGGAGGGCTGGTGTGTGTGCGGGAACAGATGCTGCTCATTGTCTTACCCAACAGCTCCAGCCAACACCAGTAGAATGAGAATGACCACAGTCCCAGCCTCTGCTACCAGCCCTGTGTTTGAGAGGTACTGCCAGCCCCCTTGGGGCCCTTCATGTCCCCCCACCCCCCCATCACCCGCACCAGCCATCCAGCTTTCAGCAGAGAGGCTCCGGGGCAGACAGTCACTATAGCTGGCTTTCCCTGGGTCTCAAGTTCTCCATTTGCGAAATGCAATCGGTGTCCACAGCTTCTATCACCTGTGTCATGGTCGGCACCATTGCTGTGTGTGGCCGGCTGTCCTGTGAGTTCAGGACATCTGATGGCATCCAGCCTTTGCTCACTAAGTACCAGTAGCATCTAATGACAGCACAGATGTGTGTGTGTCTGAGTGTCCAGATGTGGCCACCAGAAATGTCTCCAGACACTGGCCAGGGGTGCCTCAGCATGGCCACCTCCAGCCCAAAGCCTTTCCCAGGCCATGGGCGTCTGACCTCCTCCACCTGCCCCTGGTGTAGGAGAAGCAGGTCCCCTCCCTTCTCCTCCGACGCCCACAGTTCCTCTCCCCTCCCCCTGACTCCCAGACACCATCTTGAGTTTGTGGGTGGGGTGTGGGGTCGGGCTCTGCTACCTCACCTGGCTGGTCTTGTTCCAAAGCCCCCCTCCTCCCAACTGGAAGATCCTCATTGCTGCCGTGGTGGTAACCGGCCTGCTGCTGCTGGGGCTGGCTCTCCTAGTGGCCCTGTACCTCAGGAAAAGGCGAAGAAGAGCCGGGAAAGGTGAGCCCTTCCCTCAGCAGACCACCATGTGCTCTGAACTTCTTAAGCAGGTCCTGATAAGACAGGGGCTCACGTCTGTCATCCTAGCTACTCAGGAGGCTGAGATCTGCGGATTGGAGCTCAAAGCCAGTCTGGGGAGGAAAGTCCATGAGACTCTTATCTCCAATGAATCACCAGAGAACTGGAAGTGGCGCTATGACTCAAAATGATAGAGCACTAGTCTTGAGTGAAAAAGCTCAAGGACAGTGCCCAGGCTCTGAGTTCAAGCCCCACAACTAACAATAAAAGGAGCAGGGATAGATCCTGAACTCCAGGAACGGCAATTCTCACCTTCACTTTACCAAGGAGGAGCCTGAGACCACCAGAAGGGAAGTATCCAATGACACCTCTCCTTTTTGCCAGTTCAAGGACTGTGTGTGTGTGTGTGTGTGTGTGTGTGTGTGTGTGCGCGCGCTGATATTGATGTTTGAACAGGGCCTCCTGTTCACCCTTGACTTTTTCACTCAAGGCTGGTGCTCTACCACTTGAGCCACAGATAGCTCTACTTTGGGCTTTTTGCTGGTTCATTAGAGGTGAGCCCCATGGAGTTTCCTGGCAGGGCTGGCTTCAAACTGTGATCCATCAGTCTCAGCCTACTGAGTAGCTAGGATTTCAGGCATGAGCCACCAGTGCCGGAACATTTCTGGAACTTTTGAATCTTGACGAGTTTTTTGTTTGTCATGGGCCTTGAACTCTGGACCTGGGTGCTGTCCCTGAGCTCTTCAGCTCAAGGCTAGTGCTCTGCCACTTGAGCCACAGCACCACTTCTGTTCTTTTGGTGGTTAATTGGAGATAAGAGTCTCAGACTTTTCTGCTTGGGCTGGCTTTGAATCGCAATCCTCAGCTCTCAGCCTCCCGAGTAGCTAGGATGACAGGTGTGAGCCTCCAGCTCCCGGCTGAGTTTCAGGTTTTGAGCATAGAAAGCTACAGCATTTATGTTCTTTCTTGCTTTCCTTGCTTGGTTGGTGCACATGGCATGCCTGTACCTTGTACTCATTAACTACATGCCCCATGGTGTTTTCACAGCCTGACCTATGTGAGTGGGTAGATTCATATTAGAGCTCATCAAAATTTACTTTTTTTTTGGGTCTGGTTGTGGGGCCTGAACTCTGGGCCTGGGTGCTGTCCCTCAGCTCTTCAGCTCAAGGATAGCGTTCTACCACTTGAGCCACAGCACCACTTCCGGCTTTTTTTTTCTTTTTGCTTATGTGGTGCTGAGAAATCGAACCCAGGGCCTCATGCATGCAAGGCAAGCGCTCTACCACTGAGCCACCTTCCCAGCCCCGAAAATTTACTTTTCCAAGTTATAAAAATCCCAAGAGAGGGGCTGGGAAGGTAGCACAGTGGTAGAGTACTTGCATGCATGAGGCCCTGGGTTCCATTCCTCAGTACCACATAAGCAGAAAAGGCCGGAAGTGGCACTGTGGCTCAAGTGGTAAAGCGCTCGCCTTGAGCAAAAGAAGCTCATGGATAGCACCCAGGTGCAGAGTTCAAGCCCCAGGACTGGCAAAAGAAAAAAAAGTTACTATTATATATTTTTTATTATATCATAAGGGTGATATACAGAGGGGTTACAGTTACATAACTCAGGTCAAGTGTACATTTCTTTTTAGACAATGTCACCTGTTTCCTTTCCCTGTTTTTCCTTCCTTTCCCCAGTCACAAGTTGTATAGTTCATTTTCAACATAGTGTCTAGTGAGTACTACTGCTACATTTGTTCACCTTTTGTCCCTCCATTTCTGTGTCCCACTTACCCTCCCAAAGATAGACAAATGCACAAACAAGACAAAAAGAAAACAAAATGACAACAAAGAAAAAAACCTCTCGTTTCCATTTCCTGGAGTTCACTTCAGTTTTATTTTATATGATCAGAGCACATAGGCATTGTGCTTTTGGGTTCCTCCCTGAAGAATATCTTCCTTTGGTCTCACTGTGTGTGGATGCCTAGAATCCTGTATAATTCATTATAACTTGGTGTCCTTTAGATCTAGTTTCTGCATATGAGAGAAAACATGCGCCGTTTGTCTCTCTGAGCTTGGCTGACCTCAGAGGAGTTCCGAATTTTATAGACTTGTATCTCATACTGGGTAACATCCCTGAGTGGCTCACCACAGTATTTTTATATGATGAAACAGAACAGCAAAATACTGACACGCTGCACATTTCCCCTTTCTTTTTTTCTTTTTTTTGTGCTGGTCCTGGGGCTTGAACCTCAGGGCTTGGACACAGTCCCTGAGCTTTTTTCCCCTTTTCTTTAAAGTCAGTTGTGGGTCTTGAACTCTGGGCCTCGGCGCTATCCCGCAGATCTTCAGCTCAAGGCAAGCACTCTACCACTGGAGCCACAGCACTCTTCCGGTTTTCTGGTGGTTAACTGGAGATAAGAGTCTCATGGCTTTTCCTGTCCAGGCTGGCTTTGAACCGTGATCCTCAGATCTCAGCTTCTTGAGTAGCTAGGATTACAGGCGTGAGCCACTGGTGTCCAGCTTCCCTGACCTTTTTTACTCAAGGCTAGTGCTCTACCACTTGAACCACAATTTCACTTCTAGCTTTTTTTTGGCAGTTAATTGGACATGAGTCTCATAGATTTTCCTGCCTTGGCTGGTTTTGAACCATGATCCTTAGATCTCAGCCTCCTGAGTAGCTACAATTATAGGTGTGAGCCACTGGTCTTCTCATTGTGTGTGTGTGTGTGTGTGTGTGTGTTCAGGAGTGAGTTACATGTGCATGTGTGTAAGAGGGTGTGCTTGTAGGGCAAATTGTGTTTTGTATTTTGGTTACTGGTTTAAAAGCTTGGAAAGACATTACTGTGAATAATAAAAAGTATAACCAGGGCTGGGAAGGTGGCTCAGTGGTAGAGCACTTGCCTTGCAAGCATGAGGCTCTGGGTTCCATTCCTCAGCACCACATAAACAAAAAAGCCGGAAGTGGTGCTGTGGCTCAAATGTAGAGCACTAGCCTTGAGCTGAAGAGCTGAGGGACAGTGCCCAGGCCCAGAGTTCAGGCCCCACGACTGGACCCCCCCAAAAAAAAGTATAACCAATATATCTGCCAATTGGTGAAAAGGATAATATAACCACCAACTAAATTTGATGGTGAAACTGGGAATTGTTAGTGATCTGAACTAATCACTCAATTTACCTGTTTTATGAAATTAGCCACAGGAATCCAGTTTCTCTGGTTCCTTCCTTGCTTCCTTCCTTCCTTCCTTTCTTTATGTCATGGGGCTTGAACTCCGGGCCTGGGTGCTGCCCCTCAGCTCTTCAGCTCAAGGTGAGTGTTCTACCACTTGAGCCACAGCACCACTTCCTATTTTCTGGTGGTTAATTGAAGAGTCTCACAGCCTCTCCTGTCAGATCTCAGTCTCCCAAGTAGCTAGGATTACAAGCATGAACCACCGGCGCGGGGCAGTTCTCTCTTAGGCACTGCTCTGGGGTGGGTGCTTGGCACTTCCCTGCAAGCTGAATGAGCCACAGCCTCTCCCCTGGGGATTGTCCCTGCTGCCCTCCTCCTTTATCTTGACGGGAGGAGGGCAGGGGTGGGCCCTAGCTCACCTTGGCTGTTTTCTGCACAGGCGAGAATGAATCCCACCACGTCTATGATGATATTCCAGTGCGGAAGGAAGAGCCCCCGGTGAGTGGGTACAGCTCAGAGGACCTGCGGCTATTGCTCTTTCAAACTTCCCAGCTGGCACTCACTCATGGTTTCTATTTATACCAACTTTTGACACACACTCGTGATGGCTCATGCCCCTGCCACCTCGTGGCCTAGTCACATTTCCCCGAATTTCCTAACTCAAGTCTTGATCCTGGGAGAGACTCAGAGACAAAGAGACTAGCTGACCCAACTCTTCACCTTCACTCCCACAGTAGGCAGCCTTTCCCGCCTCCTAGGTCACTAGCCAGCCTATGGCTTGGCTACCATTGTCCGATCTCTGTGATGGACAACAGGGTTCCCCAAGCCCCTCCGCAGAGGCTCAGGCCTGGGAGCTTCCCCTGGGGCAGCTCTACAGGAGATACCTGAAAGCACAGAGCCATAGGACTGGCTGCCGGCCCACCTGCTCTGTGTAATAGGGGGCCAGTTCTATACACAACGCGGCTACCAAGTCCTCTCCTAGCTCAGTGCTACTTACTTGAGTGTGCAGACAAATCACTTGTTAAGAGTTTAAGATGACTTCTCCAGAGGCTAGGTGATGCCCATCTGTGTTCCTGACAATCAAGAGGTAGAGGGAGGAAGATCAAGAGTTCTATGCCAGCCTGAGCTATGTAGCAAGGCCCTGTTCTCAAAACCCAAAGCTTGAGGTTGTGGCTTGGGAAGACAATGCTTGTCTTACATGTGTGAGGCTACACACACACACACACACACACACACACACACACTTCTTAGGCCCTGCTCCTACAAACCTTGCCTCAATGATTCTGGGTAGAGCCTGATTCTGTTGCATGTCGAGCCAGCTCTTTGGTGAAGAGTAGAAGGCTCACGGAGGGGGTAGGGCCAGGCCAGGGATGCTCAGCCAGCCAATCCTCAGGAGCTTTGCATGACGAACACCCTGCCCCTCCTCCTCCTCCTTCCACTCAGCTCTGGGCACCCAGCAGCTCGCAGCCACTCCGATTGTCACCCACAGTGTCCCTCCGTGTCTCTTCTTGCTGCCAGGGCTCTGATCGGCGGATCGTCTCCGATGAGGACACGGGGAACCTCTGCTATGCTTCACTCATCCACTCAAACCCACTGGGCTTTCCAGAGTCCATCAATGCCAACACTCACCCTGCCCAGAAGCCCATGCCTGACCCTCTTCGGTTCGTGGAATACACCAGCATTGCCAGAAGCAGACCACAGCGCCCCCTATCTGCTGCCCCAGAGGAGGCATCAAGGAATCAAAGGCAGAATTCCCGGGACAGAGAGCAGTTACCAAATGCTCACTAGGTGCAAATGTACCTTACCAGCAAGGGGGGTGGAGAGGGGTGGGGGTGGTGCTGAATCCCGTGTAACTAAGATAGCCAGATGCTATCAAGGGCCATGCTGCCCTGAGGAAAAGCCCTCATCTACCTAGAGGGCTGCACCTCTGCCCTCTGTGGGGTCTGGGCCCTGGGTGCAGGGTTTCTGTGCAATCCCAGCTCTTCTTTCTGTGACTCTGGCTTCCTTCCTGCCCTGGGTGGTGCAATCCCAGTGGATTGTGTAAGTTCCTCTCTTGATGCTTCTCCAGACCTGAAAGCTGTCTGGGGAGCCCTCCTCTCCGGCCTGGTCCAACCTGCCCTGAGCCCTTGTACTTACCCTTGCTCCTCTGCCCAGAACTGGGTCAGGCAGAATGGGTGGACAGCTGGTGTTCTGCTCCATCGTGGGGCCATTGCTAGGGGCTACGGATGTATCACCTGACCTCAAAGGTCACCAAACCTGGCTGGTGGGACTCACACCCGGGCAGCGGGCCTCACAGGGCTGCAGATGTGCCTCAAATGGTACAGCCCCCACTCCTGCTAGGGTACCGTGTAGTCTCAAGAGGACAGAGACCTCCCGCCTCCTGCTTGGGCAGCTGCTTTGTGGAGGGTTTTGTCACCCAGGAGCAATCCTGTCCTCAGTCACTGGGAGAACATCAGCCCTTCCACTGAGCGGGACTGAGGCTGGTGGCAACATGGCCAGGAAGCGGGTGAGATGCTGTGGAGGAGGGTGGGCGTGTGGAGCCTGGCGGGGTGTGGCCCTTGAGGGTGAGGTGTTCTTGGAGGAGGAAGCGGTGTAAGCTCCATCTCTGCTGCCACCTTCTGGGGCCTCAGTGTCCTGATGTAGCTCAGGCTCCAGCCTGAGCCGATTGTGCACCCCAGCACCCAGGTGGAAGACCAAGAGGCAGGCACGGGGAGGGAGCAGGGTGCTCTGAGCATCAACTTGGTCTTGGAGTCTTGGCAGCCAGTCCCAGGCAGGCACAAGTCCTCCTTTGCAACCTGGATGTGACTGCTAGAGGACCAGCAATCGCTGCATCCATGCTCTGGGGTCTTTGAACTGATCTTGAAATGACCTTGACTGGTTGCCATAATGCTATAACAGCTCCTCTGTTCTTGGCCTGCATTTGACTCCACTTTCCTCACGGGGGGGGGGGCACCTTTACCACATGCTCCCTGTCTTGAGTCTCCTGCCCACACTAGTCCAGCTGCAGCCAGCCCAGGAGCCATTTAGGGGTTGGATTTCCCATGATTTGTCCAAACCCAGAGGATTTTCTCAGACTAAAGTGCCTGGAGCTGAGGGCTGCACTGATTAGGCAGTGAGTAGAGATGTCTCGGCTGCAAGGCCTGGGGTTTAGGTTAGGACAATTCATGGGGGCTAGCATGGATGGGGTGCTTATAATATGCCAGACCCTTCTACATGCAAGAATGGTTCAGATCTCCCAAGAACTAAGGTGTTCTCCCTGCCCCCTATTTTGCAGATGGAGAAATTGAGGCAGAGAGTGGTTAATTTCCCAGAGATACACAAAGAGTGTTCAGTGCTCACGTTTAGCCGCCATGCTTCTGGGGGTTCATAAGAATTCCCTGAAGAATCTCATACTTGTCTGGTGCTGGTGGCTCACACCTGTCATCCTAGTTACCCAGGAGGCTGAGATCTAAGGATCACAGTTTGAAGCCAGCCTAGGCAGGAAAGTCTAGGAGACTCTTATCTCCAACAACAAACTACCAGAAAAGCAGAAGTGGAGCTGTGGTTCTAAGTGGTAGAGTGCTAGCCTTGAGCAAGAAAGCTCAGGGACAGCACCCAGGCCCTCCATGAGTTCAAACCCCACCACCACCACTACCAGCAACAAAACCAAACAACAAAAAAGAATCTCATGCTTGCACATGCATGCATGTGTAAATGTGTGCACACAGGTATGTGCATATTAGGCGAAGGAACACAATCCTGCCAGTACAAGGCAATCAAGACCATGTACAGCTAGAGGCGTGCTGGGGTTTTTGTGAAAAAGACTCTACTGGGCAGCTCCTGGGAAGACATTCCCGATTAACCAGATAGGATGCTTTGCATTCTTCCCTTTCACCCTCCTATGCCACCAGCAACAGCCCAGAAGCCCTTCTCCAGAGCTGTGACCTCAAGCATGGGAACCCTTCTCCTGCCACGGTGCCCAGGAACCGGCCACCATCCAACCACCCTGCCATTCGAGACAGGGGGATTGAGGAGAAGGAAGGAGGCGTCTGCTATGCCTTGGCCTTTGGGGTACCAGAAGTTTGGGGTTCCATTGCTGATAACTACAGTGTGAGCAGCATCCCTGGGGTCAGGCTGGTCCACCCTCCACTCCTTCCTGTCTGAAGCAAAACAAAATCAAAATAAATATCTGAGACAATTCTGGAGATCAAGCCATAGGGAAACCCGAAGTTAAATGTCCCAGCGAAGTTGTGATCATGACCGTACAATCCCAGAATGGAAAAGGGGGGGTGGGCAAGAGAACTGTGTATCTAAGGAGGCAGAGCAGGCCCCAGGAATGGGCATGGGGCCGACATGCTGGTATAGGGGCTTGAACTCGGGGAGTTGTCCCTGAACATTTTTTCTCTCTCAAGGCTGGCGCACTACCACTTTAGCCACAGTTTTTCCACTTCTGACCTTTTGGTGATTAATTGGAGATCAGAGTTTCACAGAACATCCTGTCCAGGCTGGCTTCCAACCATGACCCTCAGATCCCAGCCTCCAGAATAGCTAGAATTTTGATATATTCTTCACACTAAGCTGTGGCAAGACCGGGAAACAGCGCCCCCGTGTGGGAGACCCCCAGAGCGGGAGGTCGGGCCCGCCCTCTCTGGCCATGTTGGAAAGTCTTCAGTTTCTAGGAATGTGAGCCATCCTCCCGGTAACCCTGTGCATGTCTGTTGTTCCCATGTCACAGACGTGGAAGCCGTGGGCATGTGGGATGCAGCAGGAAGTTGGCCTCCACACCTACACTCTTGGTTCCTGCTTCAGTAAGGGACCCAGACAGAGGGAAAGACCAGAAGGGGCCTGCAGAGGTCCTACGTCCTAGGGGAGCAACTCAACCCTTAGGGCTGGAATCAGCCAGAGGAGGGGATGGCTACAGTGGAGCCTGAGCAGACTCCCACTCCGACAGGGCCACCCTGGCTGGCACTGGCAGGCAGGCAGCTGGCCTCTTACAGGTCTGCCATCCCCAGCTCCACACATCCACACCCACGCACCCCTCCCTGAATCACAAGCCAGACCCCAGTCCCGACGGTTGCTCAATCTCCAGGAGCCCAGTTCCTGTGGGCAGCGCCTGACCCTCTCTTTTCTGCGCTTCAAGGGAAAGAGCAGATCTTGCACAAGGCACTCCGTGTCTGCCCTTGGCTGGGGATGGGTGGCATGGATCCTCTCCGGCTGCTTGCCCTGCTCTCTGTCACAGGTAAGAGCCTTTCCTTGCCTGCCATGCCTTCCTTTGCTGTCTGGCCTTCAGCCTAGGGCTGGGTGGGCATGAGGGAGGCTGTGGAGAAGGCAGCAGCCCCGCGTGCCCGGTGCACCCTCTCCTCCCCATGATCGGAGCCCACGCAAGCCAGAATCCAGGGGATTCTGGTCATGTGGGAAGGGAAGGCATTCTGGGGGTGGCATCTCAGGCCTGAGCTGGCCGTCGGGCAGGACCAGTGAGGGTTGATTGGTCAGAGCTGCCAAACTTATGAACCATATAAGTATGTGACTTGTCCCAGAGAGCATCAGAGAGAGGGAAGGAAGGAGAAAAGACCCCAGGACAGCAATCTGCATCCGTAAGCCATCCCTCCCACACCAGGAAGAGCTTCCTGACCATAGCTCTTTTTATTTTACTTATTTATTTATTTATTTTTTGGGTCCGGTCGTGGGGCCTGAACTCTGGGCCTGGGCACTGTCCCTCAGCCCTTCAGCTCAAGGCTTGTGCTCTACCACTTGAGCCACAGCGCCATTTCTGGCTTTTTTCTTTTTGCTTATGTGGTGCTGAGGAATCGAACCCAGGGCCTCAGGTATGCAAGGCAAGGGCTCTACCACTGAGTCACCTTCCCAGCCCTTTTATTTATTTTATTATTTATTTTTTTATGCCAGTATTGCGCTTGAACTCAGAGCCTTATGCTCTTGCTTGGCTTTCTCTCTCTCTCTCTCTCTCTCTCCCTTCCTTCCTTCCTTTCTTCCTAAAATCAAAGCTAGCATTCTACCACTTGACCCATACCTCCACTTCCAGCTTCTTGTTGGCTAACTGGAGATGAGTCTTATGGACATTTCCTTCCCGCATCCCCCTCTCCCCCTCCCCCTGGCTTTGAACTGGGATCGTCAGATCTCAGCCACCTGGGTAGCTAGGATTACAGGCGTGAGCCAGTGCTCAGCCTGACCTCATCTCTTGCTGGGAGGTTCACTAGCACCCCAAATCCTTGCACATGACTGCTTCTCCCCATCAGATGCAGGCTGGCGCCCTTTGCGCTCCCAGCATGAGGGGTACACTTAAGTGAGAAGGGACAGGGTGGGGGAGGGGATTGGTCGATTTGCTTGCAGCCCCTGCCCATCTCCTCCATCCCCCAAGAAGCAGCCCCAAAATAGCAGCCTCATGTCTCCCTCAAAATAGCTCTGAGATGCATCCTTCTTGAAAGGGGAACAAAGCCACAGAAAGAGGGAAGCTGGGAGCTAAAGGTCAGGAAAGAGGAGCGTGCGGAGTCAGTGCCAGTGTGGATGGCAAACATGGCTGGGGGGAGGGGCCCAGTCCAGGCCCAGGGCTGCCCAGGGCTGGGGGCCACCAGCTCAGCCCTCTCTCGATAGACGAGATGCCATTTTCTCATATGATGGGGGGAACTAGAGAGGCTTGAAGATCAAGTGTCTCTGAAAATAGGCCCAGAGAGGGTGTTATTTTTTTTCCCCCAGAGATGCCCAGCAAGTACCATAGTGAGAAACCCAGGCACAGAACCCACATTTCTTGGTTCCCATCTCACACTGATGCGAACGGTGCCACTTCCTTCCTCCTGAAAAGACAGGGCTTTTTCTATCCGTCTGGTTCACTGTATGCAGTAGGTGTTCAATAAATACTGGGCGCGTGGTGGAAGAAATGAATGAATGAATGTCTCCTCTCCAGCGCTGTCGGGAGCCCACAACACCACCGTGCTGCGGGGCATGGAGGGCCAGTCCCTGCGGGTCTCCTGCCCGTACGACGCGATGAAGCACTGGGGGCGACGGAAAGCCTGGTGTCGCTTGCGAGGTGAGGGGGGGCCGTGCCAGCGCGTGGTCAGCACGCACAGCCTCTGGGTGCTGGCCTTCCTGAGGCAGCAGAACGGCAGCACGGCCATCGTGGACGATGCCCTGGCCGGGCGCCTCACCGTGACCCTGCGGAATCTACAAGCCCACGACGCAGGCCTGTATCAGTGCCAGAGCCTCCGGGGCCAGGAGGCTGACACGCTGTGGGAGGTGCTGGTGGAGGTGCTGGCAGGTGAGCGGGCGGCTGGGCCTCACGCCTGCCCTTCCTGCTGGGTCTGGTGCGGAGCATCTGGAGTGCAGGCCGCTCTCCAGGGTCCAGGAGATCCTGGGAAAATCCACCCACAGATGGTCGTGTAGGTTGTTCACTGTGCATGGAAGCCCCAATCCAGTCTAGACTCCTCTTGCTGGGCCCCCTGGTGTAGGGAAAGATGCCCATCATGCAGGTGATCGAGCACTTGATCTGTTTGCTCGCCTGTGAGTCTATCAGATTCATTCATCTGCGAATCCCACCAGCCATGGGACCCATTCGCGTGAATTCAGCACCCCTCAAAAAGCAAACACCCCTCCGAAGGAAGGCTGACTGACCCTGGGCCTCTTGTAGCCCATGGTAGACCTGGGTTCCTCTCTATTGAAGAGATGATAATGGGGGGTTTATCCTGGGGGCCCCAGGGCTCCCCTAGGTGGTGGGGAGAGAGGAGACGGGACATCCGCTAGTCTCCTGCTCCGCACTGACTTCCTCCCAGGCTTTTCCCACCCCCAGTGCTACAGAGCCACCGTCCTGTCTAGTCAGCAGGACACAGAGAGTCACAGAGAAAACAAGTCGAGCGTCTAGACCTGACTCTCCACTCTGGCCCTGCGTGACAGACATGAGGGTCTGGAGTAGTACTTGCCTAAGGTGGCGAGGCATCTTCTCTACGAGGAGGAGGAGCCACAAAGCTCAGCCCTAACCGGAGGCCCAGCCAGGCCCCAAAGGGCTCAGGAAAACAGTAACACTGCCGCCCCCGTGCGGGCCACCCTCGGCCAGTAGGTTCTGAGAACCTGTGCTGTGCAGTGCCTAGCAGTGCCGGAACTAGCAGAGATTCCCCTGAGCTGGTCCCCACTGTCAAAGGGGCATTGCTAATGGCTCCACTTTATAGGTCAGGAAATTGAGGTGCTTAATAGCCGATCCGCGGCGGGGGGTGGGGGGTGGGGAGCGTTCACCCCACAGCCACAGAGTATGTACACTCACAGCTCTGCCCTCCACAGACCCCCTGGAGCCCCAGAGTGCTGGAGACTTCTGGGTCCCTGAGGGATCAGAGAGCTTCGGAGGGGTCCAAGTAGAGCACAGCATCTCCAGGTACAGTGACTGGGCAGTGACTCCCACCCTGTGGGGTGGGGGTGGGAAGGTGGGACCCCTCCTGCAGGGTGGGGTGGGGTGGGATGGGATTGGAACCCAGTACCATGAATTCCAGGAGCAGGAAAGGGGCCGGGAATGGTCTTGTTCAAACACCCCTCAAACAGTTAAGTGTGACCGGGCCAGCTGGCAGAGATGGAAATCCTTCTATAGCAGCTTCTAGAGTGTTGCTCTAGGGCTGGTGGTTTGACTCAGTGGTAGAGTACCTGCCTAGCAAATGTGGGGACCTAGGTTCAAGTACTCTGTCTCTCCCCAAAATATTATTATTATTATTGTCGGTTGTGGGGTTTGAACTCTGGACTTGGGCGCTGTCCCTGCGCTCTTCAGCTCAAGGCGAGTGCTCTACCGCGTGAGCCACAGCACCACTTCTGGTTTTCTAGTGGTTTATTGGAGATAAGAGTCTCATGGACTTTCCTGCCTGGGGCTGGCTTTGAACCGTGATCCTCAGACCTCGGCCTCCTGAGGTAGCTAGGATTACGGGTGTGAGTCACCAGCACCTGGTATGTTATTATTTTTTTATTTTACAAGACAACTGAAGAAGCAGACTCCTGCCCCCTCCCTAGGAGGCTCCACCTCCCCCACTGGCTCTACGTTTTTGGCACAAGACTAGAGCCTTCAGATCTCTTTGGTAGGACTAGGATCTATTCTGACCGGTCCTCTCTGATGCACTGGTGTCTAAATATGGTTTGAACAATGCCTGACACACATGCATGCATACACATGCGTGCACACATACACACACGTGCACACACATGCATGCACATATGCATGTACATATGCATGCCCACAGAGTATTAATAGGGCAGCAGAGCACTGCTGGGTGAGGGAAGGCGATGTGTTTAGCAGGTTGGTGGCCTGGGACTGGCTCTTAGGCTCCCGAGAGCTTCATAAAGCCCTACCCCAGCAATGGAACTGGGCAGGGAAGCCTCCTAAGCACCTAGACGCTCCTGGCTTCTCCCCATTTCAGCTCTGAGGGCAGATTCCAGTGTGACTCACTACCGGGCTCCAGCTACCCTCCTTCTCTCTCCCAGGAGCCAGCTAGGAGAGACCCCCTTCGTGCCCATGTCCATCCTCCTCCTTCTCGCCTGCATCTTGTTCTGCAAACTTCTAGCAGCCAGTGCCCTGTTCGCCATGGCCCGGCGTGGACAGAAGCGGGAGACACCTGTGGCCATTGGGCTGGACTGTGGTCAGGAGCCTGGGCACTCAGCGTCTGCCTGACAGGTGAGATGCGGCGGCGGCTGGGTGGATGGGGAAGGGATGGGAGGGGCTGAGTCCTCAGTCTGTTGCAGGACCAAGGAGCACATGAGAGAATCGGAGCTTGGATGAGAGGAGAAGCTGGGTGAGTCCATCCAGGGGCCACCCAATCTGCACGCTCACCAGCTGCCAAGACTCCGAGTCATGCTTTGGCTGCCTGCAGCCTGCCTACCCTGGGCCTGGAAGATGGGACATCTATTGGGGGGAGAGGGAGAGGGTAGCATGGGGAGTGGGTAGAGGGTAGATCACCTGTCAGCTTTAGAGTTTCAGACATTAAACATTCATGCTCCAACTCAAGACAATTCTGTAGTTATTGGATCCTTCCTTCCTTCTTTCCTTCCTCCTTCTCCTCCTCCCTCCTCCTCCTCCTCCTCCTTCTTCTTCTTTTTCTTCCTCTTCCTCCTTCTTTCTTCCTTCTCCTTCTTCCTTCTTTCTTCCTCTTCCTCCTCCTCCTTCTTCCTTCTTTCTTCCTTTTCCTCCTCCTTTCTTCTTCCTCCTCCTCCCTTCTCTTCCTTCCTCCTCCTTCTCCTTCTTCCTCCTCTTCCTTCACCTTCCTTCTTCCTCTTTTCATCTTCTTCCCTTCCCTTCCCTAGATCCATCACCAAGTGTGGGCTATCTCCTGGCCTTCTCCACTCCTCCCTCTGTGCCGGGCTGGCCCCTCTTTCACCCCCGGCCTTCCCCACCCATGCCTGCTTCCCCTCCCCAGGCCATCTGTCAGATGACTCATCCTCTCATCTCTCTAGAACTGTCTTTCCAGCTATCACTTCCCCTCCAAGAAATGACAAAGACAGAGTCACAGGATGGGACAGCAGAGCTGGGCTGGTGGTGCTGACAGATATCCATCCCTCTCAGTGCCTGAAAGGAAACCAAGGCTCCGCGAGGGAGAAGGGGGTGAGCCAAGATCCCTGGATTCTACCGGACACTCAAGGCATCCTTCCCTTGGGCTCATTTCTATTCATTCATTTTTACAACAATTGTTTTTGAGCACCTCGTTTGTGGCAGCTACGATTCTGGGCAATGGAGACACAATCGTGATCATCTTAGGCCCCGAGTTCTTCCTCCATGGGGTTCTAGTGGGAAAAGCAGAAAACACAATAAAGACAGTAAATTTGATAGCATCTGTTGAAGGGTGAAAGGCATTGATTGAGGAAACAAAGTAAAAACAAACCAAGGTGAAGAGCAGTGTTGGGAAGACGTTGGGTGCCGCCATTTTGAATAGAAGGAGCGGAGTGAGAAACCTGAGAGAGGAGGAAATGGATAGTGCTCCAGGACAGAAGAGGAGAGGACTGACAGCAGAGTCCCCACCACCTGCTTTTATCAGGGGCACTTTGGCTCAGGGAATAGGCCTACTACTGGAGCATAGTGGCGGCCCTGGGTTCTAGCCCCAAGATGGAGTTCTGCTGTTCTTGGTAACTCAGGAGTTCCATGCTTTCCTGCTGTGGCGTGGCAGAGCTACCATGTCTGGAATGGAGCGATGATTGGCATCTCTGCTGATCTGGACTGAGGGAGAGGAAGAGATCATTGGGTCTCAGTTTCACCTCTGTCTTCTCCACTCTTTTGAGCCTCTGTGTCCTGGATTATAAAAGAGTCAATCAATCAATCATCAGTCAGCAAATCAGTCCTTCCCCTGTCTACTTCACAGTGTTTTTTTCTTTTGGTCGTGGGTCTTGAACTTTGGGCCTAGGCTCTGTCCCTCAGCTCTTCAGCTCAAGGCGAGTGCTCTACCACTTGAGCCACAGCGCCACTTCCGGTTTTCTGGTGGTTTATTGGAGATAAGAGTCTCACAGCCTTTCCTGCCCAGGCTGGCTTTGAACCATGATCCTCAGATCTCAGCCTCCTGAGTAGCTAGGATGACAGGTGTGAGCCTCTGGCGCTGGGCTCCACAGTGTTTTTGTGAGGATAGAAGTACTATTTGTGAAAGTACCTGCCCAGGTGTCCTGCAGGTGTTCCTCAGCAAACACTTCCTCCTTGTAGAGCCCAGTAGCATGAGGTCTCCCTGGAGTCCAGGACCCATCCTGTCTGCCTCTGCCACCCCCACCTGCAGCTAAATGTCGAACCTAGTCCTGTGCTCCACAAAACAGCCCCAGCTGGTTTATTAAAGGCAAATAACTTTCTTATGATGTATAAGCACCCGCTTGGGCAGCACTTCTCCAGTTTCAGCGTGAAAGACCCAGGTCGTGGGAGACCGTACCCCTCCCCCTCTCCCTCCCCAGCTCCTGCCAAGCAGGGACTGTGGCCCTGTCACCCACTTCCACCAGACTCTGCTCAACACACGAGCTGGTCATCTCAGGTCCTGCTCTTCGTTCCCCATTTTCAATGGCCTGTGCCAGAAGAAAGGAAAAAGGAGGAGGGAGGAATGAAGGGGAGAGGAGCAAGGGAGAAGGCTCTTCCAGCTCTTTTCTAGGTTTCTTGCTTGAGACCACCAGTGGCAGCACCCCTCCCCCATCCATCCGCACTCCAGTTTCTCTGACAACTGCTTTGGGTTGTGACTCACCTTCGATCCCAGTTCCCATGAACAAAGGCTAGCTACTTCCTGTGTAGGGAGTAGGTTTGAGTCTTAGGAGAAGAAGAGAAGGAAGGAGGTAGAGGGAAGTAGAGAGGAAAGAGAAGAGGAGGAAGAGGAAAAAAAAGACAGAGGAAGGAAAGGAGAAGGAGGAGAAAGGAGAAGGAAGAGGAAGGAAGGAAAAGTGGAAGAGGAAGAGAAAAGAAAAAGGTGAAAAGAGAAGAGGCAGAATAGGAGCAGAAAGAGGAGGAAGGAACAGAAAGAAAAAAGAAAGAAAGAGGGAACGGGAAGGAAGAGAGAAAGAGAAGCGAAGAGGAGGAAAAAGAGAGGAGAGAAAGCTTTGCCCTGGGACATAAATCTCCTCTGGAGAAGAAAGGAAAGGACTCAAAGCAACCTCTCTGGAAGGCTCTCGTTTCCAAGGCAGGTCTGCTGCTCAATCGTGCTCAAACAAGGCTGGGTCTGCTCTTTGCTCACAAAGCCTGCATTGTGAAGAGAGAGGAAAATACCCATGAAGCACAAGTAGTATGTCACAAATAAGAGTGTTTGGAGAATGAGGAAGGGATTTTTTTTTTTTTTGCCAGTCCTGGGGCTTGAACTCAGGGCCTGGGCTCTGCCCTGAGCTTCTTTTGCTCAAGGCTAGCACTCTACCACTTGAGCCACAGTGCCACTTCCGGCTTTTTCTGTGTATGTGGTACTGAGATAATCAAGCCCAGGGCTTCATGCATGCTAGGCAAGCACTGTACCACTAGGCCACCTTCCCAGCCCCGAGGAAGGGATCTTTTAAGCTAAAAAATATTTAAGGAATAAAAGATCGGAAGGAGCTATAGAAGAAAAGCCACAAGGAAATCTAGAAGGCAGAATAGAATGGACAAAAAGATTGACGGGGGGGTGTGTTGAGGGAGGGGGAGGAGAAGTAATGGACATCCATGAATGCTTAGGAGTTCATGTCTAATGAATTAAAAGATTGCACACAAGCAGGAAGAGGAAAAGGACATGGGGAAGTTGTTATTCAGTGGAACACCTGTTTCCCAGAAGTGGAGAGCAGAACCAGGACCTGGGAGGGAAGAGCCGAGAGTCCAGACAGGTGTGAAGAAGGCTCTAGTCTGGGTGCAGTGAAGGGCAGAGGTTGTACTGAGCTGGTGTCCTGGGAGCTTGGGGTGGTGGTGGTGGCGGCGGTGGGGACACGCATAGAGAGATGGCATTGGGCCTTGTGTAGGGAGGGCCCTTTAATCTCCCCTACAGAGCTCTACCTCTGTGGATCTATTTTTGGGAGACTCTGAAAGTCTTTCCTCTTGCTCCTGCCCTCCGACTGCTGGCCTCCCCCATTGGAGGAGGCCAAGACTCCCTTCTGCATCTTAACTGCCTTGTCTTACCTCCTCTCTCAGGCTCAGGAGCCAACCAGAATTTGGAAGAGTTCCCCCACCTCCCCCGCCCTCCAACCCTGGAGGTAGCTCCCCAAGTCCCCCAACCCGGGAGGCACCCACGGGTCCCTGTCTGCCCATCTGTGGTTGCAAGCCCACGTGACTGTCTGGGACAGACGTTTCCTGCCCTGGCGCCCAGCTGTGCCAGGGAGCCACCAGCCTCTGCAGCGACCTTCTTCTGCCCAGCCATGCTGCCCGGCCGCCTCCTGCTGCTGCTCCTGAGCATCCCAGGTAAAGTTTGGCAGGAGTCGCTATGCCTCCCTTCCTCCCTCCCTGCTCACCCTCAAGTCCAGCCTGGACACTCTGGGCCCTTCCCTCCTGGGTCCTGGTTGTTTTCCTCTTCCTGCTGTGTGCAGTCTGTTGGGCTTTGAACTCCTAAGTATTCATCAAATGTCCATTACATCTCTCTGTCTCTGTCTCTCTCACACACACACTGTCCATCTTTTTGTCCATTCTATTGCACCTTTTAGACTTCCTTGTGGCTCTTCTTCCATACTGCCTTCTGATACTTTATTCCATATATATAATTTTTTTTTGTTGTTGGTTGTGGGGCCTGAACTCTGAGCCTGGGTGCTGTCCCTCAGCTCTTCAGCTCAAGGTGAGCGCTCTACCACTTGAGCCACAGCGCCATTTACTTTTTTTTTTTTCTGCTTATGTGGTGCTGAGGAATCGCACACAGGGCCTGACGCATGCAAGGCAAGCGCTCTACCCCTGAGCCACCTTCCCAGCCCCCCTTAAGTATTTTTTTTAACTTAAAAGATCCCTTCCTCGGTCTGGGAAGGTGGCTCAGGGGGAGAGTGCTTGCTTAGCCCGCGTGAGGCCCTGGGTTGAGTATCTCAGTACCACATACACAGTGGGCTTTTGTGGGAATCACGGCCCTCCACCACATCTGTGGGTCCCAGGGTCACCTTGGGGGGGGCTGGAGGTGGCCCCTCTCCTGCCCCTTGCTCACTGGGCTCCCTGCCCCCCGCAGGTTGGGGCTGGGCGCACAGCCTCCCCGAGCCGGTGCAGGCCCCCGTGGGCGGCTCCATCCAGGTGCAATGCCACTACCCGCTCCAGGAGGTGCGGGCCCCCAAGCTGTGGTGTCGCTTCTCCTCCACCCGAGGCTGCCAGCCCCTGGGGTCCTCGGCTGTGGATCGCAGAGCCCCCGGGAGCCGGCGGACCCTCCTCACCGACCTGGGCGGGGGGCTGCTGCAAGTGGAGATGCAGTCGCTGCGGGAGGAGGACGCGGGCGAGTACGGCTGCGTGGTGGAGAGCGCCTCGGGACCCTTGACCCTGCACACCATCGCCCTGCAGGTCCTCCCCCAAGGTGACTGACCAGGCCAGCCAGAGCCTGGGGGGGGTCCGAGGGAGTGGGGACCCCCCTCCCGGGTATCCTTTGACAGCTTGGAGCGGAAACCAGGCCGGGTTTGGGGAGCCTGAGATAAATCAGCTAGGCAGCCGCCCTCCCCGCCCCCTCCCAGCTAGTGCCTCTCTCCAGCCTCTGCAGGGAAACTCTGTCCCATTTAGAAAGGTTTTCAACAAAGTTCAGTTATGAATGGAGAGGAACTGTCATTCCTCCCATGTAATTCCTGTAATGGTGAGTTTGGAAACCTAAAGCTTATTGAGTTCTCATCTTAATTAACATCTTCCCTGTGGGTCTAGTAGACAGCTGGCCTGCAGGTGGGATACAGTCAATGCCTGGAATACTGCAGCTTATTCGATGATAATGATGAAGAAGAAGAAGATGATGATGATAATGTTTTAGTTTTCAAACGGGGAAGTTCTTGGTCACTATATAAGCTAAAGTGAACTCCAGCTCGAATTGCAACATAAAAAAATTGCTTTTTCTACTGAAACCTTTCTAGTCTCTAAGTGTTTATTTAAATAAAACTTCTGCCTTTCTCTTATAGATACAGATAAGTTTTCATCTTTTACTCTTCCTTTCCTCAAGTAATTTGTGTCCAATGCTCAGATAATAAAATTAAGAAGCTCATCTTCCCCCTCACTCCCCTTCCCCCTGGGCCAATTGGTTTTTTCCTTCTAAATAAGAGGGTAGATCATCACCGGAGTACCTTTAATCCTGAGACCATATTATTTTATATTAAAAAATAGCCGCTAGTTATTCTTTGTCCTCCTTATTCTTGGATATGTCAAAGTCTAGTAGGTCAAGGTTTTAGCTCTCTCTAAAAGGCAAACATAGCGATACACAAGACTGGAAAGAGGGGCAGAGGATGCATGCCCAGGCAAGCAGGTGGACCAGGCTGGGGGTGGGGTGGTAAGGCTTGCTTCTCACGCAAGCATTTAGTTTGAGGGGCACCTGAGGCCACCCGGGGGACACGTGGGAGAGGCATGTGCAGCAAGACTGGCCTCCCAGCACTTTCTGGTTCGGAAGAAGGTAGGGATGAGAATGGTGGATCTATGGAGAACAAGGCAAGGTCCCATCACGGATGGTCCAGAGGGACTGGCCAGGCGTCCAGCGTGGGTGTGTTCACCCAGAGAAAGCAAGCTAGCACACCGCAGAGATGACGCCATTCGTGTCACAAAACTGAGTCAAGGGGGACAGCTTGACTCTCAGTGAGGGTCAGTTGGTGTTGCATTGCATGTGGGGTGACCTGGAGTCCCCTAGATCCTAACAGCAGAGCCCATTCAGGATGGGGCCCAAGCCATCTGCAGGAGGGGGCTCACCGAGTTGCAGAAGTGTGGGGGGGGGCCCCGTTTGAGATTCAACGGGAGCCAGGAGCAAGGAGACCGAGGAGCTGAGGAAAGCTGTCCTGTGTGGCACTGGGCAGTGGTGTTTTGACATAGTCTGAGCCACCTGATAGGAACAGAGGGGGTTGGGGTGAGCAGATGAAGAAGAAACACAGGAGCGAGTGAGTGGGGGCTGGTGGCAGAGGGAAAATGGGTGTATTCACAACCAGGCAAAGGCTCAAAGAGTCAATGCTGTTTCCCAGCCCAGGATGAGAGGCACCCAGGGAACATGTCCAGCCTCTGCTTCCTTAGGCCTCTCCTTCCTCAACTTCTCTTCCCAGTTCCTCAGACCTCACCAAGCCATGAAGCCTGCCCACTAGGTCATGCACACATCTACTATTTCCTTCTGATTCAGGTCCTGGCCTGCAAGGGGAGGAGGAGGGGGAGGAGGAGGAAGAAACTCATATGATGGGCAGTCTGGCCAAGGACCCAGTGTTGGACCCTACGAGCAGTGCCAATCCTGGGGAGCTCGGTCAGCATGAAAGGAGGTACTTGCAAGACTGGTTTTGGGTGGCTGGGAGAAGGGAAAGTAGAGCTATAACTTGTTTTAAGTTCTAGACTTATCAAGCTGGGGAGCTGTATGGCTCCTTCCATCCTGGGGGAACTTCCAGCCAGCAGATGGACCGGTTTCTCCATCTCAGTTCATTCTGGTGGCTCTTTAACCAGAACACCTTGCCAGTGTGTCTCTCTCGTGACCCACTGGCGCCTGCCCTTCTCATTCTATTCCATCTACCTCTCCACTATGGCTTCCCAGAGAATGTGGCAGGTCTTCCACTGCATGCAAAGCTCCTGGCTGGCAGGTCTTGCAGGGTACGGGCCTAAACTCATCCACTCTTTTCTGTCCCTCAGCATCCCCTTGATCTGGGGTGCTGTCCTTCTGCTCAGTCTGCTGGTGGTGGCTGTGGTGCTGTTTGCCCTAGTGGCCAGAAGGAAAGGTATGTCACTGTTATCCACTTACCCCAGGCTGGCTCCACTGGTCCACAAGGAGTCTTTACAGAGGGATGTGTTTGGGCGTTAGGCAAATCCACACACCCTAGAGTTCCCATGGTTAGGGGACAGAAGGGAGGGAGGGAGATTCTGCAGGGGTAGGACTGGGGGAAGATGGGACTTGGGAAGGGCAGGGGGTGGGACTGGCAAGGGGAGGTAGGAGGCAAGGACTGGACTCCAGGAGCAGGTGGACGGGAGCAGCAAATGAGTGAGGAGATGGGAGGGGTAGAGGTGAGGTGGTGAGGCTGGGTGAGTAAGCGGCATCTGCCCTAGGTAAAAGGGTTCAGAAACGTCTGGAGGGAGCGAGGGGAAGAGCTGGGAGCCAGCCGTGGAGGTGACAGAGCTGCTGTTGTCTGTCTGCCAGGGAACAGGCTTGGGGTCTGCGGCCGTCTGCAGAATAGCAGAATTTCAGGCATGGTAAGAGGCTCCTGAAGGTCCACAGCCAAATTCCCTAGACCCTTCACCCTTCATCCTCGCTGAGAGGTTTCAAGATGATGGGGTGCCGAGAAGATGGAGACCCAGTCAAGGTCCAGACCCTTTTTCTAGTGCTTTAAACTCGACCCCAGTGGTACCTTACCTTTTGAGATCTGGAGAGTACCTTGATGATGTTTGACACAAAGCCCTTTAGCCTACTGCCATACTTGGGATTTGAGAGACAGAGCTAGGGTGGTCCTGGGCCTTCCTAAAAAGGAACTGGGACAGAGGAGGGAATCCTCTCTTTCTCTGATTCCTCTGTGTTCGCTTCAGGATTCCTTGTCGGTAGTCAACCACATCAGTGATTCTGGACCGGCTGCTGGATTGCCTTCGGATGTACCATACGTCAGGCTCGACTCGCCACCTTCTTTTGATAACAGCACCTATACCAATCTACCTCTTGATCCCCCCGTGGGGAAATCTCCAGTCTCACCCCCGTCCTCAGTGCCTGCTCTACCTCCGAAGGTTCTGATGTCCTCCAAGGCTGTAACCTATGCCACAGTCATCTTCCCTGGAGGGGACAAAGATGGGAGGGCATCCAGTGAGCCAGCTCAGGATCCACCTGCCAGCCAAACCCCACCAAGCTAATTCATTCACCATGTGGATACTCAGGGAACCACAAATTCTGTGTACCCTCCAACTAGCTCGTGCCTTAGACCTTGGAATAGCTGAGCAACGAGGGATGTTAGGATCAAATCTAATATCCTGTCTTGACTAGTAGGAAAGTTATGTGTAGATCGGACTGAGGTGTCTTGTTCCCTGTTTCATTTCATATCTGGATAAATAAACCCTAAAAATGATATGCAAATGCTTAATGGGTATGTGTGTGTGTGTGTGTATGTATGTGTGTGTGTGTGTGTGTGTGTGTGTGTGTGTGTGTGTGTGTGTAAAAAGTCTCCATGTTGACTAGTCCCTTGTTCTGTGATCTGAAAAGCCTGGCCGGGAGTTTGTAGTTCATGACCTCTTGCCTGTGCTGTTCCGGGAAACAATTCCTCCCTAATTGTATGACTGCAATGCAGTTGGATTTCAGAGGCACCACAAAATTTGCTTGGGAAACATTTCCTGCGTCTCTCAGGATGCTGAAGTGTAGCTTCATTTGCTTGAGTCAAGAAAGCTCTTCCATCTTCTGCTCAGTGCCTTGTGAATAAGGGGCGTATCCCCGTGTGATAGGCTGTGATGGGCATAGGGATAGTTAGTACTGGGTTAAAGCAACCCAGGACTGATGGATGTGAGAAACAGGACTGAAAAGAAACAGGAAAACAGGAGAAAGGACAAAAATGGAGATAGACACCAAACCTGTTTCCCAAAAGAACAGATGATTTCTAGCATTGGGAAATAAAGACCTCTGTAGATACCAGCTGGAACTGGCTGTCTCTAGAGAGGAGAGGAAGAGGAGGAGGTGGTGGTGGTGGTGGTAGAGGAGGAGGAGGAGGAGGAGGAAGAGGAGGAGGAGGATATGAATAAGACCTATGTCAGGTAGAAATATTGAATTCACAATAAAAACACTTCCCACACTTGGCTTCACTAATGAATTCTATCAGCCACCAAAAGCAAAAAACTAAAATAAAGGCAAAAGATTGGTGACCCACAAATCAATAGAATCTCCTGGGGATAGAGCTGGGGCAGGTGGGGGGCAGCCCGTCTATAGGCCGTGATGGTGAATTGAGGTAGGTGATGGCGAGAAGCTACCATCCACAATAGTGAATCATTTAAAAAACATAAAACGTTGGCGAGCAGGACAGAGGAAGAGATAACACTCTAGAAGGCGGAGTGACTTGTGGGCTGTGGATCACATACAGTGTCAGGATGTGAGGGCTAGGTTAAAAAAATGGAGTCTGGGCTGAGAAAGTGGCTCAGTGGTAGAGCGCTTGCCTTGCGTGCCTGAGGCCCTGGGTTCAATTCCTTAGCACCACAGAAGCAGAAAAAGCTGGAAGTGGTGTTGTGGCTCAAGTGGTAGAGCACTATCCTTGAGCTGAAGAGCTGAAGGACAGTGCCCAGGCCCAGAGTTCAGGCCCCACGACAAGCAAAAAAAAAAAAAAAATGGAGTCTCACATTGATCAAGATGCATGGCACTCACAAATGGATTTGTTTGATAGTAACCCACTTGTACATCCATTTAAAGGTAACAAAAACAGAATAAAATTAGACAGTGGAATGATGAGAGAGTACATCAGTGAACATGGCAGGCCAAGTGACACGGTAGAAGGAGGGGTGAAAATGAAAGAAAACCCAACTAACACTGGTTTCAATACTGAAAAGATGTGCAGGCCAACCAGACGGGTGTCCTGGAGCCCACACCGCATATCAGCACTTGGGAACCTTCTCTTCCTAGCATTTGGCTCTGGTGCAGCGGCAATAAATTAGTACAAAAGGTTCCCATCTGAGTCCACAGCTTTAGGAATCAAAAATCCCTCCCTTGTCATCTCTGGGAATCTACAGCTAGGATTAGGTACTTATCCCCCAGAAGGCTGACCTAGAGTGTCGATCTAGCCACAGGTATTCTAGAGACTGAGCTCCATGGGTGGGTGGGTGGGAAGGACTGGTCAGAGTCAGGATGAGGGCAAGAATAGGAGTTAAGTAGGGCAGGTAGCAATCAGCACTTTGGGAAGGAGAAGAAATGTTGCAAAGTGATTAGGTGCATGAGCTAAGTTATGGAAAGTTGGAGACCTAGAGGGTAAAGCTAGGGAATATTCTCCCATGGTGCTAGAAACTGCATCCTGATAGACATTTGAATGCACCAGAAACTAAGACCAGCTCAAGGAAAGCTTGTGGTTCACCTCTTTCAGTCCTGAAAGGCAGGATGGCTCGATGTAATTACTGTTGGCTGTCCACAAACTGCTGCTAGAGGATATGGGAAAAAAAGCAGGAGCCAAATAGCAAACACCTTCTGCTCTCAGTAGGGAACAGGTAGCCAAAGTGGCCACAGAAAGCAAAGCAAAGCTAGTCTGTATACACAGATTTTATATAGCTGCCTCCTTGTCCTCTTAAAAAGAATATTTTCAGTATTTTCCTCACTTTTTTCTATATTTACTTTTTTCATAATTTTAAAATTAAGCTGATCCGTTTAGGTATTTACATATAATTTAATTCTATTTTAAGTATAATTTGGTTTTTCATTTGCTGTTATATTCCCTCCTATTTTTATCGATTCAGTATTTGATTTCTTTGACCTGTTTTGTTTTCTCTTTTTGAGATGGGTTCTTGCCATAAGGTCAAGGCTGGACTAAGACTTGAGGTCTCTCTGCCTCAGCTTCCTTAGTGCTGGAATCTTTAGATATGACCCACCACATTCATTCTTCACTAATGGGAATCTAAATCATTTTAACTACTATGCAAATCAGTATAAGGGTTCCTCAAAAAAGTTAAAAGCAGATATTTCCATACGATCTTGTCCCATTACTTCTAAGTACAGACCTAAAAGGAGCAAAGTTAGAGACACCTGCTTACTCATGTTCATTGCCTCACTCTTTACAATAGTCAGATTATGAACTCAGCCTAGCTGCCTATCAGTGGATGAATGGGCAAAGAGAATCTCACACACACACACACGCACACACACACACACACACACACACACACACACACACACGAGTTTTATGCAGCCTTAAATAATAATTTTGTTTGCAGGAAAATGAGTGGAATTGGTGATAACACGTTGTAAAGTGAGCCAGTCCCATAAAGACAAGTATGAATGTTTTATATTTAAATTGTGAAAGTAAAAAGGGGAGCGTTGGAACTGTGGAAAGAGCTGGTACAGGAAGGGAGGGGAAAGTAAGGACAAGAGTTGAATATGATTAAAGTGTATTTTATGCATGCATGGAAATGTCTTAACAAATCCCTTTGTCTAGGATATCTAATATATGCTTAGAAAAAGAGTTTCTAGTGAAAAAAGATCTGACAGTAGAAGGGGGAGTTATTTAGGAAGAAGAAAGGAATCGGTAAGAAGGAGGCGAGAAGGACAAAGGATAATGGAGGAATGAATATGACCAAAGTACATTGTATCTATCTATGAAAAGAACACAATGAAACTTCTGTGTGTGTGTGTGTGTGTGTGTGTGTGTGTGTGTGTGTGTGTGTGTGCACGCGTGCGCGTGCGCTAGTCCTGGGGATTTGAACTCAGGGCCTGGGTGTTCCTGAGCTTTTGTGCTCAAGGCTAATGCTCTACCTCTTGAGCCACAGCTATACTTCTAGTTTCTTGGTGGTTAATTGGAGATAAAGGGTCTCATGAACTTCCTGCCTGGGTTGACTTTGGGCTACAATCCTTAGATCTCAGCCTCCTGAGAAGCTAGAATTATAGGCATAAACCCCCTGGCTTTTAAACCAATTCTTTACAAACTCCTCCAAAAAAGAGAAGAGGGGAGAATACTTCCCAATTAATTCTGAGGCCAGTGTTTACCTTAATACAAAAAAAGAGATCAAGGCCAGGCGCCAGTAGCTCATGCCTGTAACCCTAGCTATTCAGGAGGCTGAGATCATGGTTCAAAGCCAGCCCAGTCAGAAAAGTCTGTGAGATTCTTATCTCCAATAAACCACCAGAAAACCAGAAGTGGCGCTGTGGCTCAAGTGGTAGAGCACTTGCCTTTAGCTGAAGAGCTGAGGGACAGCGCCCAGGCCCAGAGTTCAAGCCCCACGACCGACAAACCAAACAAAAAAAGAGAGCACAAGAAATTAATATTCCTAATGAATGGATATAAAATTCCTCAACAACATACTAGCAAGTGTAACATAGGAACCAAAAAGATTATATGCCATAATAAAATGTCTCAGAAATGTAAAGTTGATTCCACACATAACATGGGGGAAAAGTATGTAAGAAGGAAGGAAGGAAGATTGAGGAGAGGAAAAGGAAGACTAGTCACAGACACTGTGGCAACTTTGCTCAAAAAATGCAACACAAAGCGGAACTCTGTATTCACCTCCCAAAGGAATTCCTGACCTCTTAGGAGTTCATTACCTATCTGTCAAGGGAGAGCCACAAGTGCTGCTGTCCTTCTCTATGTAATAATGGCAACCTCTTCATTAGGGTTGCAGCATTCCATTCGCTAATGGACCTTACTGGATAAGGTAGGATAGGATAGGATCGGATCAGTTCATCTCAAAGTTTCCTGGATCTCCGTGAACCACTGGTTCTAACTTCTGCTACAGTTGTACTCACAACTCTAAGATTTAAAAAAGATGTCATGGTATGCTTTAGAAACGCAGCTTTATTTAGATAAAGATATAAACAGCAGTGATTACAAAAGGCTAGTATGTTTGATATCTAAACATATCTTTTAAAGGGGGTCTTAGAGGCATTTTCTTATTATATGCAGTAGGAGAGTTGCCATTCTTTCTTTAGATTTTTTCTTTTGTTTTAACAAATTCTTGAGTTTCTTCTGCATCTTTATTTTCCTTGTTACCAGCTACTCTGTCAAATTCTGAAAGAAGGATCACAAAGAATATTAGAAACCAGACCTGTGAAAGGAAGAGAACTTCAGGAGCCCAAGGCAAGGAATTAACTTCTTTCTTTTCCCTGCCTACATCTTTTACCTTCACAGAATTGATACTGTGACTTCTAAAACCTTCTTTCTCTCCTGTTCCAGGAAATAGCCCAGTTATTTTAGTTAGAGCCAAGGAAAAACTTTCTATCCCTAAGAGTTACAGCTGCTGAAACAGGGCTGAGGCCTTATGAAATTTTTATAAATAACCCTACCCTTGTCTGTTTGGGCTGCATCAGCACTAAGAGGGGGCTCTATTTGCCTCTAGAGCAAAGAATAGCAGCTCCTTACTGGGTACCCTTTTTCATCTTAGATGCACAGCTTTTAACTTCTTCTGAAAGTCAGATTGTTCTTAATGTCTCCCACACAAGGGTTCCAAGAAAGAATTCTTACTTTGTAGTTCTAAGTTTGTTTTCCAAAGAGTTGTTTTCCTCTAGGAATTCTCCCTGTATCGAAATCGTGGCCAGACAGGTATCAAGAGGTCTGATGATATTGGTCAAGGCCATGGATTCTCTCTTCCCACATCTCATTACAGTGGCCTTGAGCTCAGAGACCCAATGGTGATAGACGGGGCAGGTCACACATCGAGAGAAGAAGTCCTTAAAATACTGAAAGGAAAGAAAGAAGCATTAGCTTTGGGCATTGGTACTCTCTTCTCAACACACCATCTTAGCAGAACTTATAACGGTCTCCACGCAACATACTCAGAGCTAAGAGGAAAAGGGAAGAATAGTTGGTGGTAAGATAAATTTGGTTTAGAATACAAGGAACCTAGAATGTGTGCTAGACTTAGAACAGACTGAGACACAGAGTAGGTGTATTGAAGAAGGGCCAAGTATTAATATTATAATGACAGAGGGTAGTATCTGTGCAAAGATGCAAAGTGAAGGATCCAGGTTTTAATCTAGATGCAAGACTATCTGGGAAAGAGCATAATGTAGGCATAAACTTTCTAGCTCAGGAAACAAGGAGTTCAAAGAGCAAAGGGATTCTGAGCAAGGAAGGGGAAGAGCAGGGAGAGATGCAGGGTGCTCAGGTGTCACAGGGAATTAGGTGTCAGCTGAGCAACAAAGAAACAGCTACCTGGAGGGTTTGTCTGTAGGACTCTGAGGGACTGCGCTTGAAGGCATCCTTTGGCATTTTCTGCAACATGAGCACATTGCACTCTAAGAATCGGACGAAGCCATGTGAACCAAACAGTGAGGCGTTGGTTCTTTTCACCAATTGGCAGGCCTTGGAGAAGTGATGCTCAAAAAGGTTCCACTGTGAGTTCTGGGCAAACCTGGAGGTGAAAGTTACAATTCTCAGATCTGTCCTGTTTACCAGTCATGGTTTTCAGTCAGAGCTGTGACACAAAAGTGGCAACTGCACATGTAAGGACAGTTTAGAGTTTACTGGTGATATGCAGCTTTGCCAGGGACTACTCTAGACAGGGATTTGAACTCAATGCCGGGGGGGGGCACTCTTACCACTTGAGCCCTTTTGCTTTTGGCTTGCTTTTCAGATAAGGTCTCATGATTTTGCCTAGCAGACTTGACCTGAGACCCTCCTATGTCTCCTCCTGAGTACCTGTGATTATAGGCATGTACCACCAAACCAACCACACTGGGTTCCTCTTTTTTTGTACTGGGGTTTGAACACAGGGCACTGCATTTGCCAGGCAGGTGCTCTACCACTTCAGCCACATCTTTAACTAACTCTTTCATGTAACCCTCAACCTCTGGGCCCAAATCTGCTAAGGGACACAAAGAACTTTCTAGTAAAATACAGGAAATGAGATTAAATGACTTTCCCCAAATTCTCTCCTTCCCCACAGATCCTAAGTGAGACATTACCACATGGCCAGAGAAGAGTGGAGCCCCAGCATAATACCACACTGAGAGGTCAGGATGCAGCTGTGCTCATAGTGTTGAGTGAAATTTAGGCACTCACAGAAGGGTCGACACAGCAATCCTGTAGAAAGAAGGTAACCAGGCTAGCAGGGTATGTGGTCAATGTAGGAACTGGGGTATAGATGTGGCACAGGGAAGAAAACAAGACCTAAAAGACAGGCACCCCTGCAGTCCAATGCACTTCTCCAACTTTAGGTAACAGGGGCCAGGAATACAGACTATGCCTGAGGGGAAAACCTAGGCCCCCATCTGAGGTCTGAATCTCTTACGAGTACAGCACAGCGCTGTGCAAGGCTTACCTCTTCCGTACAGCAGCAGGTCTAAGCAAGCAGAGTAGAAACAGGCCAGACCAAGGACATCATGACCCTGAGAAATGAGCATCCACTGACTCTCCAGCACATGGATACACAGATCAAATCTGCCAAAACACAGAGCCACCAGGACCAGTGTGGAAGTGGGAAAGATGGTGCAGAACAGGGGGGATCCTATACCTTAAAAGCCACCTAGCATCGTAGAGATCTCCATCCCCTTCCCCCGCTCTCTCTCTTTCTATTTAGAGAACATCTGCACCTGGGATAAAACATACCTCTACCTAAAGGAGATAGGAAAAAGCCCAAGGCAGTAGATCTGAGCCACTGCTGCTTCCTACTTTCCACAAGGAGCATGGCAGGGGAGGGTGGGGAGTTTGTTCGGGAGCTCCAAGTGCAGTTCTACTCTGCATTTCCATTCCTAATCCCCTGCAAAATAATGCTCCCCAGAGGGATCAGGGCACAGGCAGCCCAGGCAGTGGAAACGAAACAGCATCTCCCCCTCCACTCAGACTTCTCTGGGAGAACATCAGCCCCCCTGTGCAACAAACATGAGTAACAAAACATAATCTTAATACTTCTTTCTCAGAAACGTAGATCTAAAGAGAACTGAGAGAACCAAATTATCCAGAGCTGGTTTCTTGAGGTGTCTGCATAATTCATGGGCTTGAAAACCTAAGGAAGTTAAAGAGCATTGTGTGAGGTCTAGCTGTGGATCTGGACTCTGAAAGCCCTGGACCCACAGGCCCCAAGTCCTATTACCCAGCTTGATGGAGAAGTCAAGATGGCCGAGGCACAGCTTGGTGTATGCCAAGGCCTGCATGAGGTGAGCTGTGGACAGCAGTCCCTCCCTGGAGAGCAAGCATAGGCTGCTCTTCTGAATGGCCATCTGTTCACACTGCAGCCACTTCTCCCTGTTACCCATGTTCTGGGAGAACTGGGAGAGGTCCAGGTAGGTCGAGACAACCTGAGGGGCGACAAATACATTCCCGTTACACACGCACGTGACCTTTCAATACGGTGCTTTGGCTGGGAAACAGCCTATGATTACGCCTGGCTGTTCTCTCAATCCAGACTCCTTTTGTCTCTCCTCTCCCACTTCCCTCCTCTCCAGGTAGGGAAATGTTTCTGCTACCCCTACGCTTCTAATTTTATTATTTCAGTCACTCTTTCCTCTCCTTTTTCCTCCTTTCCTTCCCTCTCCCCCTCCTTCCTCTCCTTCCTCTTCCTCCTCTTTTCCTATCCCTTCCTTCCTTCCTTCCTTCCTTCCTTCCTTCCTTCCTTCCTTCCTTCCTTCCTTCCTTCCTTCCTTCTTCTCTCTCTCTCTCTCCCTCGCTCTCTTTCCTTCCTTTTCTCCCCCCCCCTTCTGGAACTCTTGAGCTTCCATCTCATAGCCAGCCCATTGCCTGTTCTTTAAACAAGTCACTTTCTCCACATTCCCTCTTCTTCCTCTTCAAAGACTTTCCCCTTCAAAATGCTAATAAAATTATTTATCATTTTCTCTAATTAAAGTCTTTCCCTGATTCTCCCGCCTTAGTGTCCTTCAGAAATGCTGCCTACATCTCTACCAATACCAGGCACATTTGATGTGTTAATGGCTCTCTTCTTGTCTGTCTGGCAAGTTCCTTCAGACCTCATCACCCTGAATGTTCACATTGGAACTATAAATTCAGCCCTGGAAACTGCTACTTTGTACACTCATTCCCTTGATGTTCTCACCCAGTTTTATGACTTTAAGCTAGCATTTACACACTAATGGCACTCATAATTTTATTTCTATTTCAGACTGCTCCTGTGAGCAAACTACTGTCCCACAACTCCAACTGGATGTCTAACAGGCACCTTAAACATTTCCCAACCCAACCTATCACCAAATTTTTCCTGCTGAAGACTTCCTGATATCAAATAAGAGCAGCCTAAAGCTCTGGCTATAAATCTTGGGATTATTTCAGACTTTTGTTTTTCTTTTGCATCCCAGAACAGATTCACGTTATCCATATGATAGGTTATCATCAAATATTTGTTGAATCAATGGATAAAAGACAGAGGATAGGATACTAAACTTGGGAAAATGTTTCCTTTCCCTTTTATTAACTCAGTGGTTCTAATCTTTTTTTTAGATCATGGACTTCAAAGAGAATCTAATGATCCCTTCCTTTACCTCCTACTACGTACCTTAGGCTCTTCTGGACCTACATACAAATTATGCATTTGGTTCATTGAGATCACATGCATCTATATACCTGAAAACCCATCTATAAGCTTCAAATGAGAAACCAGGCTCAAACATATGAGCAGTGGTATCTAGTTAAGTCTTAGTTATTGGGGAATCTCACTAAAAAAAAGGACCTTGGCAGGATCTTTCTCCTTAGTGCCTGAGGTTTCTGAGTTAGGTCCAGGGATGGCTGACCTGGGTTTCATTTGCAGACTCCTCAGCTGAATTCTTCTGCATAAGGGTGGCCAGGTAGGCAAACCTGCGGCTGCTGGCTGTGGCCTCCCGGTTATAGAGCTGCCAGAGCAGGGAGAGGCAATGCACCTGCTGCTGCAGGATTGCCAGCTGCTTCTTGCTGTTGTAAAGCACAGGGTGTTAAGCATGCCTTTTTTCTTCACCAATGCCCAGCTTTTGCTTCCTATAGGAAATGGAGGTCTACGCCTCATGTGGCCATGTAGACTGCCAAACCAGGAGTGATCCTGGAATCCCCTGCTCCTAACTTCATTTCCCGTTCATCCCTCAGGACCAGGAAGGGTAATTTTTTTTTTGTCAATTGAGTCTTGAACTCTGGGCCTGGGCGCTGTCCCTGAGTACTTCAGCTCAAGGCAAGTGCTCTACCACTTGAGCCACAGCACCACTTCTGGTTTTCTGGTGGTTTATTGGAGATAAGAGTCTCAGACTCTCCTTGCCCAGGCTTTCTTTGAACTGTGATCCCTAGGTCTCAGCCTCCTGCGTAGCTAAGACTACAGGCGTGAGCCACTAGCGCCTCGCAGGAAGAGTAATTTTTGAAGAGAGGTTGTTTAAATTGCTATTTTCCACTATCAACTGGCTGGGAGAATAAGGTAGAAGACCTAGAACTGTCTTTTATATACTTATCTGTTATATGCATTATGTGCCTGTCTTGTTTTGTATTTGAAGGAAACAAGGGCTTGTAGGTCAGTACAGGATGGGTTCTAGTGTAGCTATATATAGTGTTCTGTAGCCCTAAAGGGAGCCAGGGCAGCGTAGCCAGTGTCTCACTTCTCATGGAGGCTGTTCAGAGGATGTCTTAGGGAACTGGAATACCAATACTTTTCCAGAAATATTTGGAAAAGTACACCAAACCAGGTCCAAGGAAAATTCCTTTTTAGCAGATGAAGGGCTTGTCTAGCCAATGTTTTGGCCAAGGTGATCTGTCCCATGTTGAAACAGACCTGAAAATGGAAAAAGAAGAAACATCAATGTAACTATGGCAGTGGTACCGTAGCAAGGTTTTGGATATAAAACACCCTTGTGCTGGGTTGGAGAGCAGCCTGGTTAGTGGTGAGCTCCCATTAACATACACCAGCAATAGCAGCAGTAAAGGTGAGGGAACAGGTAGGTGGAGAAAGCACCTTCCATGATCATTTCCCACACATGTGTCAGTGGGCAGAAGAGAAAGGTTCTAAGTCAGAAAGTGGTGCTGCGAGAGGAGATAACATTGTCATCTGGGCCAACACTCAGATGTTCTCAGCTACCAGCAAGGATGTGGACTATCACCAACTCCCCATCTCTCCTGGCTTAAAAGACTGTGCCGCTGCAGAGGATGTGGAGGTCAGCCTGGGAAGCTGCCCTGAGGTTATCTAAACCTTCAAATCCCAAGGCTGACCTTCACTTGGTGAGACCTTTATTAACTATTAACTTGTTAATATCTTCTGCCTTAGCATCTCTGCCTTTGGAAGTTTCTCTTATAGAAAGGGGAGAAAGAGATATTTAGCAAGAATATTCACTGTCTCTAAGTTTAGATAAACAGAAGTAGAGACAACATAAATATACACTGAAAAAGGTAATAAAACTATGGCATAGCCACACAATGGAATTCTTGCCGGTTATAGCTGTGTAATGGGCCTCTTCTGGTTTTCTGGTGGTTAACTAGAGATAAGAATCTCATAAGCCAGGCACCGGTGGCTCACGCCTGTAATCCTAGCTATCAGGAGGCTGAGATCGAGGATCACGGTTCAAAGCCAGCCCAGGCAGGAAAGACCGTGCGACTCCTATCTCCAATAAACCACTAGAAAACCGAAGTGGAGCTGTAGCTCAAGTGGTAGAGCGCTCGCCTTGAGCTGAAGAGCTGAGGGACAGCACCCAGGACTAGAGTTCAAGCCCCATGACTGACCAAAAAAAAAAAAAAAAGACTCTCCTAGTCCTTCCTGTCCAGGCTGGCTTTGAACTGAGATCCTCAGATCTCAGCCTCCTGAGCAGTTAGGCCACTAGCACTCAGTAAGTCTCTAACTTTTTATTTTTTATAATATCTTTAAGTAGTTATAAAAAGAGACTTCTATAGTTTAAATCTATATAACTTTTTTTTTTTTTGCCAGTCTTGGGGCTTGAGCTCAGGGCCTAGGGACTGTCCCTGAACTTCTTTTGCTCAAGGCTAGCACTCTACCACTTGAGCCAGAGCACTACTTCCAGCCTTTTCTGTTTATGTGGTAGTAAGGAATCAAACCCAGTACTTCATGCATTCTAGGCAAGCACTCTACCACTAAGCCACATTCCCAGGCCCATATAACCTTTATAATCACATTAGCACATTTCTTTTTTTTTTTTAATTTCTGGAGAAAATGAATTGGAAAGTTCATCTTTCCAAGAGTTGGTCTTTTTTTTTAAATCATATTTCTTTTTATTTTATTTTATTTGTGAAGATACTGTACAGAGGGGTTACAATTACATGGGCAGGATAATGCATACATTTCTTTCCAAGCATTGCAGCCTCCTCCTTTTGTTTACCCTTCACATCCCTTCCCAGCCTCCCCCCTCCCCCCCAATCCCAATCCTTCTCCTTCCCCCCCTTCCCCCTCCCCCCGCACTGACGTTGTAAAACTCGTTTTGGACATGACAACTTGTACTTCTCATTGTTGCAACAGGTCCACCTGTATCTTTAAACAACTGGTTTTTCCCATCTCCTCCTCAAGTTATACTGACATCAAATATAGTGAAAGCAGGGGTTATACTTTGGGGGAGGGACATACAAAGCAACAAAGAGATAATCTTATAAATGCATTAGAAACACATGCATGAAAGAAAAAAAACATTAAGATACATATCTAAGGGTTCATTTTCCTGACATCACATTATCTGACCTTTTCCGCTTGACTCACATTAGCACATTTCTAATCATACACACTAAATAAAGAAGGATTTAAAAAAGACAGAGTAGCCGGGTGCTGGTGGCTCACGTCTGTAATTCTAGCTACTCAGGAGGCTGAGATCTGAGTTCAAAGCCAGCCCTGGCAGGAAAGTCTATGAGACTCTTATCTCCAATAAACCACTAGAAAACCAGAAGTGGGATTGTGGCTCCAACAATAGAGCTCTCGCCTTGAGCTGAAGAGCGCAGGGACAGCGACCAAGCCCAGAGTTCAAGCCCCACGACCAACAAAAAACCAAAAATAAAACCAAACAGAGTAAGGTACCCCTAAAACTACAAGGTCTCCCCCTGCCCCTTACCTCTGACCGGAGATGGCAGAAAGTAGCTTCCTCAAATGGACAGATCTTTACCTTGTGTTTTTTCAAGAACAAGAATGCTGAAGATTGTCCCAGAAGATTGCTTGCTTTCTTCAAATAAAAGAAGGCCTCCCAAGGACATGGATGAAGAAATGGAATTAGGATTAGCACACTGCTGAGGATGAGACTGGGAGGAAGGCTGGAGAGCAAGGTTGTGGCCAAGATCCAAATGTGAGTGAGGTTGAGTTTTGAATTAGAAATAGAGAGCTGGCCTGCTCGCACACCGTCAGGGGCAGTGCCAGCCTGGGTGGTGCACTCCCCCCACCCCTACCCCACCACATTCCCATTTGTCTTCTCCTACATCCCTTCCAGTACCTTGTTCTCCCATTTTCCTCCAGCCCCCACTCCTGGTTAGCTGGCAGTGACAAGTGTTAGTCAAAGTCACAAGTAAAGGCCAACAGCAGAACTGCTCACCAGGTAATTATCTGACAGGTCCAGGGAGGCAGCGGCAGCCTCCAGCAGGTAATAAAATGTGCAGGTGGTTTCTCCAATGATGAGACAGTGCTGGATGAGTGGGGAGAGCACTAACCTCAGGATCTGTCTGCAGTAGCAGGGCCGGTCTTTCTTCAGGTTGTTTTGAGCCATTTGCCTGTTTACTTGATCCAGGAATTCCTCCTCTGTTCTTTGTGGAGAGAAGATGAAGAACTGAGAGTGGCCTCATAGCTACCACTTTTGTTGGGGCATTACTGTTGCAAAGCCACTTTTTTTCCTAGGAAGTTTTCCATACAGTTCACTAATTCTATGTGTACTCTCCATCACTCCCTAAGTTTTTGTAAGTACAGGACTAGAGTCGTAAATGCAATGCTCTGTTAGGGATTTAAAAACCTAGCACAGTCTCAATTAGGAAATACCACAGCTGAAGAGTAAACTAACAGTAGAAGTGTTGACTAAAACATTAAAATGATACAAGGCAATAAATAATACAATCTTCTTGTAGTATATCTGACTTTTGTAAATGACATATTGGAATATTATCTTCTATGTTATCAATCCTGCTACTAAGATTTAAGATTATTTTGACTTGGGTTTCAAGTTTTGAGGTTATTTATATTTCAATTTAGAATAACAAAAAATCTTTTGTAAAGAACTCAGTGTGAACTCATGTCTCATTCTGGTAGATAATTGAAGGAAGTAAGTAGTGATAAAGTCTCAGTTGGTTCAACTTTTTTGTAGAAAATTTGATTTGACCTTTTTCAATGAAAACTGAAGACTGAGCATAACCTTTTGGAAAAGAAGTAATATACAATATAAATTGGGCAAACATTACCTCTCTTTACAAATGAGGAAACTGTGGATTAGAGAAACGTATTTGTATGTGGTATAACAGCTAATGAGATGGTAAAGCCAGAATTAGTCTTATCCACCTTCATAGGGAGCCTGAGCTCAAAAGAGATCAGAGTCTGACATCTGAGCTACAATAATCTGAAAAAGCAGAAACTGAAGAGGGCCCTGAAGGTGGCCAACACGCTGAAAATGGGAGGCAGTTGGAGGCCGGCCACTCAGCATTCCCAAGGGAGAGCTGACACCAGGGGAGCATGCAGGTGGTTCCTGTGGAATACAGATTTATTTGAAAGCAGTAGGGAATCAGGTTAGGTAGTGAGATGGAAGTGTACAGAGAGGGGCGGATGAACTCAAAGTGAGCACATTTAAAATAGATAGAATAGGGATTTGCAGCCAGGAGGTTTGTGGTTAGGAAATACACATCCATTATCACATCATCTGAGGTAAAATAAATAACTAGGAAGATAAAGTTACAGATGAAAACAAAGTCTGCTTTGTTTATTATGCATTTGAGAAGTCACTAAGTAAAGTTAATTTCCCGGTTTTTTTTTACAATAAACTGTTTTTAATCTTTGTCCATATTTATGTTTTAAAACATGGGGGTTTGAAACATGAGGCTTCCAGTCCATTTTAAAATACATGGAAACTCACAAAATTACAGAAACTGAAAACTATCTATCATGGGTAAGACACTTTATGTATATCCAACCAGCTTTTTAAAATAAAATCAGTTGTGATATAAACAGAAAAAAAAAGAAATAATTTCCCTACAGAGAACTGTCATCTTGACTTTTAAGGTGAGTACAGGCATCCTCACTTCTGGGTGACCAGGCCCCCTGTGGTTTGCGGGTGAGTGTCCAGTTTAGGGGCCATCTACCATTCACTCAGATCCTCCTGTCCACCCTTAACACCTCCATTTACCTGCAGTGTTCACCTGAGAAGGCCTCCTGACTTCTGAAGGCTGTTTCCTGGAAATGAAGACTATCTGTGGGCAGGGAAAAACAGAGGATTATCTTTCATTATACATGTTTAGATTAAAAAAACCCATTTAAAATTCCTGACTACCTTTCCCTCCATAACAGATAACATAAAATTAAGATATTATTATGAACTCTTTAGTGACAACAGCTTGTGATTCCCACAACTTCCTTCATTTTCATTGCCCCACTCAAAAAAAAAAAAGGTTCCAATTTAAAGGAGACAATATTTGCAATGCAGAAAAAAAAATTGTTTGCATTCTGGTTTGATGGGTACTCCTAGTAATGGAAATCCACGAATATATCTGGCCCAGGTTTATAACTAGATCAGTGAACTGCAAAGCCTGCAGCCAACTGAAGAAACCTAAGAGTACAAGATGCCACAATTCACTAGCTGACCCCAGATAGCTTTTCCCTCAAGATCTGACTCCTCTTCTGTAACCACCTTCTTCCTCCTGAGTTTACCTTGGGGAGAAGGTAGTTGTAATTTGTCTGTGGTCACTTGTGTTAGCACTGAGCCTGTGTCTTTATAAGTACAGAATCTAGAGGTCCTGCTAGCGTTCTTGGTGGAAGAGACTGCGAAACGATGGAACTGGACAAAGTCCCCTCCGTGGCAGCTGCTACAGCGGCAGGCCATGTCTTGGAGAAAGCAGGCACATTCAAGATGCAAAGCTATCTGTTGCTCCTTAGGCCACAGCTCCCAGGCAGCTTCCCGCAACAGAGGCATTCCAAATTCTAGCATGTTAGTTTGAGATAGGGGCATTTCTTCTTGAAGCCTGAGAAGAGAGGCTGAGCCAGCATCTGAAATTTCAGAAAATCCAAGTCAGAGTTTCCCATATAGTCTTTTCATGCCAAAATATGGCAAATGGATAAGTACACGTTGCAACTTTATAAGAAGACTTGGTATGCCCATGTCCTCTGCAGAAAGAATTTTGCACCAATCTGAAAGTGATACTGACCATATGTAGGATAAAGTAAGACAGGGAAAATAGGAGCAGTTGAAGAGAAGAACAGTGGAAAGTTCTATTCCCGTAAGTTAAGATTTTTTTACTTCAAATTCAAATAAATATAGAACTCAGACATATTTCAAAGTCAAAGGGAAATTATTTGTAGATATGTACGTTTGGGTCATTTATTGTACAATTTTATTCTTTCACATGGAGAATATGAGATGTCAAGCTATTTAATTTATATCTTGCTGTGTCCATATCTATTAATAATGTATATGTCTATCTTTCTTGTGAATTTCTAAAATTAGGGACAGTTTATCCTTTTACTTATGATGGCAGTATTTATGAATACTTATGAACCAAAAATCAAAACACAAATACTAAACACACAGATTAATAATGAGATGGAACTCTTTTTTTTTCTCCCTGAGGCAGACTCTCTTTATTCCAGACCAGGCTGGCCTCCAGCTCAGGCTCATTCTGCCCAGTATGTCCAGCCTTTTTTTTTGGCAGTACAAGGAATTGAACTCAGGACCACAATCTTGCTAGGCAAGGGCTCTATCACTGAATCATAGTCACAGCTCTGCTTTTGTTTCTCACGCAGGGTTTTATGCTTTTGCCCAGGACAGCTTTGGACTGTTTCCTAAGCAATTGAGATTACAGGTGAGAACCATCATATCTGGCTTATTTTGGAGACAGGGTCTCACTAAAATTTTGCCTGAGCCGGCCTTGAACCTTGACCCGACCTCATTTCTCAGCAGCAGGTTACAGGCATGTAGCACTACATTTCCGCCTAGCTTTTTAAGGACCTGAAATTCCGTAAGGCAATGCTAATGGAGGATATTTTTCTCTCTTAACCATGGCTCCTTTATGGTTTTAACTTTATTTTTATTTTTTTTGATTCTTTCTTTCTTTGGTTTTAACTTTAAATGATAGCTTTCAGAAGGAAGCCCTTATATACAATATAGATGGTCTTTCTGAGCACAGAATATCTCCACTCTCTATTCAGACATGAAACAAGGGAGCAGCCCTTCCTCACCTGACTTTTTCTCTTTGGTTTGGTTGCTAACGGAATGAGGTGCTAACGTAGACTCAGCAGGAAGCTCTTGGCTCTCACTGAGCCAGTGGAGCACATGCACATCCACAAGAGTCCTCAACACTTGCAGTAGTTTGTTTCTATCCCAGCCAGGCAGGAGGTGCTGCAGCAGAGCTACATGGAAGGAGTGACCGATGACTGCAGCACACTTGACCAGCAACTGTTCTTCGGGGCTCAGTTGGTCCATGTGGTTTACAGCTATTTCTGTTCTCCCAGAAAACAAAAAGCAATGATCAAGGTTTTGAGCCAGGTGTGGTAGAACACGCCTGTACTTAGGAGCCTAAAAAAGGAGAATTGTTCTGAAAGTTCAAGACCAGTCTGGTCTACATAGGGAGCTCCTGTCTCCAAAAAACCAACAACAACAACAACAACAACAAAAAACCAACGCAATGACCAAAGTTTCTAGAAAATATAGATTATTGATAATCTAGTCATCTTAAAAACAAAAAGCTTGCTTGTCATCTACCTCATCCTCTACCTTGCTGTAATCCCTCCTTCTCTACCAGAGAGCCCTGTCTCCATGGTCTTGTTTCCTATTAGTTAAACCAACAATCTGGTTTCTACTATACTGCTGAAAGTATTCATCCTTGATCACTAAAACGTTGTGTTGGGAGAACTCCAACTACTCTGAAACATGCAGTCACATCACTCTTTTCCATTTTTTTTTTTTTTTTTTTGTCGTGGAGCTTGAACTCTGGGCTTGGGCGCTGTCCTTGCGCTCTTCAGCTCAAGGTGAGTACTCTACTGTTTGAGTCACAGCACCACTTCCCTCTTTTCCATTTTTCATGACCAATTAGTACTCAGACTCTGCTTTTCCTTCCCCTCTCCTCCCATTCACTTCTGTTTAAGACAAAGTATCTTCATTAGCACCACATTAAATATCAGCACTATCATTTCCCTTGCTCACTGTCTTTTCTAGCACAGGAAAATGCACAAAAGGAAGCTCAAGACCTAACTTTCCCAAGTAACTGGAAGTATTTCCCAGTTATCAGTCAGCTCCAAAGAGAATAATAGGTTCACTTACATCGAGTGTTACTCAAATGATATTATGTGACTTCAAAGGACTTTTAAGACATTCCAGAACTTATTTCTGGAAGACATGTTTCTGTTTTAGAGGAAAATGAGGCAGAATGACAATGACAGATCTTTGTTCAACTCACTTAGCCAGTTACTAATGCAATGACAACCTGTGATCAGGTCATGTGAGGTACGAAAGGGACTTACCTTTCAAGAGTGGTGGCAGAAGAACTGTATCCAAGTTCACATCATCTTTGACTGTGCAGACATGAAGTTCCTGTTCTTCGTCAAAGTTGGCAGGACAAATAGTATACATCGTGGATTTTATGGCATTAGCTGTGGGAAGAAAACACGGACTGAGGAAAATACTATGCTAGAAGGCACAGCAATTTAGTCACAAGCCTACAGGATGAAGATGAACGGAATGGTACTGTAGTGTAACATGGTTTATTTCAGTCCATCCTGCCTATTCCTTTTTTTGGGGGGGGGGTTATAAGGCTTGGGTGCTGTCCCTGAGCTCTTTTTGCTCAGGACTAGTGCTCTACCAACCCTGAGCCACAGTGCCACTTCTGGTTTTCTGGTGGCTAATTGGAGATAAGAGTCCCATGGGGACTTTTCTGCCTGGGCTGGCTTCAAGCTATGATCCTCAGATCTCAACATCCTGCATAGCCTATTCTTAATTTATTTTATAAACTAACAACATCCTCTATACTACACAGCATCTAACTGCGGTTCACCTTGTTTATTAAACTGTCCTGTCTATTACCTCTCATCTAGGATTTACATATACTTCTACTCTTTCCTCTTCTCTCGTTCTCCCACTCCTTCCAACCCCCACCCATCCAAACCATGAAGCCATCCTTCTTATCAGTAATATGTCAATGCTAAACTCTCGTAAATCCTACTTTACTACTTCTACTTCCTGGCTACTCAAATAGAAACTACTACAGATTGGTTGACTCAAATGATTATCTGAGGCAAGGATTTAGACTTTTTACCATGCCTGCTTAGTATTTGTAAAGTACACAGGGGGTGGCCCAATCTGGCCCATAATGTCAGCATGGAATAAGTACATGCCTCATCAGGGCCTAGGTAATGCTATATTGGAGAACTTCAGGGTAAACCTGCGGAAATGGAGTTTACCCGAGAGTGATTCCCACTTGCTGTTCTCTTCTTCCTCCTCTTTTAAATTATGAAATGTCAGTATATCCTTAGAGAGAAGGTCTTGGCACAGCACCTCACAGTACAAGGGGTTTCCAGAGCACCTGTGGAGAAGGTAGCTGCAGAAAGGTAAGTAGGGGATTTCTGACTAAAGATGCCTACTTGAGGGGAGCCAAGTCTAAAGTACTTCATATGGAAGGATTTTCTTTTGTTAAGGCCAGATCTTGATCATACAGGCTATAGTACAGAAGCTATAGTACAGAAATGTAAAAAGAAAACATTTTCTGATTGGTTTTGAAATACATCTGGCAGGAACTTCTTTCTCAATTACTTTGCTTCTATGGCTGTTAATAGGAACTAACATTCCCTGGCTAAAAGGCCTGGCAGGAACTGGCCCAATTTATCAGATATAAAGCCATGTAAATCTGACTGAGAAAAACCAGAAGGGTAGCCCCTTCCTGATCACCAAGAAGACTGTTTCCACTAAATATATTTGTAGGCCTCATCATGGGAAGGACTTTTTCTCCAGTAAGTGAGATATGAGCTTCTTCTCACTTATCTTACAGCACCAGCACCTCCCTTAACGAAGTGTCCACCTAATCCTAGCCACTCACATCTGCAGCTCTTTGGGGATGCTCACCACCCCTAGTTCCCAACATGCCATTCTCAACAGCGAGGTTGCTGCCAACTTTGGAACTGGCACAAGGATAGCCTGAGGGCTCTGCAGGAAGTGCAGGGCCCCAGTACACAGGCTGACGGGAGTTGTCAATGTCATCACCATGGTGATAGGCAGACTGGAGAGCAATGTTTCCAAAAACTCCCAGGAAGCTGCATCCATATATTGGGCCTCATCAAAGAGGAAAACCAATGATGCTTCTCTCACTGCCTGGAAATAATAACAAAGAAATAACAACAACCTCAGATTAGAAATGAAGTCACTTGTTTTCAAACTCTACTGTGACTTTCCCATCAATTCTTTAAAAAATGCCAACACAGGCTGGAGCTTTCAACACATTCTAATGTATTCTAAGTTCCAGTAACTGTCTACTTTTATAAATGAAAATATAGTCTATATATTTAATGAGGTCTTTTTGGACAAGAAAATACTGTAACTAAAAAGTGGAAGTCATGATCAATATATTCTCTAAATCAAACTTGAAGCTTTAAAATATTTCATTTTGGTAAAGGCTTTATCCTGTATGGAATTCATAATACTCTAAAATAGCACTTTCAAACCAGGCTATACGTTAGAGTCTCCCTAGAGTGCTTGCAACTACCAGGCTTTCTTTTATCTCTATTCCTCATTCCCACTCTATTCCTCAATGTCTTATGTGACCATTCTAATGTGTTTGTTTTATATATTTTGTTCTTATAAAATGTACATTGTTGGGGCTGGGAAGGTGGCTTAGTGGTAGAGTGCTTGCCTTGCATGCATGAGGCCCTGGGTTCGATTCCTCAGTACCACATAAGCAGAACAAAAAAGCTGGAAGTGGAGCTATGGCTCAAGTGGTAGAACACTAGCCTTGAGCTGAAGAGCTGAGGGACAGTGCCCAGGCCCAGAGTTCAAGCCCATGACTGACCAAAAACAAACAAAAACAAAACAAAACAAAAAAATGTACATTGTTAATTTGTTGAGTAAATTTCTTATGCAAATGCTACTGGATCGTAGACTTCAGACATACACACAGTATATTTCTCCTATACTCTCCGTTTGTTCAGGATTATTTTATTTGTTTATTTATTTATTTATTTTTTGGTTGTAGGGCTTGAACTCTGGGCCTGGGCGCTGTCCCTCAGCTCTATAGGTCAAGGCTAGCACTCTAGCGCTTGAGCCACAGTGCCACTTCCAGCTTTTTCTGTTTATGTGGTGCTGAGGAATTGAACCCAGGGCCTCATGCATGCGAGGCAAGCACTTCCCAGCCCATCAGGATTATTTTAAACATCACTTCCTACTACTGTTTTCATCTTACTCGCTTACTTCTAACTTGTGCATTAAGCTTCTCTGTGTTCAGCAATGTGCTCATGTTAACAACTGCCCTGTTCTCTCCAGACAAATACTGCATTGAAAACACTCTTTTTAGTATATAGACCCAGGAGTGGAAATGCTGGGTTCAGAAGGATTTGGCATCAAAGTTACTAGTTACATCACTTTTTCTTCAAATGTTTGATTGTGTAATCCTGAGTTAGAATCTGAGTATTTGTGTTACTTACTAGTAAATATTTTGCAAAATAACACATTTGGGAACTACTTGTTTAAATTAAAATTTCATTAAGAGACAGGATCAGAAAAGAGCAAAGCCTCTTTTTGTATGGTATGCCTTGCTGTTGGATGAACAGGTGATTAAAAAAGTTTAAAAAGTAACAATGAAGACAGCACACAGACCAAGAAATGCTTATGTGTAGCTAGTACGATATGGATAGGTTAAAATGAACTTATACCATCTCTCCAAATATTGAGTAATAGTATGCAGCATGAGTACCCACCTCCTGAAGCACTTGAATAAAATATGTTTTAACCTTCTTTTGTCTTGCCAGTTCATCCATATGTGAAACTTTGAACGATAAGGGAAACTGGTCAGAAAAATTATTATAAATTAGCATTCAAAGTGATAACCTTATAACATGCAGGTTCTTCAGTGGGTACAAGCAATGATTCTGTTTTGACTGAGAATGGGTTTCTGTATGATTAGACATAGAGTTACAAGACCCAATCCAACATTAATTCACAGTTCAGAGAATGAGATCTCAAGCTGACTGAGTATTAGAAACAACTAGCGATTTCCTGCCACACCAGATTCTGGAAAGTCCTTAAAGGACTGTGACTAAGGACAAATAACAAGTTGTACTTATCAGTGCCACTTTGGGTGGTTCTAGCATCCTAGTTATGCCAAGTATGCCAGGGTGAATCTGTGCATGGGGCTTCTCAAAAAAAAAAAAGATACAATAGACATCATCTCATGTTCTTTCCTGTGCTGGGCTGAGGCAATAAACTACCATGGATATGAACACCAAAGTGAGATTCTTTCTAGAACATGTTAGCAGGTGTTGGGGCCTTAACCAAGGCTTGTTTTAATAGGGGCCTATCTTTACAAATTGACCAGAGGCTAGTGTTCTCTATTCTACATCAAATAATTTCTTAGAAGCCTGATAAGATTAGAAGTGATGAAATTGTGGACCAGGGACTCTAACTTGTTCAGTATTGGATATCACATGGGTTCGTGATCACTGGGAGCTTTGGAGGATTAGATGCTGGTTCCAGTGACATCCCATAGCAGGGTATGGGAAGGAACATCATTCAAGGATAAAAAATTATACCTGAATCAAAAACACATGGATGTAATTCCAGGAATGTGCTACTACACTGAAATACTTAGAATTATACCTGAATCAAAAACACATGGATGTAATTCCAGGAATGAGCTACTACACTGAAATACTTAGAACTTTAAAATTTATATTCAAACTCTTATATTATCTGCCTTAAAATTCATGCAAAAATCAGATTAAAGTATATAACTGTCATTCACAGATGGCAAAATTGTGGCTCAGAGAGGCTGTGATATGTTCTAGGACATAAAAATGTATTATAAGCTCTAGAATTCACTCTTCTCCAAAAGGAGAAAGTCTAAGTTTTGGTATCAAAATCTCAACTGTCATGACTAACTACGTGCTGTTAGGCTGCATTTACATGGAGTTACATTAGAAGACAATCCTGGGTATGAGTATCCATAATGAATAATAGTAACCTGATTCATAAAGCCATTGCCTTTGTTACCTTAACAAAGAAGATGTCATTAAAAAGGCAGTAAAGAGGTTCATCCATCATCCCAGAGAGATATTTTTGTAGGCACTCTTGTCGACAATAGGCGGGGCATATATCAATATCAAAGAAGATGGCCATGAGCGTCTGGATGGCATAGAAGTACTGCTTGGCATCTGCTTCCTTCAGCATTAGTGGCAATACCCTGGTGAATGTTACCACAGTCATTGGGAGTCCTCTGACCCACACATGTTCAAGGATGCTGAATCTAATGACATGAGTACCATCAATAAGGAAAAAAGCTCCAAGAAGGTGGCTCCAAAAAAGCAGGAGTCTTTACCTTTGACCTTTCTTCTGGGCTAGGAAGTTTATTTCAGACAACAACTGGCTTTTTCCATAGCCTTTTCCACCCTCATACAGAACTGCTCTTCCTTTCCTCTGGTGCAAACACTCCTGCTGTGCCAAACTGAAGACGTCCAGCTCTTTCTCCCTGTCTATGTAAGAGACATATTAGATCCTTCTAACATGTCTATACTTTAGAGACTTTATTTATTTGAATTAATTTATGAAGCTACCTTTAAGAAAGACTGTTCTACCTCCACCCTAGAGCCCATCCATTCTGTGATGGAAATTCTCATCCCATTCTAGCAAATCTACTCAGGACTAAACAGAGTATATGCTGGTCTTCAAGGTTTGTTGTGAAGCCCAAGGAACAAAATTCAAAACACTTAGTTACTGCATGGATGTAGAGGTTATGATTATTTTCACAGTGTATTTAAAATTTTCCATAATAACAATTTAGACTTCATAATTTGTCACTATTATGTGAAGATAATGAGCTATAATAAATGTAGGTTAAAATAAATAAAATATAGGGAATATATAGCACAGCTGCAACAGTCTTGGTGATATCTTTACTCTTCTAAGTATGATTCCCAGATCTCAATAGGTAAGCTCTGACTTACAAAGATTCTTCTCAGTTAAAGTGACAGCTGAAATTTGAATATCTAATATGGAAAAGTAATGGTAGGACCTCTTCAAAACAAACATAAATTCACTAAGAAGGCTGATTTCTATTTTAGAGAAAGATTAAAAGTATTTAGTTTGTATTTCATTTTTTATACAAATGCTTTAAGTTACAAAAGAAAACTCACCTAACAAAGGGTGAATTTTATTACTTGTTCTGGCCAAATGTCTCTTCCCAAACATTCTGGGAGGAAAAAAAAAAACAAAGGGAATATATCTATTAAAAACTGCTTCAGGAACATAGGTCCTCTTTGGGAGATTCTTTCATATAACTGAAGAGGGACAAAGTTCTGGATAAGAAAGTTTTGTTTTTTGTTTTTTTTTGGTCAGTCATAGGGCTTGAACTCTGGGCCTGGTCACTGTCCCTCAGCTTTTCAGCTCAAGGCTAGTGCTCTATCATTTGAGCTAACAGTACCACTTCTAGCTTTTTCTGTTTAAGGTTCTAAGGAATCGAACCCAGGGCCTCATGCATGCGAGACAAGCACTCTACCACTGAGCCACTTTCCCAGACCAAAAGCAAGATTTTAAGGACTAGAAATTTGTGTGGTGGTGGTGATGTGGGAACAGCAGTATTGACCAATTCTGGCTCAGGGAAGTAAGTAAAATTGTGAAGTGCACAAAGAAAAGAATAAAGAACATTTGGGTTTGTGATTTACTGCTACTCTCTTGCTGTCAGATAGCAAGAAATTCATGGAGGAACTCTCTTACAAACTAAACACACAAGCTGAAGGTCTTAGACACAGATAGATACCTTCTCGCATGAATCTTATTCCAGTAGTAATAAGATACATACAATGGAAAACTTACTATTCCTATGACCTGATTCTGTAAGAGATGGGTATAAACCATACAGTGACACTTACATGCATCTTTTATAGCCAAGATATTCATACATCTTCCCTGGGTTGGAAATATTTTTCATCATTTTCTCTGGCAGTTTCTTGAAGTTGTAAGCAGGCAGTGTGGATCTTAGATATGTTACTTCATCACAGGACACCAAGCCTGGATAAGCTGTTATCATTCTGGCCACAAGACTCACTTTTGGGCCAATAACTGTGTCAGGGAGACAGCATTGGTTGAAGGTAGTTGGAGTACCTCTTTCTCCTTCACCCCTAAATCACAGCACTAACAACCCAATGTTCTATCCTACCTGTATATTCATGTCTTGCTACTGCCCCCACCAAACCACAGAATACTGGTCCATTGGTAATACTGATGGAAACAAGCCTAGGAATCAGAAATCCAACAGTGAGTAAATAGAAAGTCAGAAGCCTCTGAGTTAGGCATTAGGTCTGCCACTCTCTAGATACAGAAGCGTAGTTTTAGAGCTCAGCATCGACAAGGTCAGAAGTTGCTATTGTTCTGAATAATATCATGAGCATAAAGAATTTAAGTACTAGACTGGGAAAATGGCTCAGTGGTAGAGTGCTTGCCTTGCATGCATGAGGCCCTGGGTTCAATTCCTTAGTACCACATAAACAGAAAAAAGCCGGAAGTGGTGCTGTGGCTCAAGGGGTAGAGCACTAGCCTTGAGCTGAAGAGCTGAGGGACAGCACCCAGGACCAGAGTTCGAGATCCACGACCGACAAAAAAAAAGAAAAAAAAGAAAAGAATTTAAGTACTAGGGTGGTAACTGAAAGGAACAGAATGGTCTTCTTCAGGAATTTTAGTTAGAGAGTTGTTCTTAGTAAGAAGATAAATATTTTATCTGTAAGATGCTTTATATACATTTTTTGAAGTACCTTTGAACTGATTGATTACCTCATCTAATCCTTTGAAATATAATTAACAACCAACCTGCCTGGAAGGCATGGAAAATATTTGCCATGAAAAAGAATGTGGCTCAGAGAGGCTCTGATTTGTTCCAGCACATAAAACTATACTAGTGAGCACTAGAATTCACTGCCCTCAAAAAGGAGTTAATTATCCCAGATCTATGTAAAAATGTCAGAATGAGAACCTAGCCGCCCCCTCCAAGATCATGTTATTTTTACTATACTCTCAAATAAAGCAAAAAATGACAAGCCAATCAACAGCCATCAAAACAGAGTTAACAGATCAAATAATGCTTGAATGTCAGAGTAAAACAATAATCAGAATGCCAAGACAGTTGATGGAAGAATTCATGAAGCAAACTGATCTTTGGAATATACTTTCTAAATAATATTTCAAAACATTCTATATTGGCTGGGGCTATGATTCAGTATTAAAATACACACCTATCAAGTGTGAGGTCCTGAGTTGTTTTTAAAAAAGAAAGCTATTCTACATTGATGCATATTATTTGATATATACTATACATATATTATCTGACACACATTATATGTATTTCTGGTACTGAAAGAGCATAATGATAAGATTCTGAGTTTGAACCTAGTAAGTCTCAAAAATACCCTGGAAGCCAGGTCCTGGTGGCCCATGCCTGTAATCCTAGCTACTCAGGAGACTGAGATCTGAGGATCGAGGTTCAAAGCCAGCCTGGGCAGAAAAGTCTGTGAGACACTCATCTCCAATTAACCACCAGAAAACTGGAACTAGATTTCAGGTTAAAAATATAACAGAAGATGGCCCGAGGAGGTGTGGAGAAGAGTTTGGGATCTGGGTGAGAGCTAATGTGATGCAGTGGTATGAGCAGTAATGAGGCCTCTACCGAGACTGCATAGGCGTGGCCACCTAAACTTACACTTACATTGAAGCTTCAGCATAGGGCTAGTGCAACATTTCCCCAAATATGTTCTTCAGAGCATTCCTTGTTCTGGATGTTTACAGGGCTCTTTGGAGAAAAGAGTTTCATGATCCAGTACACTTGAGAAACACTAAGTAAAACTAAATAAATTTCTTTACCCTAAGATTATTTACAACCTTTGATATATAAGTGTACATTGTGAACTTAGCTTGACCAAGAGTAGAAGGGACTCAAGTTCTATCAAATGCATTTTGGGAAATACTGACTTAGTAGTTATCTTCAAGGGAAAAAACAATTCCACCGATGTTGAAATCTAGCTTTCAGGCTCTGACACTGTTATGCTAATTGGTTTGCCAACATAACCTCTCTGGATCTTTGTTTTCCTGAAGAGATCAGTTTAGATGAACCCCAGTATCCTAGCTAATATTCTAAACAAAGGAGGACCACATAGGTTATGGATTTAAGAGTCAAAGAGGGCATCCTTCAAGGCATTGTAAAACAACCTCTAAAGACCATAGAAATGAGTAATTCAAGTGTTAAGGGAGCTGGACACTGGTAGCTCATGCCTATAATCCTAGATTCTCAGGAGCCTGATATCTGAGGATCAAGGTTTTGGAGCCAGCCCAGACAGACAAATTCAAAAGTCTATCTCAAAACCAGCAAAAAGCTGGTGGCTCAAGAGGTAGATCTCCATCAGTGGTCAAAAACGCCAAGTGAAAGGTTCTGAGTTTAAGCCCTAGAACTGACCCAAGACATGCACACATGAGTGTGTGATGCACATACATAATATACATGATATATCGTATACTATATAGTTTACACACAATATGTAATGCATACACAAACTCTATACAAACTATACACACATACATACACACATAATGTGTGTGATACTTTTGGGAGCATCTAGATTTTATGAAGGAGTTGCCAATACAAAATAATATTAGAAAAACAAGGATCTGGCTTTCTATGTGTCCTTAGCTTCCTCAAATATAAATGGAAGATAAAAATATTTTACTCTGGTAGCATATACTATTCTATAAATGTTAAAGCACTAAATATGTGTGATACAATTCTATTATTCTATTAGTGCTTTAAATCTCAAATCTCAAAAAAATATGGCAGGACTGGGAAGGTGGCTCAGTGGTAGAGTGCTTGCCTTGTATGCCTGTGGCCCTGGGTTCGATTCCTCAGCACCACATAAGCAAAAAGAAAAAAAGCCGGAAGTGGTGCTGTGGCTCAAGTGGTAGAGCACTAGCCTTGAGCTGAAGAGCTGAGGGACAGTGCCCAGGCCCAGAGTTCAGGTCCCACAACCGTACCAAAAAAAAAACAAAAAACAACAACAACAAAAAAAACATCAAAAAAAATGGCAAGAAAATCTATCCTTGGTTCAAAATTAACACTGGAAAGCAACCATTTTTTGACTTCACGTATATACATTTCCCATGGTTTTCTATTTTTATTAATAAAAGGTCATTTGAAAAACACTAACCAACTTTTTTTCCCCCCTCAGCCTTGGGGCTTGAACTTGGCCTGGGCGCTGTCCCTGGGCTTCTTTTGCTCAAGTTTATCACTCTACTACTTTGAACCACAGTGCTTCTTCCAGCTTTTTCCATGATTAATTAGAGATAAGAGTCTCATGGACTTTCCTGCCTGGGCTGGGTTTGAACCATGATCCTTAGATCTCAGCCTCCTGAGTAGCTAGGATTACAGGCATGAGCCACTGCTTCCCAGATAATCCTAACCAACTTTGTCATAATGTAATGAGTGGGAGTGTAGATTTTCCTCTATCTTTATTAGGTCTAGGAATTTGCAGAAAATGGTAGAGTGGATATGGAGGAGTGAGACATTTCATTATAGGGTCCAGAAAAAGCAATAGGACCGGGGAAAGATCAAGAGTGAAAGTCAAAAGCTGTGTTTTGGCTGGGCATAGTAGCTCATGCCTGTAATCCTAACTACTCAGGAGACTGGGATCTGAGGATCTGAGATCCCTGATCTCCAATTAACCAGCAAGATCTGAAGTGAGGAGTTGTAGCTCAAGGGCTAGAGTGCTAGCCTTGAGCAAGAAAGCTCTGGAACAGCACCCAGGCCCCAAGTTCAAGCCCTAGGATAGGCATGCATGTACACACACACACACACACACACACACATAGATACACAAAGCTGTGTTTCCCTCCTAGGTAATTACCCCACAATGTTCTCATGCTACCTTTTGTAACATCCTCTTCATAGTCAGATATGCTATTTGTACTATATGAACTTACCTATTTGCTTGTCTTTTGTAGTCCCCCCCACATTCGTTAGTACTAGAGATTTAAACCAGAGTTTTGCAAGTATTCGACCCCTTGAGCCAAGCCCCAACCATTCTATTTTTTGTGTTTGTTTTTGAGATATGGTCTCCCTAACTTTGTTTGCTAGGCTGGCTGGCTTGGAACTCTTGAATCTACTATCTCTACCTCTTGAATATCTGGAATTTTCTTTGTAGTGTTCTAAACTTCTAAGTGTTTCTCCATACTCTCCTGCTCTATTAGTTGGCAACCTATCTTAATTTTGCCTTTGGGGATGCAGTACATAGTTCTGCATCTAGTGATTTATTTTCTTTTTCTTGATGGTACTGTGGTTTGAACTCAGGGCTTTGTGCTTGCTAGGCCGGTCCTCTGGGAAACCCACCCCCAGCCCATCTATCTATCTATTTAACAATTTCTTTACAGCTCCTATTTGCTGACTTTTTTGTTAAAGCAAGCTTCCTTCCTATTAGACACATTCTGGATATTCTCCCCCTCCTCCTACTCCCTATTCCTTGTTACTGCCTCCTACTCTGCCTGAAGAGCTCCCTGGGGGTACGAAAAGCTCTTCTCTGTCCCACTTTCCTCCTCACTTTGTTTCAGCAAGATTTTCCCAGCAGAAACTGAAGATGCTGAAGGAACTCTCCAGGGCATGTGCACACTCATCGGGCTTCTTATCCCCAGGAAGGCCAAAAACACAGAGGAACATGCAGCTCTAGGATAGATGACAGAGGAAGAAAAGACAAGTTTATCTGGGGAAGGAATATGGCTTAACTCAACTACTGGCTTGCTGCTAAGAATAGAGGATTCTACACAGCTCATGAGCTGGATACTCTGGGCCAGACCAACAGGAAAACATTTTTAAGTTGGTTTAATTATTCCAAGAACTGAAATTTACAACACAGAGCTGCTATTAAGACCCATTGCAGTGAGGTACAGTGTCATGTGCCAGGGTATGGCTACTCAGCTGTTCAAGGTCAGCAAGGGCAACACAGTGAGTTTCCACTGTTTAAAAAAATCACTTTCAGTTTCTTGGGTATATCTTGACCTAAGTCTATTTACTTATATTTTCTATAACCATGTCAAATATGAAATATTGTTTTTCAAGTTTTCTTGTTGTCTGAGAAAAAGTCTGACCATGCATACCTTATTATTAGAGCCAGAAGCTCATTCTTTATGCTTTCACAAAGGCTTTTCAACAAGAAGTGAGTAAAAAAAGGAGATGGAAAATAATCCTGAAAGTTAAATTAATTAGAACATGGCATTCCTTAACTTACTTTACTTATAATAAAGTTTGTTATGAAGTAAATAGGAGGAAAATGCATTTATACTTGTTTGTGTTATGTGTGCAACTAGTCATCTAAGACTTATTTCTTACTTACTTTTAATACTGATCGGTCAAGCTCCTTTATACTTACTTTCTCAAACATAAAGACCTGGGTCAGCTGGCCACCCCCTTTCTCGATGACTGTGGAGATATACAAGGCAGCCTCCTGGATGAGATGGCACAAATGCAACAACCAGGCTGCCTTGTGGAACTCCAGGTTGACCAAAACCAAAGTCACTGTACGGAATTCTGATATATACTCCACAGGCTGGCCTTCATCAATCTACAAAGACACAAAGTTACCTTATCTTCTGTGTCTTCAACTCTCAGTATCATATGCAAGTATTTCAACTTGACAACTCATGGTGAATATGAGCAAACAACTTATGGGTGTTGGGCAAAAATTTAAAAGAAAGTTCAGGCACTACCTATAGTAACCAGTGCACTTGGAATTAAAACTATTTACTTTTAAGTCTAATTCACCAATAGGCTTTCATATTTCCTAATAGTTTGATATGTTGATTAGTCATTAAATTTCATGCAAAGGGACTCTAACAATATTGATTCATTTCTATATACTTGACTGACCAATATATATTTACATTATATATATATATGCTATATATATCCTGTTAATAGGGTACTAGTGCCCATAGGACAGACTGGAAAATAATCTATTTTCTAGGATTAAGCAAACTGACTCAAGGGTACACTAATTATTTTCATGTAGATGGGGAAATCTGCAGGGATTACAATGAGGAGCAGATGAGCTTGACCAATAAAAAAAAGGCTATCACATATGTGTATATATATATATACACACACACACACATACACATACACACACACATACATACACACACGCGGTCTACATTCTGACTCAAGAATTAGGAAATTACCTTCTTCAAAAGAGTTTTCATTATGTGCTTCCGCAGTGTTTGTTCAAGTGCAGAGTCTGGATCTAATTCCAGTGCAGTTCTTAGTGACTCTGAGAAAAGGAAAACAAACAAGATGTCTCCAGTCATGTGCTTAAGGAAGCTTTAAAACTGTGGAGTGTTTAGGTAGAAAGGGCAAAGTAACTTACCAGTACTTGTACGGTAATGTGGCAGATAATCAAGGCACTTTTCAAAATGCTCATCAAAATCAAATGGGTCAATGATCCGAATATCTCTTAACTAGAGAAAGGAAACTGCTCAAGTCTGTGTCCATCCCGTAAGATGAATGCCTTTACTCCCTTAACAGAGGGGCCAAGGATTCTATTTCCCTTGTTTACTTTTTATCTTATCAGCCACACTCTTCTGCCCCATCTACTTTTGTAGGGGACCACCTCTGGCCTTCCTCCAAGAGACAGTTTCAATCTTAGTTTGGTCAACCAACCATGACAGCACCATGGCACTGCCCAGTAGTAAGGCCTTTTCAGAAGCCCATGTAGGAATGGGGCCAGACTCTCACCTTCACAGCTTCATCCTCCCTCATGATTTCCACTTCAAACATGTACTGCTCACAGAGCTTCCAGCAGTTCCAGGACAGGACAATTTCATTTGCCTGAGCCAAACGCTGAGCTAACCTGATACCATCTACATCCTGCCCAATCACCAAGAGGTATTGCCGCTGCTCATCACCAATAATAACCTGGGAAATCCGACCTGCAGACAGACCTAGTCAGAAAAAAGAGAAGTACGAGATGGTAAAACAAAATTGAAAACTATGCAAAGAGAGGGGTCTGGAATCCCAACATGACTCCTGCCAACTTAGTATGGTCCTCAGTTAAGAAATCTGATCTTTAACCATAACACTGAGTTTCAGACTCTTTTCTCATTTAAAGACATGTAGAGATGGACATTCTAAAAAGCTTGTGTCTTACAGGGGAAGGAAATAAGAAATGCTACAGCTCTAAGTACCTTGACTCTAAATTGCTATTCTAATGTATAGGTAGGTCCTAATGGCAAATTATTTGGTGAGAGACCAAATAGAAACTGCTACAACAGTGAGCATACTACCCTTCCTCATATGTAATCAGGGTAGAGAGAAGAGAAATTTAGTATCTTACTGGATCTAGGGCTTGCTCTATACTTTTATTCTATCTCCTATTTTTCTGGCCCTGAGGGATTGTCATTTCCCCCAGTAGGTGATTTATATGCTTCGTCTGTACGTTCATAGTATTTATTAAAATACAACAAAGAAGAAAAATTATTTCCACTTATCACACAAAAGGTTATGAGACTAATGTTTTTCTTACTTTTTCACTTAATTATATCTTAGAGATATTGTCATATTAGAACATACTTTCAAAAATGCAGAGAATTTTAGTAAGTACACATTTTATTTAATTTCCAACAGATGTATTACTTTCAATTTTTATTATGAATCATATTGTAATGAATAACTTTTTGTCTACATTTTGGGTTTGTAAATGTATTTACAGAATAACTGTCGAGAAGTAGCATAGCTGAATTAAAAAATAGATGCATTTGTCATCGTGATAAAGACGGCCAAATCACCCTTCAGAGTTGTGCCAGTGTCTACTTCACAGGTAGGAGAAAGGGCATTTCTCACACCCTCACAAACAGAGTTGGTATTGTCTGTGTCTGAATTTTTGCCTGTCTGCAAGTAAGAATGAATATCTCAATGTACTCTCAAATAGCATTTTTCTTATTAAGGCAGATGACTATCCTTTTGCACACAAGCATGGTTGTATTTGTTTGTTGTTTTTGTTTTTTTTTTTTTTGGTCGGTCGTGGGGCTTGAACTCTGGGCTTGGGCGCTGTCCCTCAGCTCTTCAGCTCAAGGCTAGCGCTCTACCACTTGAGCCACAGCGCCACTTCTGGCTTTTTGCTTATGTGGTGCTGAGGAATCGAACCCAGGGCCTCAGGCATGCAAGGCAAGCACTCTACCACAGCCACCTTCCCAGCCCAGTTGTATTTGTTTATGTACCATTTATAAACATCCTTTGCCCATTTTTCTCTTACATTAACTTTTCTTGATTTGTACATGCTATTTCTATATTAGAGAAATCTATCCTTTGAACTGAGTTGCAAATGTATAAATGTTTGTCATCTCTTGAAACTTTATAGTATTTTTTTCTTTTCCAACCGAACCATTCTTTTAGGAGCTACTACCAATTTTTAGCTGCAGGTCCTGGCCTTCTGTGGTATGGTAGATACCAAATTTCTCCTGTATTTCCAGACTGCACTTGGCCACCAGAGTAATGATGTCACTCAGTTGATTCTGTTCCACTGTCCATAGTGCCAGGAGTACATTCCCTAAAAAGACAGAGAATAGCCTGACAGGGGTCAAGGATTTAGACTCGCTTCACCTAGGGCCAAGCCCCAGTACTGCACAGATCAACTTCATTTGGTGTGGATACTATGAAAGGCATTAGGCAAAGCTTCTTAGCACTATAAATTATGCAAGGCTAAAATAGTACTTTGTCAAAACTTTTTTTGTCTGTCATGGGGCTTGAACTCTGGGCTTGGGCGCTTCAACTCTACCGCTCTTCAACTCTACCGCTTGAACTACAGCATCACTTCTGGCTTTTTCTGTGATTAGAGAGAAGAGTCTCATATACTTTCCTGCCTGGGCTGGCTTTGAACCATGATCCTCAGATCTCAGCCTCCTGAGTAGCTAGCATTACAGGAGTGAGCCTCGGGTGCTTGGCTTGTCAAAACTTTTGGTAACCTTCCTTCCATCAATGAACTAATAGGAGTAGGGTAGTAGCAAATTCACAAAATGTAGGCTCAAATTCAACTCTACTTTTATGGTTGATTTTATTGTTTAAAAGAGAAGAGCCGGGCACTGGCTCCCGTCTGTAATCCTAGCTACTCAGGAGGCTGAGATCTGAGGATTGAGGTCAAAGCCAGCCTGGGCAGGAAAGTCTGTGAGCTTCTTATCTCCAATAAACCACTCAGAAAGCCGGAAGTGGGGCTGTGGCTCAAGTGGTAGAGTGCTAGTCTTGAGCTGAAGAGCTGAGGGACAGCATCCAGGCCAGAGTTCAAGCCCCACAATCAACAACAAAAACAAAAAAAGAAGGCTGACTCTACATCATATGTGAATCATCCTCAGTTTTTCCAGAGGGGAGACTTTTGACTCTTATGCTTAATTTCTGCTACTAATGAACTAGTCTCTCATGAATTTTTCTGAAGAATGTATTATAAGAATTAATTTTCCTAACATTTAACTCAGGCAGGTGTTCTACCACTTGAGCCACAAACTATTTGATTGATTCCTGTCATTTCCCTTTCCTTTCCTCTGTTCTCCACTCCTCTTCCCTGTCTTTCTCTCTCTCTCTCTTTTGCCAGTCCTGAGGCTTGAACTCAGGGCCTGTACACTGTCCCTGAGCTTTTTTTGCTCAAGGCTGGTGCTCTACCACTTGAGTGACAGTGCCACTTCTTGTTTTTTCTGTTTATGTGGTACTGAGGAATCAAACCCAGGGCACCTCATGCATGCTAGGCAAGCACTCTACCACTAAGCCACATAGCCAGCCTCTCTTCTCTTTCTCTCCTATTTTTAAAGAAAACTCAGGGCCTTGCACTTGCTAGGCAAGCATTCTCCCACTTGAGCCATACCTCCACTGGCATTCAATCTAAATGAATGTAAAGCATATGTAAGTTTAATTTGAGCAACACTTTCTAAAACTCGAAAGTCCTTTGAAACAGAGAATTGTTTCCTCATCTTCATATCTCAGGGATCAATGAATTAATTAATTAATGCAGAACAATGCAGATTTCATCTACATACTACTTCCCTCACTTACAGTTCTTTAAACGTACAGAAAAACTAAAAATACCTGTGATATTTAGGATATCCCCTCCAAAACAGAGAACATCTGAAATCAGGTAAGGAAGAGAGAAAACAATGGGTCAAGACCAGAGAGATACTGGATTATGGCAAAATTCTATACATTAAAAAATACCCTACTAAAAGTTCCTCATATTTTTCTTATCTGTTACTCCAAGCCTTGGGCTTCTTCTTTTTTCCTACATTCTCCTCAAATCTATTTGTACTTTTATACATTTTCTCAGTTGGTTACACATTGATACTGCCTGTGAAATTTATTAGAATCCTTATTCTGGGGCCCATAGTTTCTATTTAAATGGTCTTCCATAAAGGCTAGTTATCAAGACGTGTGTTCCTGGGGACAGAACACACGGCCTACTGAATGTTTGGTAAACAGAGCTACATTCCAGTATCAAAGTAACAAGGCTTGTAAAAGCATTCCAGGCAGTGATCAGATGTGTATCTAGAGTTGGGACGTACTACCTTAGACCAAATCTCCATCTCTTCAAGGACTGATCTAATTGTTGCTTTCAGCTTCCATTCTTTGTTTTTCTTCTTTTCTTTCTTTTTTTTTTTTTTGGTGGGCGTCCTGGGCACTGTCTCTGAGCTCTTCAGATCAAGGCTAGTGCTCTACCACTTGAGCCACAGCGCCACTTCCCCAGCTTCCAATCTTACCATTCACTCTTCTCTTGTTCCCTATAATTTCATTCATGAAGCAGCCAAATTAACTTAAAAAAAGAAATTAAGTCAGAGGACAGGCATAGAGGCTAATGCCTGTAAATTGTAGCACTTGGGACCCTGAGACAGGAGGATCACAAGTTTGAAGCCAGCTTGGACTACTAGTGAATTTGAAGCCAGTGTATAAGCAAGACCTTGCCTCCAAAATTAAATTACATTAAAAAAATCAGATCATATCACTACTCTGCTCCAACCTTTCAATCCAAGCTCCTTATTATGGAATACAGAACTTGATCTGAGACCTACTTGTTTTATAAAATATAATACATACCCACGAGGCACATGTATTGTTAAAAGACCACCTGTGGAATACTTTATTTTGAAACAAATTTGTTTTCCCTTTTCTGAACATTGAGTTAATAGGATGTAAGACTGAGTGGAATGGTAGACAGAGGCAAAGAACGAGCTTGTTACCAGTAACTTGGTAAAACTAAAGATGAGTGATGATAAAAGAATGACCCTGCCAGAAAATGGGTGACTCACACTTATAATCCTAGCTACTCAGGAGGCTGAGATCTGAGGATCATAGTTTGAAGTGAGCCTGGGTAGGAAAGTCTATAAGACTCTTATCTCCAACTATCCACCAAAAAGCTGGAAGGGAAGATGTGGATTATGTTGTATAGAGCCATTCTTCAGGGGAAAAAAGCTAAGGGGTGGAGCCCAGGCCCTGAGTTCAAGCCTCAATAACACTAAATAAATTCATAACCCTATGGTTATTCATTTTAAAGTACTCCATGGTCTTTCCTTGAAAACCAACCCTCAGGAGCCCAGAACCACACCTCCTGGGTCCCCTGAAATGATCACTCACGCTCCACGATGTCACTAATGTAATAACTGAAGATGTGGGCCAGTTTTTCCATGTCATGTTCCGGCTTGCAGGTCAGTCTGAACCTATCCATTAATGCTGTAAACCCTGACCAACAAAGCAAAGGTTACTGTTAAGGCTCAATGTTTAAACCTTTAGGCCCTCTTCCCTCCACATACTTGGTGAATATAAAGGAATAGGATCCTTTCAAGGTGAATCCCTTGACCTATCTATCAAATATGATGCTTCTCAGGGCCAGACTAACTGCTGCCTCACTTATAAGTGCTTTTTCTTTCTTTACTTCCTTCTCCTGCCTCTCTCTTTCCCCCTCCTACCCTCTCTCTTTTCTCTATGTGAGCCAAAGACTGTTCTCCTCAGGCTCTGTGGCTGAAGCAAGCTATCATTCTGTCCTTGTTTGAGAAAGAGAAAACACTGAAAAGGGGATTGGATTAAAGCGCAAAGAACTCAAGTGGTAAGGACAGGCACCTCCTGTCTTCATGACACACAGATACTTTATAAATACTTGTGAATGTATCTCTGGCTAGATACCTGGCATCAAGAAAAGAAAAAAACAAAACGGCAGGCACAGACCTATGTCTCCAAGGGATGAAATTAAGTGAGCTGGGGACTTGGCTTAAGTGGTAGAGCACCTGCTTAGCAAGTGGGAGGTCCCGGGTTCCTCAGTTCCACAAAACAAAGAGGAAGAAGAATATATATATATATATATATATTATATAATATATAACATATTATTACACAATTATATAATACATATATATTATATATAAAATATATAATATTTAAACATACTAATATATTATTATGTAATTATAAACATTATATAATTATATAATGTAATATTATAATAATATACAATATATATGTTTTATGTATATATAGGCGAAGGCTTATTATTAGAAGACCCCCGCGTTGGGGGAAGATGCATTGAGTATCTCTGCACAACCCTGCAGTCTATTTCGTCATTTGAGCAGTGAACCCAAGAGCTACACGGAGTCATCAAGAAGGGCGAGTTGGCCGACGTGAAAGGTGCCGCGGTGGTGGCGCCTCGGGGCGCCGGGATGTCATCCCGCCGGCCTTCAGGGACTATGGCTGCCCTCGGGCCCGCGGGCAACTCCAGGGCCGCCCTGGCCCTCACCAGTCACGTGGACGCCTAGAAGGACACCCTGGGACGTGGAGAGTTCGGGTTCTGACTCCGCCGGCTTCCTAAAGACCAGCAGGTCCGGAAGCAGCGCCGCCAACCGGGCCTCCACAGGCCACAGAGGCGGCCCCGCCTCCGGCTCGCTGGTCGCCATGGGGGTGGCGAGACGTCCCTCGGAGTTATCGGAAACAGGTGCTTTCCAAGAAGCAGCCAATCCGCATCGGTGACTCTAGCTGGGACCTCCCACCAACCAATCTTCGCGGGCCTTCCAGGAGCCCCTCCTACCTACTTCCTTCTAGCTTGGACTTCCGGGAGTGAGCGTGAGGGAAGGGCAAGCGACGCTTCCCGAAGGAATCGCGTGTGAAGCTTCCCGGATGAAGTAGGTCGTCTGGGATAAATACTGAGTCCCCTCCTGTATCCCCAGAGTAGAAATTTGGGCCATCCCTGAATTTACTAAGGAAATGCTCTATGGGCAGTGTCAGGATTGGTCCATTCCATCTCCTTTCAAGACAGCTCCCAGGGTCTGCTTTTCTCTAGTTCCAAGACTTGGTGATGGTTTTGGTTGCTCATATTCCTGTAGAGAATACAGGAGTAACAGGTTGGGTATCCTGTGGATATTCAACAACTAGGAAAGTAGGTTTTTTCCTTTTTCGGGGGGTGGGGAAGGGGAGGGAGGGTTGTTTTGGCTATCACAGTGATTCTGAAAACAGATTATTTCTGGCCAAAGAACAATTTCAGTATTACAAACAACCTGGAACTCAAGGGATGCAGACTCTTGGAAGTCATTTTTAGTATTTTTATAAATTTATTTTAAAAAATAACAATTGCAATGACATCAATGATCTATCACCTGTAACTCCTCCCCCACTGTTGGAGGGGAAAACAACAAAAACAGCCCTCCCCCCAAACAACCTATGCAGTTGAGTCCCAAAGGAAAATCAAAACAGTATCATCAGGCACCCTGTAGCCAGAAAAGGCTGTTGTTGGTCCAGTGATATAGACACTGACATGTTCAATGTACCAGTGCAATTAAAATACAATTATCCTGCAAAAAAACCCAACTCAAATAACAATGTATTAAACTAATTTTTCACTCATCCATTCACTCTGCATTTTTGAAGCCAACAGTAAGTACAAGGACAAATGATTAAATCAACTAGTAGTGAAGAAACTCAAAAGTCAGTCTCCCCTCAGTTTGTAGGCTATCACCATGTGCTAAAATAACCACAATAAAGGGGTCATATGCTGTCTGAAATGACATGTGTCAAAACGACATCATCCAAAGCATTTAATTTTAAACACAAAACTCAAACTAGCCACCCAAAACAAAATTTCAGCAACAGTGAGATTGGTATTACTATGTACAAACTTACAGACACAAATAAATAGAATTTTAGAACTGTTGGGAGCATTGAAAATGAAATTCCTCAGACCACATCTCAGTCTCTTTTTTTTTCCCCCAGATATTCCTCATTGCTTTTAGTATCTAAAAGACTTGGGGCAGTTAATATCTGAAAACCAATGTTAGAGACACCAGTTTCTAGTGAGCTTATTGAGTTATCTATCCCAGCCCCTAAAATCTGGAAACCAGGAGAAATGACCAGATTCCTGGCACTAGAAAGACATTTCACTTACTTCCTTTGTATAGCTCTGTACCTCTGTGTACCATTACAACGTTCTCTTCTTTCCCATACTTTCTTTAGAGGCTAAAAACTTCTTTCCTGTCTTAATCCAGTTAGTCAAGTTAAAGAAAGGTCAATCTTTACTATTAGTATTTAAACTAACTCCAAAAGTTCTTGTTTTATAAAGAAGGCAACTGACTCTTCCTAAATGTTAGTTTCAGAGATCAACATCTAGAACTTAGATTTCTGGATTAGGGGTGTGGCTCAGTGGTAGAGTGCCTAGAAAATGAGTTTCTGAGACCCAACCTGTTCTGGGAACTATAGCCCAGCTGCTGACACTATTGTGATCTGTCTCTGGTCTATAGTTGATTCCTACAGTATGGATGCAATGTGAAAACTTTGCTGCATAAAGCCTATGGAGAGAAGACATGGAAACTGGCACCACAGAATCAGCTGCCACAGGAAGAATGAGAATGTCTGCTCTCTGGGGCCAGTGCAAAGTGCTCTAGGACTGAGGCTAACATCCACACGAAGATCCAGACTGAAGAGTACTTTTTAGAAATTGTCCAGGACCAAATCTGACTTCTCCTTTTCAGTGCTTGTTAAAAAGATGCTAGTGTACAGGTGAATTAGTTTCTCTTTAGTTTAATGTCCAACCTAGGCATCTATCTCATGTGCTATCACAATGTATGTATATGTAGATTATTCTTTCTCCCTCCTAGAGAAACATACAGATCCATCCATTCCCCAAATACTGTCACAAAACCTATGGCTAAGAAAAAAAAAATCTGTAGTTTGCTTTTTTGTGAAGGAATTACTGAGGCACCAGCATAAAAGTTGCTGAAAAGTTTTTTTTCTCCACTTAGGCAACCATGAAGTCCAATATACTTGAAATTGTCTTGTAAGTAGCCATAGCAAGAACTATGGTCCAGATGACATATCCAACAAGCAAATCACTTGTCAAAACTAAAGAATGAGGGATAACTGTTTTCCAGGTCCCACTGCTCACTCTCTTGAGTAGTTTTTACTTTTTCTTTGTTAAATAAACTCTTTACTACTGTAAAAACAAAACCACCTCCCTCCCACCAAAAAACCCCACCAAACTAAAAAACGAGATTCAGCAATATATGTCTCTGTACTTGTGGTCTTTTTAAAATCTTTTCATTCGCAGAGTCCAAAAATATCAGCTAGCGTGTAGACAGACAAAGATTCTTATTACCATAGATTAGATGACAGTATCTCAGAGAATTTATTGTTTCTATATCATAATATGGAACGTCCATGCCATCTCTAAATACAAAGCGTCCACTGAGGCAGTCAGCCTGAGATGCCCATCAGAGGATGAACACTGCAATCCATGGGAAGGAGCGGGATTCCGCTTCCCTGACTGTACTTCAAGTTGAGAAGGATGCTCTTCCTGCTGAGATGGCTGTCTGGCTTCTCCAGTCTACGTTAAGTGCTTGTGTACTGCTGGGCTGGCAAGTGTCTCCTTGTATCACCCCGAATCCACCAAATGTCAGTATCCTCAACAGTATGAAACAGGTCCTGACCGAAAAGGTGAGACAAAGGTTTGCAACTTCAATTTGCCAGGCCCCACGGCAATTATAACACTGAGCCACTTAAAATCTAAGTGGTTTTCTGTCCTGTAGCAAAGGGCAGAGTGTGACTGCCAGTGTCCCACTGGAAGAGTCGATCAATTTCCTGAACAGAGGGAAACAGTGCGAGGAATATAACCCTTGGCCCAAGGTTAGGACACCCGGATGATCTGTGTCATTGCTTCTTCATCAGCTTGGCTTGGATCCTAGAGACAAAGACAGCACAATAATGACTTAAAGCAATAGGGAACTTCTGGATGTCATTAACTTGTCTGCACATATGGTTTAAAGCACAGCTACATTAGGAAAGAAGAGACAATGGGGCTTATTCCTTAGTAACACGTAAAGCCTGGCCTGGCTCTCTATTAGAAAACCCTCCAGAGATAACAGAATGTATTTTTCCCAGGCACTGTGAGTTGTTATCCCTTCAGGGTCATAAGGATATTCCGTTGCTGAGAAGCCTCAAAGAAACCATGATGGCATGATGTTTCATTATTTTCTGATTATTATATCCAAATACTGAATATTTACCAGGACTGGAAAAAGCAGGTGCGGCTTTTTTTTCTTTTTAATGGGACTTGAACTCAGGGTATGGGTGGTGGCCCTGGGCTTTTTTGCTCAAGGCTAGCTAGATCTCTATCACTTGAACCACAGCTTCATTTCTAGGTTTTTCGTGGTTAATTGAAGCTAAGAGTCTTACAATCCCTACTCAAGCTGGTTTCCAATTACCTCTTCAGACTTCAGTCTCCTGAGTAGCTAGGATTACAGGTATGAGCTCAGGCTGGTTTCCAATTGCCTCTTCAGACTTCAGTCTCCTGAGTAGCTAGGATTACAGGTATGAGCCACCAACATGCTGCTAGAACATATATACTTTACATTCATTTTGAAGATAAACTTGAAGCTTGAATGGGTAAAGTGGTGTGCCTGAACTAGAGCCAGAAAGTCAGGAGTCAGCAAGGGCTAACTTAAGTCTTTGACTCCAACTTAACCCTTTCACTCAACTCTGGATGCTGCTTTTCACTTAACATCTGCAGTGTTAAATCCTGCATCAGTCCAGCAGACTCTGCAATATTCTACAAGAACACTTTAGTTCTTCCACATATAACTCTGAAACCTGAGTAGGGAACATCTGAGAAAAGGCTCAAAGTCTTCCGGAGGTGCAAGGACTGGTGCTGGATCTTAAACCACAAGGAAGACCCACAGCATCTCCTGAGCATGCATCACTCACAAGGCACAGTGCTAAACACTTGTCCAGTGTTATAATATGGTAATATCGCATGAACTGCCCACAGCATTCTTGTGAACTAGGCAAGAGTGTTCCACTTTACAGATGATGGGACAGCTTAAAAGAGGCTAAGTACATGTCTTAACATGGTCATCGTGTTAACATCTAGAATTAGGAGAGCTCCTAGCACAATGGCCTCCTATAGCTGATATTTACAGTTAATATTTACAAACTACACGAGTGAGTAACAGAACTATAAGTAACAGGACTGCCAGCATTAAAGGAATGATTACTATTCATGTGTAGGGACACAGAAAACTGTGTGTGACTACTGACAGGAGTAATGGGACTTGCTTATAAGCTCTAAATAAATTGATATTTGATGCATCAATAAGGAACTAGAATGCATCCTTGAGCTTAAACTATTTGATCAGAAATGCATAAGGTGAACTGGAGGAGACCGGAAGTCAACTGAAAGGACACTGCAATAGTGTGGTGGAATGTTAGAATAAGACAGAATCAAGGGCTGGGAAGGTTGCTCAGTGGTAGAGTGCTTGCCTTGTATGTATGAGGTCCTGGGTTCAATTCCTCAGCACCACATAAACAGAGAAAGCCGGAAGTGGCACTGTGGCTCAAGTGATAGAGTGCTCACCTTGAGTGGAAGAGCTCAGGGACAGTGCCCAGGCCGAGTTCAGGCCCCACAACCAACCAAAAAAAAAAAAAAAGACAGAATCAAGTATTGTAAATGTTTGATGCAACAAACATCTACTGAGTACTTGTTCAGAATGACATACTATACTAGTCTGATAAATGCAAGAGAAAAAAAATTCCTCTACCCACTATATAACCTATCCTCTAGGGAAAGGAAGAATCTTAAACAACTAGACAAAACAATTTAATGACTGTTGTATTCTATAGAAAAAAACAGAAATTGTGAGAAAATGCTGGAAAAGTGACCTCTCTGGAAATAGGGCAGGCTATAAATGACCTTTCTGGTCTAAACCAAGGCCTTAAAAGAAAACAACAACCATGCAAAGAAATGGAGTAAAGAGCATTACAGGCTGGAAATCAATTTTAAGAATAAAGAACAGATGGGTGAACAGAGTAAAATCAGAGACCAAACAAAATGGGCTAAAGACAGGCTTGTTGGACAATGTAAAGATTTTGGATTTTGGTCCAACTATCAATAGGAGATGGTTGGAATTGGAGGAGGTGAAGCAGGATGGGGATGGGATCAGATACCATATTAAGATGTGGAGAATGGAAAGACAGGACAAGATTTGGAAGAAGTAAGACCACCAGGCAACAGTTTGATTAATCCCAGCAAAGGAAAACAGGATTAGACCAGGCTGGGTTATCAGTTGGGAAGGAAAAATGTGTATGGATTCAAATTATGTTAGAGATAAAACCAAGAGGGTTTCTTTAAGAATCGGACTATTCAGGCTTTACTCACTGGGCAAATGGTCATGTCACTTGTTTAGATGAGTGGCAGGTTTAGGTGTAAGAAACAAATAAAACTAAGTGTTCTATTTTTGATACAATGACCCAGAATGCATTAAAGATAATTAATAGAGTTAGATATGAGCAAGCCAGTATCACACAGATGTTAACAGTAAACTCTGTAATTAGGCTACCTGGGTGTAATGTCAGTTGAGTGTTTTATTTTTTTATTTTTTGCTAGTCCTGGGGCTTGAATTCAGGGTCTGGGCATTGTCCCTGGGCCTCTTTGTGCTCAAGGCTAGCGCTCTACCACTTGAGCCACAGCACCATCTCTGGCTTTTTCTGAGTAGTTTTGTTAGAGATAAGAGTCTCACAGACTTTCCTGCCTGGGCTGGCTTCAAACCACAATCCTCAGATCTCAGCCTCCTAAGTAGCTAAGATTACAGGTATGAGCCACTGATGTGTGACCGAGCATTTTGATCTCAGGCAAAGTACTTCTCAAAACCTCAGATTCAATGTAAAATGGCAGTGAGTCCATTCTTTTCACATGGTCTTGAGGTTGCCCTAGAGACTCCATGGAAAAAAAGAAAAGCTTATCAAAGTGCTTAAGGCGGTGTGGTCACACTGGGTGAGCTGCTGCTGTGATCATACTAAGGCGGTGTGGTCACACTGGGTGAGCTGCTGCTGTGATCATACCAAGAGTGTGGTCACACTGGGTGAGCTGCTGCTGTGATCATACTAAGGCGGTGTGGTCACACTGGGTGAGCTGCTGCTGTGATCATACTAAGGCGGTGTGGTCACACTGGGTGAGCTGCTGCTGTGATCATACCAAGGCGGTGTGGTCACACTGGGTGAGCTGCTGCTGTGATCATACTAAGGCGGTGTGGTCACACTGGGTGAGCTGCTGCTATGATCATACCAAGAGGCAATATAAAACTTAGTCCTCAAAAAATTAAGACTTTCAAGAAATAGTTATGACTGAGACAAAAAAAAAGAGGAGAGTAAGGCCAATGGATTAAAGACCAGCAGTGCTTTTATGATCAAATACAAACTAAGAAAACACAATTCTGTACTTAGGGGTGAAAAAGTGAAAGCATTCTGCTGAAGAAATACGAGGTAATAAAGGTAAAAACGAGAGGTCTGTGTCTCCTTACCTGCATATGGGGACTGTCCTTTTCTTTTGGGGAGAAAAACCGCCCACCTTCCCCACGCTTCCGAGCCATGGCATGACGGTGCCGGGACTCATGCAGGTATTTCTGAACAGAGAAGTAATACTACTTGATTAGCAGCTAGAATCAAGAATGAGGTACAGCACAAATTTCAGCCTTAAAAGTTTAAGTCAACAGTGATCAATTTAGGACTGTGGGACAATTAAAACTGGACAGTGGAAAATACTTTGGATAAAGCACTTATCTGGTTACCACAGACAATTATTGTTAAGAATATGAAGGCTAAATTATTATTTTTTTTGGTCAGTTGTGGGGCTTGAACTCTGGGCCTGGGCACTGTCCCTCAGCTCTTCAGCTCAAGGTCAATGCTCTACTACTTGAGCCACAGTACCACTTCTGGTTTTCTGAGTGGTTTATTGAAGACAAGAGTCTCATGGCCTTTCCTGCTGGGGCTGGCTTTGAACCATGATCCTCAGATCTCAGCCTCCTGAATAGCTAGGATTACAGGTGTGAGCCACCAATGCCTGGTTGGCTAAATTAATTTTAAGGTACCTTTCTTGTTTCCTTCACTTCTAGCCTAGAGCCAAAGCCACCACTGTGCACTCTGAATGCACATTAAAAATATTAGGCCATAGAACTAAAAGTATGGCTCAAGTGGTACAGCACCATTTGGGTTGAGCAAAAAAACTAAGCAAGAATGTGAGGCGCTCTACCTACTACCGGCACACACACACATATATCCACATAATCAGGCCTGTAAGACAGGAGATGGTAGTGAGAACTATGGAATTGTGCTACCAGTCCAGGATTATTATTATTATTTTAATTTTTTTTGGGTCTGGTCGTGGGGCCTGAACTCTGGGCCTGGGCGCTGTCCTTCAGCTCTTCAGCTCAAGGCTAGCACTCTAGTGCTCTACCACTGAGCCACCTTCCCAGCCCAAGTCCAGGATTATTTGCATACTTCTTTCACGTAAGGAAAAACAATCTCGTTTGCGCCACTGTTTTGTTTTGTTGTTATAATTACAGCTCCATGGAGCAACAACAAATGCTAACTCTAAGAAAAGGTAACAGTTCTCTAACTTCCCTCGGTTGGAATGCTCTCAAGGAAACACACCATCTAAATTCAAAGTTGTCTCAATAGTGGAACCCTGCTGCTTACTTACTGGGTCTTTCCCAGTGTTATACATACCCTTCTCTCCTTTGGGATTTTCCCTTCTGCTTCCAGCTTAGCCCGGGCTTGCCTTCTCTTAAGGATGCGGTGGTACTGTTTTGCATTCACATAGAGTGGCTCTTCTTCAAGCATCTCTGCTCCAGGCAGAGGGATTCTTTGGATAGCGGGAACAGAGCCAGCTCCAGGTACCATCTGTGTAGCAGAAGAGAAGGGCTTCTTAGTGGGATAAAGTATGGACACAAGCAAAGTTTCTGGATGCCTGCTAATCAAATCTACTTCCCTCTGAATGCCACCCAAAGTAACTTTTATAGGGTGTTTGGCTAAATATGGATTCTTGGAGAATATTTACACGAAGGCCTTATATTTATAACAGATAATTCTGTTACAGGTGAAGAAAAGCCATTGAAATAACCACGTCTAACTTCATGCTCCATTGCCAGCCACAGACAATGCAACAGCACAAGGGAAGGCAGGTATAAACTGACAAGAGTGTCTACAGTTATGAAAGCAATTTAGTTCATTTACTGTATAATTAAATTAGAATTTTTCTAAAAACAAAAAAAAATCACTATGCTATACATATATGATAAAATAAGTAACAGGTTCCTTAACCACTCCAATCTCTTCCCAACTCTGATGATTCTTCCTGTAGCTTCTCGTACTTACTCCTGATTTACCCATTGTAGCCACTGTGCACTGAACTCCTATAATCACACATGGGGATTCAGCTGTTACTCTCACCAGGTATTTTTGGTATCTCTATCAATTACAATTGTTGTAGTTTTTACCCTCCCCCCCACCATTGGCAATATATTTGCTATTTCTCAAAGATCAGTAGCCTATTCTTCCTTTATCTGCTGCACCTAGAATAGTTTGAGACACACAGTAGGTGCTCAGAAGGAATTACAATCCATTGCAATTAATTAATTAATCAGGCATTTACATATCCATTACCATAAGTGATGCATTTCAATCTAAAAGTCAACAACATGACCACATTTTTACAAGACATTTTGACTTTCAAGTTCAAGAAATTTGTGGGCAGACACATGGAAAACTACAGTACACAAGAACAGTAAATTGAAGATTCAGTTTCCTTACCATGACCATTCCACCTGAATTGACCACGTTGCCTGCCACTGGTAGTGTCACAGTGACAGTCCCTTGCCCACTGCTGGTTGTGTTGGTGTTGGCTCCTGTCTGAACAATCTGTGCTCCTGCCAAACTGGCTGCTGGGATGGTGATCATGCCTGAAACAGGGACTGTAACTTTAAGAAAATAAAACATACAACAAAACAAAACAAAACAAAACAAACCAGGTACACAGAACAGAAAGAAGGGCACAGAATTAGTCCCTCTTCTATCTGGCACTCAGTTGTCCACCCTGGAAAAACATACTGAAAACACAAGGAGGAGGAAAGTGCTTTCCACTCTCTTACTCTGGTTTGTTGCATATAATCCAAGTAGTCATATCTTTAACATTACTGTCGAAGGCTCAGTCCTGAGTACCTCTATCCTTCAGTATTTCCCTGAGATGTTCCAATATCAGTTTTCATAAGGAGGTGAGAAACTCTAAAGGCCTCTCTTTCTATAGGCCAGCCTGGCTACCTGTATGTGGTGAGAGAGCTATACCCACCGCATATAAAGATTTTATAAATCTATAATGGCTAACCCTAAACTGACAATGAATCATTAGAGGAAAAATACTTGCCAAATAAAGCTTCACTTATATATCATCTATTCCTATTACATACATTTTTTAAGGGCATTGCACTGTATTTATTTGTTCACTGTATGTATTTGTTTCAACCAGAGGTTGAAAACTCTTCTTTACTCTTAGTAAAGTGCTGCATAAACAGTGAATATACATATTTTTGGAATACCCCAGAAAACAAATAAAGCATAAATAGCAACAGCACTCTAAAAATGTCAATGTGGTTACTTATTGATTTCTTTTTTTTTGGGTCTGGTCATGGGGCCTGAACTCTGGGCCTGGGCACTATCCCTCAGCTCTTCAGCTCAAGGCTAGCACGCTACCACTTGAGCCGCAGCACCACTTCCTGCTTTTTTCTTTTTTGCTTATGTGGTGCTGAGGAATTGAACCCAGGGACTCATGCATGCAAGGCAAGTGCTCTACCACTGAGCCACCTTCCCAGCCCTGATTGACTTCTTTACCAATAAATAAATTCCACATTTCTTTTTATTCGGGTCTGGTCATGGGGCCTGAACTCTGGGCCTGGGCGATGTCCCTCAGCTCTTCAGCTCAAGGCTAGTGCTCTACCACTTGAGCTACAGCACCACTTCCGGCTTTTTTTTCTTTTTGCTTATGTGGTGCTGAGGAATCGAACCCAGGGCCTCAGGCATGCAAGGCAAGCGCTCTACCACTGAACCACCTTCCCAGCCCTAAATTCCACATTTCTAATCTTCTATTTACAAACATTTCTTCTCTATGAACATGAAGGAATAATCCCTTGGACCAATGTTTTTTCTGTTTTTGTTTTTCGTGCCAGTCCTGGGGCTTGAATCAGGGCCTGGTCGCTGTCTCTGAGCTTTTGTATTCAAGGCTATCACTCTACCATTTCAGCCACAGCTTCACTTCCAGCCTGTTTGGTTATAATTGGAGATAAGAGTCTCATGGACTTCCCTGTCTGGGCTGGTTTTGAACCTTGATCCTCAGATCTCAGCCTCCTGAGACACTAGGATTATAGACATGAGCCACAGACTCCTGGCTTTGGACCAGTGTTTTCTGATGCACTCAGTTACTTTCAGGGGATTGAAAAGATGTCATGAGAAGTCCCAGGGAAATTTATGGACATATTTACCTTGCTGGAGAATGGTGCCATCTGCATTAACTGGCTGATAGACAATGGTCTGTCCTTCAGCAGTCTGTGCTACTTGTTGCCCCTGGACAGCAATCTGCTGTTGTGTCTGCAGGAAGGAAATGAGACAAGTCAATAGATTTCAAAGACACAGGAAGAAAAAGTGTTAATACTTCTTAACAACAACAACAAAATACAATCACAAATGCTTTTCTTCATATGGTCTTTCTATGTAGAATATCTGGCCCTTCCAAGTTAGTTTTTCCCCAGAGCAGAAGGAATTACCTGGGTCTGGCCAGCGGTGACAGCTGTCTGGGGCTGCTGGATAATGATCTGCTGGGTCTGGCCCTGCTGGCCCTGCACCTGCACAGCCTGTCCACCTTGGATCTGTATCTGCCCTGGTGGGACCAACTGTATCTGCGGAAGGAACATAAGAAAGGATAGCATCTCAATGACACCCTTCTCTTTTTGTCTCTGAATGCTAAACAAATTCCTCTAGAAAGCAGGAAGTGTTCCCAAGAGGGAAAAAGACATGAGTCCTATTCTGTCCTCAGATATAAATTAGTGATACATTTTCTATTTATGAAATGATCAGAGAATTTTGAATACTGTCTGGCTATCTGACATTAAGCAATCAATGCTCACTTTTAAAAAGATAGTTATTTTATTTTTTTAAAAGTATGTTTATTTAGAAAGACATTTTGGCCAGATGGCTCATGTCTATCATCCTAGCAATTCAGGAGGCTGAGATCTGAGGATCAAGGTTCAAGGTCTGAAGTCAGCCCTGGCAGAAAAATCCAAGAGACTATTATCTCCAACTAACTAGCAAAAAGCTAGAACTGGAAGCCTGGCTCAAGTGTAGAACATCAGCCATGATGGAAAAAACTGTGAGCCAAGGCCCTGAGTTCAAGCCTCAGTATTAGCTAAGAAGAAAAGTAAACTGTGTAAGATGATTTCCAACTAGAAACAAAACTTACCCTTAGGGTGGTCCAACATATATCACATCAAAAATTAAACTAAATTCTCATTGTTATAGGAAGTGTCAGCTTTCACTGTCCAGCAATTGAAGATCATGTATATCTTTGTTTTTCCTGGAGGGATCAAATTTGTGCATAGTTCTGCTTTGTATCACTGGCATTACAAAGGCAGAAAACTGACTAAATGAAACTATCAGGTGGGAAGCAAGTAACTGTAACACCAACTGTCAAGTAGCTCACACCTTCCTGTTCTACTGATACACTATCTAGACACTTTTTAAAAATCCTACTCACCTGCTGCAAACCCTGTGTACCAGATACAGGTACTTGCATGATGGTCTGGCCTTGTCCACCAGGGACGGCCTGGACCATGATGGGTTGACCAGTTGATGTAATCAACTGGCCTCCACTGACTTGGACCATTAATGGCTGCCCCTGGACCTACAAAGAAATGAAACAAGAACAATGAACTATCATAAGAAAAAAGTTTTTCCTCCCCCCCCTCACTCAAACTGGAATTATTCTGCTCTTTGGCCAGAGGGGGAAATGGTAGAAGCACTGAGAAGATAAATCTTAAGTCCTCAAGTTACCTTCTTCAAATATCTCTGCTATCTGACTAAATGCTAAGTTGAATAGACTAGGGTCAGATGTCAGGGTGCATACCTAAGGTGCCTGGGACGTTTCAGTAGACGTAAGGCATATATTACCAAACACAGTCTAAATTCATGACAAATATCAAATTGAGACATCCGAGGCATTTTCCTTTTCAATCCAATGCCTAGCAAAGGTCTCTCGTGGGGGCTGGAGCAAAATCAGGGACAGGGTGGTGATATCAGCAGAGGGCAAATTCAAAAGAAACTACGGGAGGCAAATGAAACTATGTAGCCCTCATTCCTGGAGCCAGAATTGCAAGTGCTCTGAAAAGGTATGCAGAAGATCCTTTTTCAAGCAGAAGTGAAATGTTTACCTTTCACCCTCTTCACCTAATTTTGAGGATTCTAGGTAATTTGTTGCTTGAAGAACCCACTACTAAAGCCATCCTGAAAATATTTTGGGGTCAGTTGGCAACTTCCATAGTAGAGCTTTTCACAATGGAGGCTAATATATGCAGTTACTGGAGTTTTATCAGAAATACTGACGAATAATGAAATCAGGGAAGTCAAGCATACAAACAGAATTTTCAGTTTTCAAGCTCTTATGAATCAGACTACTCTAGGAATGAGGTCAAGGAAAGTGCTGTCACAACTTGAATGTCAATGTGAACATAACTAGAATATTTTAGAGTGGCTAAAATGTAAGTTACTTTAGACATGAACAGGAAGGATCAATGGAATAGCTGAAAGTTCAAAACTTTCATTTTCCAAGCCTATTTTGAAGAACTACTTTAACAGAATAAAAGAATACACGACTATTCTTGTGTGCGTGAGACAGAGGAGAAGGGGTTGGCACAGGGGCTTGAACTCGTGGCCTAATGCCATTGCTTGGTTTGCTTGCTCACAACTGGTGTTCGCCACTTGAGCCATACCTCAGTTGATATTTTGATGGTTAATTGGAGATGGGGAGTACTTTTCTGCCAGGACTGGCTTTAAACCACCTTCCTCCAGGTCCCAGCCTCTTGAGTAATTAGGATTACAGACATGAGCTACTAAACTACTATTCATTCTCAATGATAGTAAATGTATGTTCCAATAACAGTAATGCATTCAAAGTCAATTTGTCCTTAATGAGTAGCTTAAGACAGAAAGTACTGCTACCATCAATGTATAGGAGTCTTCAGGAACATATAAATCCTAGGTTTTGATAAACTTCCCTTTGAGAAACTACGTTTTAAGGGCTTTATAGCCTGACTCATGCTGTCTCTTAAACTTTCCTTTCTTCTCCACTGAAATTCCCTGTGCCACACCAAGGGTGCACATTCTGCATTAGGACAGGTTTATCTAAAGACTAGCTGCATGAACAACTAAGAAAACGATTTTAAACTCTCTAAAAAGTAATGTGACTCTTAGTTGAAAGGTTTCCATTACTTCTATACTGTGTTTTCATTTCTTTGAAATACAATCTACACAAGTAGTTAACACAAGTTTAAGCCACACCATTAGTAATTTTCTGGTTATCTATCATCTTAATTTCCTCCCACACTGACATGCCATACGTGCACATGAGCAAACACCGGAGACTTGGAAGAGCTCCCTCTTCATAGCATATGAATGATCACAAGGACACATGCATCAAAGAAGCCATTCAGTTAAGAGCATGTTATACTCCCATTCTACAAGTGGTTAACAACAATCCAAAATACTGTTTTCTATATTAATAAGGTAAAGCAAGCATGACTAAAAAGCTGTTGAACTCCAAGATTGCAATCCAGTTGGGGAGTACCTACAAACTGAGCTTCTTGCTGAGTTATGTTGGGAAGTAGCTTCGTGTCACCACTTACTACTTACTAGTGGCAGAGCAGGGAGGGGTGGCAGTGGTGACAATAAGGGGTAGTCAGCTGCAGGATGCTTAGCAGCACTCAGAAGAAAGTGAGATGCTAACTTAACCCACAATGACTACTCTGAATCACTTCCAATTCAATGGAGGGAAAAAGCACAGGAATCCACATCTTATCAAATTTCTCAAAAATCTGGTTGTTTTAGTAATCTACAGACACAGAAAGGACTAGTGCTTCTCCTCCTGTTTTTATATAGGAACTGGCCAAATTATATCCCCCCAATTTAGGACATTTAACATGGCCACATATAATATTAAGGAATGGCATTAGTTAACTAAGGTTTCTCTTAAGTCCTCCCCCTCCCCCTGCTGTAGCACATTTATGTAACTGGTTAAGAATTCTCATATTGGTTCTACTAACACCTAAACCTTAGAATCACATTCCATCTCTGCCCAGTACTTGTTACAAAAGACTGGGCATTATTCCTCCAGAAGGGAAGTGAAAAAGCAGTAAGCAGGAGATTACAAGATCAGGAGCTTAGACATTATTACTCTGTAGCTCAGTCACTATTTTAGCAAAAAAAAAAAAAGTATAATTTCATTTGTATGTTTCCTTCTCTAGTATAATACAAATTCATGAAATTTCACTATGCAATTGGAGTTGAGTTTTGAGTACTGAGTTCTACTACCACTTGTAAGAATTTCTGTCACTTCTTTAGCATCCCTCAAGCATTCCCAAAGAAATATACTAGCCAAATAAAAATTTCAGAATATCATACAGCAGTCACTATATGACTTGGAATCAAACATTAGGAAATGGACACTGAATAACCTCAAAGACAAGTTAGCAGCATGAGACACATGCAAATGACTCAGCCATTCCTATTTGAAATCCTACTACAAAGAGCACCAGATGGGAGAGAAGTAGTACATGCAGTGCTCATAGAGAGCCAGAGAGGGCACCACTACCTGGAGGGTCTGGACTTGCTGGCCTGAGGCGGATGCCACCTGAGCCTCAGTCTGCAGCTGGACAGCAGTGACACCACCCTGCTGCTGAGAACAGGAACACGAAGAGCTTGAAATGTGTCAGGAAGGAAATCTATAGCTCAAGACATGACATCGCTTTACCTCATCTTTCAAAAGCCTCAGCCTACAATAGACTTTGGGTACACATCCCCGTACTGCATCTGTTGTGCAGGAGGATCAAGCCCTCTCCCCAGAGTGGACCTCAAAATGAACACCACTCAGAAAGGTCAACATTACAACATCATTTTACACAACAGTTTGTCATGCAGTCCTTCCCTACAGATACAGGAATTTCATCTTTCAGCTTACACAACGATCCCAATGTTCTTTTTCTTTGCTTCCCAAGTTCCTAAGAATAAAATTAGGTTTCAACAGTCTGGAACGTATAATAAGTTCTCAGTCTTACATACAGTCATTAAGAAAGAAAAAATGAGCTTATCACTGTGAATCAAAAACATGTTTACCACATCATTGCTTAGATGTCTCAAACTAAGATTTATTTCTCGCCGACTGGCTTGCCTTAGAAACTATGTTTCCAGTGATTCAATTTTAATTTCCTATCTCTGTAAGTCCTCACAGAAGAAGTCCACCCCACTGGGGCACTGCCTGGAGGTCCCTCGGAAATTCCTTCTCACAATGGAAGGAAGCTACAGAGTCACCCAGCTAATGTGGAAGAGAGGGACAGCAAGGGGAGACATAATTATGGTCTTAACCAAGAGCAGCCCCTTCCTTTGAGCATTAGACAGGATCAACTCACTGTCAATACTCCCTGTACTCTCTCCACTACCTATCTTAAAAAAAACTCAGCTTAGTTCTGTTGTGAAGACAAAAGAGTCGCAAGTTATCAATGTGGATTGAAGGTCAAAGGGAAGCATAATAAACATCTTTAGACATTATTTAGAAAATCTTTGTCAAGTTTTTCTAAAATAAATCCAGGTATAAAGCATCAGAAAATATCTGTATATAAATTCAAGCATGCAGCTTATCATATTTAGGAAATAAACCAGTAGCAGGAATTCCTTCTTCATATGTACTTATCCATAAGAGTGGCTGTTGAAATATTACCCTAATGTTAAATTAGAACTTTTCAGAAATACTATGGTGGATATATTACAGAAGAGTGGATTTTCTGAAGCTGACCATTGTCTACTGTGACCAAATCTTTACTAAATCACAAGTTTGTTTAAACAAGAAGAGAAACAATGGAATTGGACTGAGGGACAGAGATAGAGACAGACAACAGACAGACAGACAGAGAATGTCCCAATTGCCATCATCTGAAAAATAGACTAGGGGTCTCATTTTCAGTGAGATAAAAAGGGTATAAACCACGGGGTTGGGAAGGTGGCTCAGTGGTAGAGCGCTTGCCTTGCATGCATGAGGCCCTGGGTTCGATTCCTCAGTACCACATAAGCAGAAAAAAAAAGCCGGAAGTGGTGCTATGGCTCAAGTGGTGGCGTGCTAGCCATGAGCTGAAGAGCTGAGGTACATCGCCAGGCCCAGAGTTCAGGCCCCAAGACTGGACCACCCCCCCTCCCAAAAAAAAGGGTATAAACCAGATTCTCGTCGACAATGCTTTAGAAACTGGCCAGGCCCAGTATTTTACAAGAGCGGGTACTTTTTAACTAATTCCCAGAGCGATCTACAGTGCTTCTATCAGCCCTGCTGTGACCTTCAAGCAGTCTTGTTTCCATACCTGCTGCTGGATCTGCCCAGCCTGCACAACAATCTGCTCTGTAGAACTATTGCTGTTTGTTGTATATTGCTCCATGGCCCTTCTGAGTTAGAATCCTGTACACAGTACGCTTCGCTCTGGAGATTCAGAAGGTGTTGAGGTGACACACTCCGACTAGAGAAAGTTAAGAGAGAAACTAAAATGAGATTGTCAATAAAGGCCCTGTCAGACAATTAACCTCAATGATACCACTGTTATGGAGTATTTGTAAGAAAACAGGTTAAAAGAATAGGAAGTGCTCATATTCATTTAATCCATATGTATCCAATTAGGATCACATGGCATAATCATAACAAACCACAGCATTTTCATGTTTTAAAAATGCTCCTAAGTCACTTCTTACTGGCAACCTTACCTTTCAGTACTATTAGAGCAACACATGCATCTTACTCATTAAGGTATCTTTGTTGCAAGGCTGTCTAACACGGATTATTAGGTCTGCATGTGTCTCTGAAGCTGTCCACCAACCACGTTGCTTGACTCCAGTATATATGGAAACAATTTAAAACATCAAGGTGTATTATTTATTACATAGTTTGTACCAGGCCTAAAGGTAAGTATTTGCTCACCAAATTCCGTCCTATAAACATGCATAATTAATGTGTCAATTCAAAAACAAAAACCTCCATTCAACAGAACTAAATAAAAAAAGCTCTAGCAAAGGTTTTGGAGTTGTACTGTAATCCGGAGTAATTACACTAATGACAATACTTACAACTAGATAGGGTAGCTCCCCCAGGGTAATGTTCCAAGGCCTCCAGTGGGTGCCTGAAACTTTGAACAGTATCACATTCTGCACATACTGGGTTTTTATTTGCCTTGCAATGTTGCTCCCAATTACCAGTGTATCTGGTCCTTCCCTGCTTTATGCACTGGTGCCTCCTTAGCATTACCACTTGAGTGATGCTGCCTCACATTGGACGGAGAGCAACAGAGCTCACTAACCAAGGTCTAGATCTCTCAAACATCCCTTTTGTCTTTAGAAGTTGATCCTATCCGGTATTTGGTTCAGTAGTAGAAAGGTCACTAGCACAATATTCAAGGGTGTAATATAAACATTTAGGAAGATGTGTACTGAGACCTCAAATTTTATTCTGAAATGACCTAAAAGATGGATCCATGGATGACAAGTGTTTGGTATGGCAAGTATAAGCTAATGGTAGGTATATAGGTTCATAAACCTTTTCAACTTCACAGTGTTTGAAATTTTTTACAGTTGGGAAAAATATAAGATTTAATTAAAATAAAAAAACCGATTAAGCCTATTTCCCATAACCCAAATGAACGCATTATATATACGTATGAGTTATTGATAGGATAGCTATGTCACCATAGCTATACCATATACTTTTCCAGATCATTGTGAGTGCCTGCTATACACATTTTTGGCTCTATTATAGAATGACATAGACTAGTCAATGGAGCTAATAATATGACTAACAAAATAAGTCAATTGACAGTTTCTTCTCATTGCCTATTGACCAACTGGTTTTCACAGTAGTCAGTTCTGAATTTGGTTGGCAGGAATCAGTACTTGTAGAGTACAGAAAATCGTATTGTGTACTAAAAAATCAATACAACTCTATCTCAATCAAGTTGATCCACAAAACAAAGATCATGCTCTCTGCTTTAACACCTTCACCTACCCTCCATCCGCTTCTTGCATGCATTTTTTCTATCTTATGAGACTAAGATATAAAATATAACTTGAAGCATGAGAATGTATAAAAAAATACAGATTTTCATCTTAATTTATCCTCGAAACACAAATGTTCCAATGAAAGAGCAATTAAACCCACTATATGCTGAAGAATAAAAATAGTAGCTTCAAATCGAGTGGCAATTTTCTCACATTTTGTAGAGCTTGTTACTGAGACTGCTAATGGCGAGTGCTATAAGCCACTGGTTTCAGAGAAGCCATATGTTCTAACTTCTGTGAACTTCAGTTAGTAGAACTGCAACACAATGTGATCCTCAGATCTCAGCCTCCAGTGTAGCTAGGATTATAGTGTGAGCCACTGCTGCCTGGCTGTTCTTTTTCCTTTTTTTGGAGACAGGGTCTCACTCTGTACCTCAGCTGGATTCAAACCTTTGATCTTGTTATCTCAAGCTCTCAGGAGCTGGGATTACAAGTGTGTCTAGCCTTTCTAACTTTTTAAAAAACCACAAACCACAGATTTATTTATTTATTTATTTATGTTGGTGTGGTGCTTGAACCCTGGGCCTGGGCACTGTCCTGAGTGCTTCAGCTCAAGGCAAGCGCTCTACCACTTGAGCCACAGAGTCACTTCCCATTTTTTTGGTGGTTAATTGGAGATAAGTCTTATGGGCTTTCCTGCCTCCCGAGTAGCTAGGATAACAGGCATGAACCACCAGCGCCGGGCAAGAAATATTTTGTATTACAACTTGATATATACAGAATCATACACAACAAATGGAAGCGAAACAAGTTTCATGAAATACTTTTCTTTATATAACATAAGTATGCATTTTACATTCCATTTTAAGAACAAACTTAGCTATTTCACAACTAAAAAAAAAATCAATGTATCCTTTTATCTGTGTTTGGTCAAAGACTAGGAAAGGGCCACCCAACTTCCCTATCCTCCTACAGAGGTTTCTGGAGTGGATCTTCCTAATTTGCTCCTTGTCATTAATGATATCCAATGTGCCACTGTTCTAAGAGTTTTAGAAATAAAGTATCTTCTGAATTGGTACTAAGTGCGAGAACATAGATGATGATAATGGAAGGGGTGAAGACAGAAAAAAAAAGACAAAAATTTCAGCATGTGATAAGCATACTATTACTCTCTTACATGCTCAGCCAAGAGGTTGTTCTGTAGAGCATGAGACTCTAGAGGCATTGAGGAAGAGTAGGAGATGCCCAGTGAAGAAACTATTTGTGGCTTTGAAGTGACCGCATGGATCCATTTCCAGATACCAAGGTTAAACCATCCAATATACAAGTTTTTTTTTTTTTTTTT